AAACCTTAGCAACAAAACGATTACAGGTGCAGTTTGACAATGAGAGCACTAAGGCCGCTTTCAGTTAGAAATTAGCGATGCAGTTATCGGAACAGAAGACAATCGCTCATCCAGAAGAAGCTTAGTGCCGTCTTCAGTCTTCTGTAAAAACAGCGTTAAAGACCGTGGCCGACTGTCAAAGAGTGGTTAAAAAGAGCCAGTGGATATCAGTAGCTTCTGAACTAATGGATGCACGCAAACGCATTTCTGCAGGCTCCGAGTACAACAAGGAGCGAACGCAACTCAAATGTAGACTGACAAAAAGTTTACCCAATGACTGCAAACAGTGGTGGTCAGCGAAGACTAAAGAGATGGAAACGACAGCGCCGATAGGTAACAGTAGACTATTATTCAGACTTATTAAGGAAACTGGGGGGAAAACGCCAGTGGCGAGTGAGACTGTAACGGTAAAGGATGAATTTGCAATTCATTCTTAGGGGAGATGCCTTGAAAAATGGGCGGGACACTTCAAGGAGTAGTTCAACTGACCTCCAGTTACTATTACGTTCCCCACTATCCAGTCAGATCCTCAGTGGAACATTGGGATTGGCCCCCAACACTTGTAGAAGTTGAGAAAGCGGTAGACCACTTGAAACGAGGAAGGGCAGCAGGATCAGATGGACTAGTTCCTGAGGTACGTAAGGACGGTAGTAGAATGTTTTTAATAAAGTTAACTGAAGTGTTAACTAAGGTATTGGAGTCAAATATGATCCCCTGTGACCTGTCTGAATCACTGATTATCCAGTCTTCAAGGAAACCGAGAAATTTTCTTGTGATAACCACAGAGGAATCAGTCTGACGAACATAGTGACTAAGATTCGAGGTTCTATAATCATTACACCCATAAGTGGAGCTTGGGAACAGCAAGCCCGAGAAAACCAAACAGGCTTCATACCTGGTCGTGGGTGTATCCATCAAATATTCACACCACCAGATTCTGAAACACAGACACGCTCACCGAAACTCGACAACAGCTGTATTTCTCAACCTAAAGGCTGCATTCAAATCCACCAATCCACAACTCTCATGCCAATGTCTCTCAGTGAATGGCGTCCCAAGTAACTACATCACCTTATTGAAGGCTCTCTACTCGAACACATGTCGGCGTGTTACAATCCACAGTGAGATGTACGAAGAGCTGTGCTCGTACAGTGCTCTCCGTCAAGCATGCTCACTCTCTCCTTTCTTATTCACTTTCATCATACACGGTCTTATACACGTCTCCCTCTTGTCATCTGACTACACACAGATTGACCTAATCACAGGAGGACTTTTGTTAGACCTACAATACACAGATAACATAGTCCTGTTACGTGAACACATTGACAAGATGCAGGATCTTCAAGACACCTTGAGTGGTGATTTGAGAATGTTTTCTGGGATGCGTTTCTCACTACCCAAATCCGAATTGTTGCTCCAGCATCGGTCTTCAGCGGTGCCCCTGTCAACAACAGAGGGTGAAGCGGTTGAGTGGGTTGAATACCTCACTTACCTGGGAAGTCAGATCAGGCATGGTGGCTCAGTGGCCGGTGAAATCTCTGCACGAATACAAGAGGCTCGGTTGGCTTTTGCGAACTTACATCATCTGTGGCGCCTCCGTGATATCCGATTGTCTATTCAGGGTCGAGTGCACTGTGCTGCAGTCCACTTTGTTCTACTTTATGGCTGTGAAACATGAGGCTTAAAGGTAGAATATATGAGAAAACTTCAGTTGTTTGACTACTGTTGCCTACATATCGTGGTGTCACCACGTGAGCAATGCGGAAGTCAGTTGTGGAGTTTTAGGGAGGAGCGGTACTACAGTTGATGGGGTTGTGAACTTTCATCTACCGAGCTGACTGGGACACGTGTTACGTGTGCCTAGTCGCCGTCTGGCTCGTCGTCACACAGTGTTGGCCGGTATGGCTTCAGGCTGGAAAAAGGCTTGGAGTGGCCATACTAAAACATGGCATCAATTCATGAACTCCTTGACTGTTGGTTTGAGCCATGGTGGGGCGATGCAGACTAGCTGGCTGGGGTCCGAGGGACAAGAGGAACCAGTAGTTGGAGACTGTAGGTGATATGGCTCAAAACCGAAGTCAGTGGCGCAGATGTATACACACATTATTCTCATCTTGACCGCTATACTTAATCTCATCATCTTCCCATTCTTCCTTCCTCTCTTTTACTAGTTTCTACTACTTTTGATCGATTTCTCTCTCCTTCTTTATCTTCTATTTTATTGCCTTGTTATTTGATGTGCTGACATGAGGTGTGGCAACTTGAACCGTTACGTAGTAATGCCTAGTCTTATGTTGATCTTAAGGAGGATGATGATGACTAACTGTTCACTACTAGTACTTGAAACAAAAAGTACTAGATATTTGACGTGTGTAATCTCCTATTATGACCTGTTTAACAATCTTTTTCGAATAAATCGTCAAGCTAACACTGCAGTTGATCTGGTTATTGAAGGACGTTTCTTAATCTTTATGGGGTGGGTGGGGAAGAAATTGTTTATTTTGGCAATTCGTGAGTTTACTTCAAGTGAATGATTTCACTAGTAACTGAACAACTAGATCATTTTAAGACTGAGCGATTGGTTTTACCTTTTAGCAGTAATAAAGTAGGATATCTCAAAGTATTCCACATTTGTTATCCTGCCATTCTTTGTCAATATCAAATTTATTGGTGATGAATCATTATTTTTCTTCTTAATACTGATTTTACTTTCCTCTTGAAGTTTCTTTTGTTTTTGTTTGAACAGTAGGATTATTTGGGCATCAAATTAGAGATGAAAAAGTTTATCTTTTGAGTTTCTGTTGTTAGCTTTAGTTATTTTCATAAATACTATACATCAGATAATCAATCTATTAGCAGATTTTAGCATAACATATACGAATTTGATATTGTTGCGTGTAGAATTTCACCAACTAGACTGTCAGTATGTTCATCATGCAAACATTAAAACTTCTGAATATCTGATCATCACCTCCTGTCCACCCCAAGGAAAATATTAAGCCGCATCATCCTGAAGCGACTTGAGGATGCGCTGGATTCGAAAATACGACCGGAACAGGCTGGATTCAGAAAGTACATATCATGCGCGGACCAAATTGCAACGCTACGCATCATCATGGAACAGAGCGTAGAATGACAGTCAGTCAACTCTCCACCTCAACTTCATCGACTTTCAAAAGGCCTTCAACAGCGTCGAATGAGAAGTAATTTGGAAACTGCTTCAACACTACGTAATACCACAAACCTTTGTCAGCCTCATTCAACAACTATATGAAGACGGTGCATGTCAAGTAATTCACAGTGGGTAGCTCAGTGATGCGTATGAAGTGAAGACAGGAGTAAGACAAGGCTGTCTACTATGACTGATGATCTTCCTGATTGTGGTGGACTGGATCGTGCAACAAACTGTGAGGAGCGAGAAGAGGGGGATACGCTGGACCGGGGAAAAGATCCTAGAAGATTTGGATTTCGCGGATGACTTGTATCTAATGTCGCACAAACTCGAAGATCTACAGGGGAAAAAATAACAAGTTGACAGAAGAGGCGAGGCAGCGAAGACAGGACTTCAAGTGAACGTAGAGAAGACAGTGGTGATGAGGATACCCAACCAACGCCATCACCAACAACAAAAAGCTCCAATCTGCATCCACGGGATGAACTTAAAGGAAGTAGCCCCTTTCACCTATCTAGGCAGGCAGCATCGTTTCAACTACAGGCAGCGGTGGCACAGACGAGGATGTCAAAGCCAGCCAGGATCGGAAAAGCAAGACAGGCCCTCCTGCATTAATCTGAAATCAGTGTAGAGATCTACTGCACTCTACTCAGCATAAAGCGTGAACAACATCGGGATTTTCAACACCAATTCAGTCAAGTCAGTGCTTCTATGTGATGATTCAGAAGCTTGATGCGTCACGAAAAGCATTTTGAATAAACTACAGATATTCATCAACAGCTGCCTACGCTGATCCGGTACTGAAGATCAGATGAAATGGCGAGGAAGAATAAGCAACAATAAACTGTGAGAAGATACCAACCAAGAACCCATCACCCAACAAATATGCAGAAGAAAGTGGAGATGGATTGGGCATACACTGAGAAGACCGACCGGGGACATCATGCGCCAGGCACTCGAGTGGAACTCAGATGGGAAATGACGAGTTGGGCGTCCGTGGCGATGGTGACGTGGAGGAGATCATGTGAGTAAGAAATGAGAGCTTGTGGGCAGTCGTGGAGGCGAGTTCAAAAGATTTTAGAGAGCAGAGTACAATGGAGACGTGCTACTGAAGCTGTGTGTTCCACTAGGAACCAAGGAACAAATAGTAATAAATAATGATCTGATCATGAATTGTAGTGAGTTATACAAAAGGCACACTAGACATGGAATTTAAGTCGTATGTTGTAGTTAACTAGTTTTCAAAAATTACTTAGTTGTGGCTTTACGAAACGTTTAGATCATACCTTAAGTAGCATTTAACAGATAGTTTTCTATCATGTTACCTAACCCATGGATCACTTAAGTTGTTAAAAACTCTAAGAAGTTTCATTCCTTCTTAAACTTCAAGAAACACCATGGATCCCAACGGCTTTTTAACGAATTTCTCACTATATTACTGTACTCTTAAAACATAAAGAAGTCATTTTTTTTAATACATAGAAACTGATGATTTCCAATTCAATTGTTATTTAGTAGGTTAAAAGTGAAGTAGTTTTCCTAGTGGTAAAACTTACCACTCTACTTATACAAAACTTTTCTCATGATTAAAGTTCGCCTATTTAGTTGATCGTAACACATTTCTAGGGAAATGTTTTACTAGTAATGAGACTTTATGATTAGTTTGCTAGGATATGCTGTATTGTTTTTACAACACAAATACTTTCAACTATATTTCACTTAATCGAAACATTTTTCATACTACAAGAAATTAATTTTGGAATCTCTTATCTATATTTATTGTTTTCAGAATTGAAATTACCTTCTGAGTCAATTGCAATGCATTTAATCCAACATGAAACAATGCCACTGCCAGGAATTAATGGTATGATTAACTAATCTATATAATTGGTTTCTTGTAATCATGATAAAATATTTTTGTTATAGGCTTCAAGTTGGATTTCATCAGTTAGTTGCTTCCTTCTATAAGATTCTACAAGCTACAGATTTATTACAGTTAATTGCATTACAAATAGCTGAACTATAACTTTAAACCCTGTGGTAGTTATACTGTATTGGTGGTTTAATGAGAATAAGGTATTTTTTTTCTATCTAAGTGATACTTCTCATTTTTATCAACAAGAATGAAAAAATGTTCTTCTGAAGAGTTAAAAAAACTCTATTTCACTTCAGCAAAATGCATTGGAGACTATGAACCTACTGAAAAGTCATATCCATCTGCATACATGTGTAAGGTGAATGCATGCAAACATGTCTCAGATAAGTATCCTTTGGCTCTGAGTTTCAATAGGCAGTTGAAAAACTAAAACATATATATATATATATATATATATATATATATATATATATATATATATATATATATATATATATATATAGTTCAACCAGTCTGTTTGATGACTTCTGTTCTGACGGAATATATAGACATTTTTGTTAATTATAAGTGTAAAACTTGGGCACTATGGTAGAATGCAATGCCATATTAGATTTGTTTATAACACACAGTGATTGAAACAGTATTATTTACCAAATGATGACGTTTCCAGCATAAATTATCATTGCTCCTAATCATATCAATGTAATCACACCACTTTCGACATTTGATTTTTATAGTTATGTCACATCTTATTCTTTGTTTCTATTGGTAATAAAATTCTGTATATCTCCTATATGTGTTGCATCGTTACTTTACATGTGTTGGGAGTTGATTTGATGAACAAAAATTCAATATCATTTGATTATATGAGATAGCCGTAGTTTGGCAGACTATTTCTACTGGGTGATGATTGAAGGTCAGATGAAAATCTGAACCGCGACCGGATCCGAACCAGCAGGGTCCGACTGGTAACCAGATTTTCATCTCACCTTTAATTATCACCCAGTATAAAGATTCACTAATCAATCTCTCTCTCCACCTAATTATATTGCAGTTGAGTACAGGGGCTTTATCTCATCCACCCTATTGTGTGGTTGTGTGTTCATGCATGCATTACAATAGCCGAGTCTCTTTCTAGATTATTGATCTTATTCGGGTCTGTTACTCTATATTAGCTAAATTCCTATGTTTCGCTATTCTAACTGACCCTGACCGGCTTGTTTCACCTATTTGATTAACCTGACTCAGTCATTACATGGAATTCGACATATTAGATTATTTTGCTGAATTGAATATATCGGGTCCCTAAGCCAGCTGACAAAGTTTATCTCTGAGTGAGTTTGTAGGTTCAAATGCCACCCTAACTCGAGCTTTGTTGATGATCCAACTGAAAGTTCCCGATGTACCTTTCTTATAGGGTAACAGAATGGAGGCTGTGAACTCTTTTCTACTCGTGTTTTCCTTATTATTCATACTCGGGTTACTGTTATTAGTTCTTTTTTCGTAGGAATTTCTTAATAAATTGCAGAGGATAATTATTAACTATTAGTACTTCTTTTATGTGCTTCCGTTCCTTGATTAGGCCCCTTGCATTGACCAGTCAGTAGTTTAGCTCTATCACTTAGACATTCGAGTAAACCTGCCTTAAATAACGTTGGATAAGGTGACCTGAGGTCTAGACACGTGCTGGAATGTGTCGGCTTTCTGTAGGTGATAGTATCCAGACCACCGTCTGTCTTTCGTTTTATCCTGCAATCCAACAGAAGTTATATATATATATATATATATATATATATATATATATATATATATATATATATATATATATATATATATATATATAAACTCAGTAGTAGACGCAATCCAATTGACTTACGAGGTAGAAAATGAACAACGACTATAAAAATCAATCAAATGTTGAAAGTAGTGTGATTACATTGATATGATTATGAGCAATGATAATTTATTTTAGAAACGTCGTCATCAAGTGAATCATACTGTATCAATGTGTGTTATAAATGAAATAAACGAATCTGATATGAAATAGGCACTTTTGCATGGTATCCTTGTGATCATGATTTGCATTACGGAATTATCGAGTCAGACAGAGTTCTTGTTAAGAAAAAGTTATTGTGATAAATGGTTACCAATGCAATCGGATAAGTAATTGCCCACCAATACCAACATTCATGACCGGTATCATCGGCCTAAAGTAGAGTTAAAACATATTTTATGAGATGTAGGTAAGTTATATTCAATATGTTTGAAATAAAATAATTCCAAACTTTCACCTGCCCCGTCTCTCCCCAATATATTTGTGAAATCGTATCTTCTTTAACCACTGAATTTATTGATATTATTATTATTATTATTATTATTATTATTATTATTATTATTTGCCCCTTGGGTTCCTAGTGGGAACATACGGCTTCAGTAGTACGTCTTTATTTCGCTCTGTTCTATGCAGTCTTTTGAACCTGGCTCCACGACTGCCTACAAGCTTTCATTTCTTCCTCACATCATCTCTTCCATGTCACCCTTGGAGGCCCAACTCATCATTTCCCATTTGGGCTCCACTCGAGTGCCTGGGGCATTATGTCCCCGAATGGTCTTCTCACTGTATGCCCAATCCATTTCTACTTTTAGCCACTGAAAGGGAATCGTTTAGAGGATTGTTTTTTTTTTCTACAACAAATGGTTGAATCAACAATATTTTTCGTTGGTTCTGTTTACATTATTTAACTTTCTCATCGTTTTTATGGAGACAACTTTCCACCACTTAAAGGTTTTTACTGCTAGTTGTGTTGTGGAAAGACTGAAGAAATAACGCGGATATTTCGAACACAGAGAAAATCGCTCAATACTTACTATACGTTATGCAGCTGGCAAATGTTCCATTTCCTTTCAAGATTTTTCAATAACACACTGTTTAATATTTCGTCCAAGCATATTGTGTTCGTCATTTGTTTGAAAAATTACACCAGGTTTTGTGTCATGGTGCATGACCTTTCTTCGTTGGTAGAGCGATTAGTCTGGTTAATTTCCGATAACGAATGTGACTTTAACCTACTAAATAGTAGACAGGTCCTCTGTGCTCGTTCAGGGTGCGGCTTCTACTCCTTCTTTATGGAATGGTGTGTCTATTTTCCTGCGGATACGATGCCGGTTTTTACTTCCTAGAAGGACAAGCAGCGCACTTAAGACTAAATTAAGCAATAACGCCTGCGATGCCCTTAGATACCCGGAGCCACACTTACTCTACAACGACGGTGTCAGCAAGTCTGCAAACCTGACCTGAAAGGATTGGGCAAACTATTTCCTCACCGTTGTGTCTGGGATCGGGGCTTGCAGTTCTTCCCCGCGAACGAGGAATTCCTGGTACGTGCAAGTCATAAGCTTGCTCTGGTTACGTCCCTACCCTTTGTACACACCACCTGTCACTACTACCAATTGAATGCTCTAGTGAAGTCGTTGGATTAGTGTCGCTGAACTAGCTTGCCGCTCGACTGATGCGTTCTTGTGCCGAGGTGTGCTAAGACATGCCTTAATATTAATGACGCTGAAATACATTCTCATGCTGATGATATATAAATACTGTGTGCTAAAACATGGCGTTAAAATCTTCATACCATAAAGTGAATCAATTGAATTCCGAATCATGCAGAGTCCTGGGTTGATATTCACCAAACTGCTACATATGAAACAAACGAAATGTCTAAGTATACAACAAATTATTACGTTTTATACTTCAATACAGCAGTGAGTGGACAATAAATCTTTCTTGCGTTCACTCTAAGAATCTTAACCATATTTTCAATGACGTTCAAGTTTTTTGAATGACAGATGAGCAAAATCAACGGAAAAGCTCGCACATCAATTCAAGTTGCCACACATCATGACAGCATGCAAGGAACAAGTAAGTAGAAAAAATAGTCTATGAGAAGAAAACGAATTTGAAAAGCAAAGTTAGTAAAAATGTTCAAGCTTTAGAAAATGTCAAAGAATGAACACATATTTACCATTGTAACTGACCTTCAGCCATGTCATCATGATTATAGATTGATTCCTATGGTGTTGATGACCCCAAATAGGAAGTCTACATCGCCCTACACACCTCAGACCAACAGTCAGAGACTATATGAAGCGGTGTCACGTCTTACTCTGACCACCCTTAGCCTTCCTACTCTGGTTAACATTGGACGTCAAAGTAAATGGTGGCTTGGCATGCATAGCATATATTCAAACCAACCCAGTCTCTGAAGGTTCATAGTTTCATCGAATAACTTGCCTTTCTGGCCTTATATTCTTCGCCTGACATTGACATTTAGGGCGATGAATTGCAAACGTTTGCATGTCATTCAAGTAGCAGTGGATGATAAGTATTATAATGTTACAAGTCTTCTTTATCTATCGCACGACTGAAATAGGTATCTTCTGGAAAGGGATAAAATACGAGTATTAGTTTTTAATTGTAGGTCAAGCTTAAAGAACCTTACCTACCATGGAAAGATATCATTAGAGACATTGGTCAAGCAAAGAAAACATTAAAATATAAATAATACTACTAGAATTCGCAGGAAAAAATGATATCATTTTATTTCACGAATACTCTTCAGCTCCATACACTTTAAAAGTACTCTAGTTATTAGTACATAAAATATTTCAGAATCAGAGAATCAATAATCTTATGTTGTACGATGAAATCATTGATAATCCATAAAACGTATAAGAAAATTACTAATTGGTTTTAGGTTGGAATTCATCACGGACTGACATCAGTTTGAAGAACATTGGAAACCTGGGAGCACTGGACAGCTGTTTTGTATTACCTTGGGACTCCTTAGCAGTGTGCACTCATCACCACCAGGGATCGAATCCAGGACTTTCCAGTTCCGTGGCAACACGTTACCATTGAGCCACTGGGTAGAAATTCAGTGGTCCATATTTCCTGCTTCAGTCAGTTCACCACCCAGCGTGACCTACATCCAATGCTGTCGTTGAGTGACTATCTTCATGTTCGAACTTGGTTGGCACCACGACCTGTCATTGGAACTGTGAGAAATCACCTCTCGAAGCTAGTCACTGATAGGCGCTAGATTTAATTCTATCTGGAGGTTTGTGGAGGTTTACTAATTGATTTCAGGTTAGAATTCATCATGGACTAACATCATTTGGAGAAACATTGGAAACCTGGGAACGGTGGACAGGTGTTTCGTCCTAGTCTTATACTAGGACTGATGTTAGTCCAGGATGAATACCAACCTGAAATCAATAAATCCCAACAATACATCCAAATTGAATTAATCTGGTGCTCATTGGTCAACCAAGTTGAACATGAGGACAGTTACTCAACGACGACATTGGATGTAGGTCGCGCTATATTGCGAACTGATAGAAGTCAGGAATATGAACCATTGGATTCCGACCCAGTGGCTCAATAGCAACGTGCTGGTCATGGAACCTGAAGGTCCTGGAGGGTTGCGTTCATGGGTGCGCACTGTTGAGGAGTCCCATACTAGGACGGAACAGCTGTCCAGTGCTCCCAGGTTTCCAATGTTTCTCCAGCTGATGTGAACCCGTGGTGAATTCCAACCTGAAATCAATTAATAAGTCTCCACATACTTCCAGATTGAATTACTATTTGTACACAGGTAAAGACTGTAATTAAGGCTAGCTAACAACAGGTGAGCGGAATAAAGGATTGTGCAATTAAGATGAGACAGAATCAAATCATAGCCATCATGGAAGTTAGAGATTGACCATACTCTCTTTCTCTATCCACAAGTCAGGTTGAAAGCGTTTTATAGCCATCGCTCCCATGAAGCGTAGTAATCCAGACATTTTCTGTACTGCCATTGATTTAAAACTACTCGGGTCTTCATCTTGATGTCCTGTGTCTACAAGATGTCTGGCAATTGAACTAGTTAGAAGTTTACTTCCTTTGAAGCACAGATTCTTGAAGATATGCTTAGGAAGCCACGTGGATGCCCTTCTCTCCGTCCTTCTAATGTGTACTTGCTATCGCAAGTGCATGTGAATTCTTAAATACGGTTGAAAGTGACATAAGCAGGGTAATTATCTAATTTTGGCTGGTTTATCGATTATGTGGTATTGTATACTGGTACAAGTTTAGTTGCAGGAAAACTCCTTCTCATTGGTTCTTTGATTCTCGGGCCTATTCTCTCGGATATTACATCTCCCATGAATACAAGATGAATAAAAGCCTTGTCAGTGGTTGGATGGTTAGTTCTTTGAACCTGTTCTTTTCCACACTTTATAATAAGCCTCTTTGAATATTCATTCTCTCTGAGACACTTTTCAATAATAATGATGGATAGTGGCTAGCAGTTGGGATCCAGGATGCGCATTTCGTCCTATTTGAGACTCGTCAGCTGGACGTACCTGCCTCCCAGTGAGTGATGTTCCCACTGGGATCCATCATTACTCTATAATTAAGAACACAGGCAATATCGAGGCATCCTCACAGGAGCCCATATGCCAACAGAGACTGATCAATTCGGTCCAACCAACGACGGTGTAATACAAGCAATAACACTTTTCAATGATGTTTAGTTCTTCATCTAATTTGTCCGCAGAACATAAGGTTCCTAGCTTTGGTGTAGAGTGTTTTGACTAGCCCATACTTACAGCTGACAAGACAGAAACTCTTATAGTTAAGGTATTGTCCGGTCCACATGTTTTTTCGATGGATGGTCTTTTCAGTTGTACATTTATTGAGGTCCCAGAAACTTAACTGGTTTTCATGCTCATATTCCGTCATAAATTTAATCTTGGGATGAGCGTCGTTGGACATGTCGAACAACTGAGCTGCATGTTTCATATCATTACCAACAACAAAGGTGTCATCAATGTACCTGCAGTAATAGGTTTTTCCTCTGACGACTGAACTCAGGCAGATCTTATCGAGATAACCCATGAAGAGATATCTGCCAGGAGAGTTCCTAGCAGTAAACCCATGGCCACTCCGTCAATCTGTTTATAAAACTGGTTATTGAAATGGAACTGGACAACTTTCGTGTGATTTCGGGCAACGACAGTAGATCAAGTTTTTTGACAGATAATATCAATCGTTTCACTCATTGGTATATTTGTAAATAAGGAAGTCACATCGTATGAGATGATGAGGTTGACTACTATTTCGGGCTTTGTCCAAATTTATCAAGGGATCTAATTGGATGAAATAATTGGTAATGTTTTTGTTTTAGAAACTTTGTTGCTCTGCAGTTGTCTACATCATGACAGCGGTTGCATTCGCTAGCAACACTATCTAGTCAGTCTTTGTGACATAAGATTGACTCAAGAGTGATGGGAATAACTGAACGCGTTGAACAGAAATCTGAGTATATTTGGCATACGTTTCGTGCCTTTCAAATTTATGATGCTCCAAGACTACCTGAAACTACTCCCAGTTTACCAATCGAGAGTGAAGTGGTCGGATGTGTCGACATGGTAGCCACTTAATGTTTCGCGACAATAGGCCAGATATTCGACTACCTGTTAAAGGACTGCTTTGCAGTCTATTCTGTCCTGTTATACAGCTGTGACACATGGCCGTTGAAAGTAGAAAATATGAAGCGGTTACAAAGTTTCGATTATATGTGTCTTCGTAGCATGGCTCGCGTTTGGTGGAATCACCTTTGTGAGCAATGTTGCGGTCAGGAAAAGAGTACTCGACAAAATAGGCAAGTCGATTGGTGAGGTTGTGAACGTTTGTCGACTGAGATGGCTTGGATGTGTCGAGTATGCTGAGTGACAGCCTGGCTCGACATGCAATACCCTAGGGGGAAGGTGGATTAGGTTGAAATAAGGCTCTGGGCAGCCAGACGAGGACGTGGCACCAGTCGTTAAAGTTGGTCTGAGTTATGTGTGGGAAATGTAGACTGCGTGGCTGTGGTCCCTGAGAACTCTTGGTGACATGGCTGAATATCGGTCACAATGGCGCAGATATATTCACTCCTTAGCAGCATCTACAAGCTTGAATATTCACACTAACTGTTATCTTCAGATTGTTTATTCTCTTACACAACTTTGTCTACTACGGTATCGCTCTATCCAGTTCTTTGTACACTTCTATACTTGAAGTGTTTCACTTATGTGCGAGGTAATATGTTGATTCTGTCTTTGTGACATAATAGTACCTGACAAATATCCAGTCTGTCCTATGCAGTACGAATCAAACATTCACCACAACATATCATCTCTGTCCGCGTCTAATGTGGTCGACGACGGTTTCGGTAACTGAGATAAACTTATCTTTTGTTTATCTGTCAATATTGGCAAATCTACTGGTTAAACTAGGCATATTTCGAAAATTCACTGTGAACTGTTCTCTTATTGTTGTTGCTTGTATTATACCGTAGTTCATTGGACCGAATTGATCAGTCTCCATTGGCATATGGGCTCCTGCGTGGATGCCTCGACGTTACCTATGTTTTTAGCTATATTGTAACGATGAATAGTGACTATTAGTTGTATCCAGCCTGACACGCGTTTCATCCTATTCGGGACTCGTCAGCTGGATGTACCTGTCTCCCAGTGAGTGATATTGTTCCCACGGGATTTCAATTCGGTGCCAATCGCTCCAAACGCCACAGCGTTATCCACTGGATCACCGAGTCAAGATAGTCACTTCTTGTAAGATGGGTTTAGTGTCAACGACAGGATAACAGAAGCAACAACATTGAAACTATGCCCATCGCTCAGGAAGTAGCTATCGTGACTCGGTGGTCTAGTGGATAACGCTCTGGAGTTCGAAGCGATCGGTCCCGAGTTGGAATCCTGTTAGGAACATCACTCACTGGGAGGCAGGCATATCCAGCTAACAAGTCCTGAATAGGACGAAATGCACATCCTGAATTTTATTGCTAGTCACTATCCCTCATTACTATATTCTTTTGTTGTTTATATTCATATCGAATTTTATTTAAACATTTTCTAGGTCAACAAAGAAGATCTAAGGGAAGATGTTGTCGTCTGAACTGCTTTTGTTTATCATAAGATCATTTCTATTTCATTCGGACAATGTACAACCATGAGTTGATTGAGACTTATAAAATCCCGATGTCTTTCTACAAAATCATCCCTTTTTCTATTGTAACAATAAGAATAAAATTTCTGCTTGCCTATTGATACAATCTTCAAGTATACACATCGATTGTGTAGAAATTTTTTCATTCATTCATTCTTGATGATGATGATGATGCATTCCCCTTTCCCCTCTTCAGGCTTATGATTTTAAACTATGGTAAAACATGAGGGTGAGATACCACTCAGATTAGCTGTGTAGCCTTCTTACGACATTATAGCATTTCTTTACTTCAAATAATTCGCTTTCTACTTACATTTCTCTGAATATTTCTTTTTGTCTTGTTTGTTTTTTACAGTTGACTTGTTTCTGACTTTCTTTTATATAAACTAGATGATTTGAGGAATAGAATTCATTGCTGTGTTCTCTCTCTCCCTATATATATATATAACCCGACAGTATACATAATATTGTAGTTTCTCCTTAATTTGTATTAGATTTGCATATGTTTAATGTGATTTATTTAGATGTATTTAACATACTACTTTATTATTATTGTTGTAATTAGCGAGGAATAGAGGTGTAAAGAGTATATGTAATTGTTGTTTTGTACCTATGTATCCCAATATCACATATTCTATATACTTTGTGTGCAATATATTTTAGTTATAATAATAATCGCTTTATTCCAAACAATATGTTTTATGCAGTTTGGAATTCTCAGCAAGTTCACTACCAGAATAATATGTTCAAACAAAACGATTACTGTATCCAAGTGATGCCATTAATAGCACTGTGAGTCGCAATAATATTGAGCAGTTAGCTGATTTTGGATTAGCTTCAGATGTCGAAGGGAGGAGGTACATAGAATCGAACGTAAGTTTTGGTGCTCATGGTCCATTCAGCCAATACAACAATCTGCTATAACAAGCTAAGCGTCTGAGGAGTGGAAATATGATGAATGTTTGCCCAGTTATAATAGTTCATTTCTATCTGAAACCAGGAAGGGCAGCAGGACCAGACAGACTACCAGCTGAGGTATACAAGAATAGTGGTAAAGCGCTCTTAGTCAGGTTAACGGAAGTGTTAGCTAGTAAATGGGAATCAAATACGATCCCCTCTGACTAGTCAAAGTCACTGATTATACCAGTCTTCAAGAAAGGTGAGAAGTCCTCTTGTGATAACCACAGAGGAATCAGCCTGACGAACATAGTATCCAAAATCCTAGGTTCTATAATTCTCCGACGCCTGAGTGGAGCTCGGGAACACCAAGCCCGAGAAAACCAGGCAGGCTTTAGACCTGGCCGTGGATGTATCGACCAAATATTCACGCTGCGCCAGGTCCTGTAACATAGGCATGCTTACAGACGCCCGACAATAGCTGCATTTCTCGACCTGAAGGCGGCATTTGACTCCGTTGGTCGAGAAGTCTTATGGCAATGTCTGTCACTGAAAGGCGTGCCTAGTAAGTACATCACCTTCTTGAAAGCTCTCTACTCGAACACTTGTGGGCATGTTAGAGCCTATGGCGAGTTGTCCAGGGAGCTATACTCATCAAGTGGTGTCCGTCAAGGATGCCCACTATCTCCATTCTTATTTAATTTTATCTTAGATATTCTTATGGAGGTTTCCCTCTCGTCACCTAATTACAAAGACGTTGACCTAATCACAGGTGAATTTTCTTTAGATCTGGAATGTGCAGGTGACATAGTCCTGTTAAGTGAAGACGCTGACAAGATGCAGAGTCTTCTGAACACTTTGAGTGGGAATTTGAGAATGTTTGGGATGCAGTTTTTACCACCCAAATGCAGATTTTTGCTCCAGGACTGGTCTTCAGCGGTACCGCGGCTAACAATAGAGAGTGAAGTGGTTGAGTGTGTTGACCACTTCACTTACCTGGGAAGTAGGATCAACCCTGGTGGGTTAGTTGGCGATGGGATCTCTGCACGGATACAAAAAGCCCGATTGGCTTTTGCCAATTTGTGTCACCTATGGCGCCGCCGTGATATTCGTTTGTCTACTAAGGGTCGCGTGTACTGCACAGCAGTCCGCTCTGTTCTACTGTATGGCTGTGAAACATGGCCGCTGAAAGTGGAGGACACAAAAAGGCTTCAGGTGTTTGACCACCATTGCCTTCGTAGTATAGGACGTATTCCGTGGTGTCACCATGTGAGTAATGCAGAAGTTAGGTGTAGAGTTTTGGGGAGAAGAGGTAAGTCAGTTGACGAGGTCATGAACCTTCATCGATTGAGATGGTTGGGACACGTGTTACATATGCCTAGTCGCTGATTACCTCGTCACACAATGTTGGCCAAAGTAGGCGCAGGCTGGGAAAAGGCCCGCCGGGGTGGTCAGACTAAAACATGGCACCAATGTATGAAGTCTCTGACTGTTGGTTTGAGCCATGTAGGGAGATGCAGACTAGGTGGTTGGGTTCCGCGGGACAAGAGGAACCAGTGGTTGGAGACCCTAGGTGATATGGCTCAGAACCGACGTGAGTGGCGCAGATGTATACACACATTATCCTCATCTTAACAACGCCATACCGAATCTCACCATTTTGACATTCTTCCTTCTCGTACTTTATATATCTTTTGGCTGAATTTTCTTATCTTCATCTTTCACCTCACTACCTTTCTATTTGATGTACTGATATGAAGTGTGGCAACTCGGCCCGTTAAGCAGTAATGCCTGGTTTTATTGATATTGATGATGAACCGATGTAGAGAACCAGTCTTTAGTTTTAAGGATAGTAGGTTAGGTGGCTAGTTTTTAATCCTTGCAGCGGATGTCACTTCTAGGGTCCAGTTTTTTCTTTGAAGCGTTTATTGAATGAAGCAATACTACTTCAATGATGAATTATCGTGATAGGGGTCCAGGTTTTGTATGAAGTCTATTCGGCCATGGCTTTTCAATCTTCATGATGAAATCAGAACCGAAATAGTTAGTCTAAATACTGTTTACCAAGATACGATAACTTCGTTTTCGAAGGATAAGATAGAAAGCAGGTCTAACTGCTCGTGATATAGGAGGTGTGAAGTTCGCCTGTGCAGCTTTGTACGTCTTCTTTGGACACTTCCCTAGCAGTGACGCCTTACTGCCTGTATGCAGCACATATTCTCCGTAAAGCCTCGTGAAGTTACCGCGTCCGGAGTACTTTAGTTGCGGTCGCAATAAAATATGCTATTATCCTAAGTTATGACTCCTAGATCCTTTTATTCACCGATTGAAAGCAACCGTAAGCCATTCACTGGTTTCGTATGAAAGTCCCCTGGACTGCTGTGCGATCCAGGACGTTTGCTGGAATTAATCACCGAACTGCGCACTAAATTCGTCAGCAAATACCTAGGATGACGACTTGACCACTGTCGGTAGTTAATTATTACAGATTAGGATGGGAAGGACTCTAGTAGTATCCCGAGTAACCACAAAATTAACCGGTTTTCATTCAGACAGTATCCGTTCTACTTTCATTCATACTGTCCTTAACCCACTCTTGTACCTTGCAGCCTATGCCAAACCAACACGTCAATGTGACACACCTTGTCAAAAGCCCTAACAAAACCAATGACCACCACATTCAAGGGCAGTTTATTATTCCTAACTTCTATCTACTCTTTCGCTAGAGGTAGACTTATTAAAATGGAGAATCTGATCCGAAAGTCGTATTAATTCACATTATAATTTCGTCCTTGCTTTTTTTCTTTAATACTTTGGCAACCATGCTATTAGGACTAACACAATGAAAGTTAGTCACTAATTGCCTTCCTTAAAACTGGAATAAAGAAGAACATCTATCTAGTCCCCAAGTGACTCACTAACTGACTCATGTTTTGATCGCTTGCCTTTCACAGACAGACAAAATCAAGGTAAAACCTCGCACACACGTATATCGGCTCAAGTTACATCAATAATAGACAAAAATTGAAAAATCTATAGGCAAGTCATCGGTTAAAGACGCCTATTTCAGATACATAAACTCTCCAAAAGTATACATAACCTACTAGGAAATAAGATATCTAATGGTAAACAAACATCTGCCAGAAACAAATTAACCTTGAATCTTTGGAGAAGATTTCAATGATTAGAGTATTCTTCATTTTAAATGAGACATTAAATATACAACAAGTTTTATTTTAAAAATTATCTTGAATACATAAATGAGCATTACAATGAAATACACACATACACAAGTAGACATTGAAGAGAAATTATTAAGTAAACACACTTCTGTAGCCCCTTTTGCTAATTAGTTTCAATAGTTCGATTCGATGCAGTGTTTATACAATCTGAAAGACAATCATTCTGTATAGTTGATTCTAGGCCACATGGACTAGATGAGTTAGCATTAGACTTATTATTATTACTATTATTATTATTATTATCATGGCTAGTATTTGGCACTAGTGAATGACGTAGAAAAGTTTGACGTCTTGTGTTAATTAACCCTGAGGATGACTGACTTTCATTATTCAATTGTTCGCCTTCACTCTTTGACATTTTATTCTTATCAGAAACTTCATTAGATTGAACAGAATCATATTGATCTATTTTACGTCGTTTTAAAATAGATAAATTGTCCATTTTATTCACTAGGTCATGATGAGACATACAAACTATCTGAAAATAGAAATTAAATTGAAAGAAAGAAAAGGTCATATAATAAACAATTAACACTAACATTATCATAGACATTAGTAGATTATCATGTATAATAGATGATGGAGTTTTTTTTCTTCGATAAAATGAGGCAAAAAAAAGAGAAGAAAAGAAAACCGAAGGAGAAATACTTCAACACAAAGACACCTTAATCATATGAACATAGAATTGATGAATAGCAAAGAATAAAAAACATATTAATGATAAGTATTTCATTTCGTTGGAAGATGAGACAAGATTATTGACAGAGATAACTGAGTTTGTAAGTTGGTATAACGTGAATAGAACATTGAGAAATATTGTCTCTCTTCTGTCTTTAAGAAAGATGTATTCGTTATTGAATGCATAGATATGGCTTAAACCTCTTAATGCCTCAACAAAAATTAAAATACGTCCCCCCCTCCTCCTATTTCAATAATACGTTTAGCTATTAAGGAACTGCAGTTGTTGTCTTTTTTTTCGGAGGGGGGGGGGTTAAATGACTCTATTTGCTTCTGAAGTCACTTTGGAATATGTTCTGTAGCCCTTATTTCAATGATTGATGAGTCCTCCCTATGCATATGTATGACTAAATATACATTTAAATCGGTAAATACAATGGGATGTAACTACATCTTTCCTGTGTTCCTCAGGTTTTGATGGGTATATAGGCTACGAATTTTCAATCACACAAAATGTGTTAATTGTTTTGACCAAAAGAATATACAGTTTTATTACTCACATTAATATCATCAAGGCCTTGATGGTGAATATTTTCATTAGATTGATGGTGTTGCTATTGGAAAATCCCTTGGGTTCCCTTTTAGCAAATATTTATATACTAGGTGATGATTGAAGGTGAAAATTTAGACTGTAGTCGGAATCGAACCAACGAGGTCCAAATTTTCATTTCACCTTCAATCATCAACCAGTATCAATACAAGTCTGCCAAACCACAGCTATCTCAGGTATTCAAAATGATAATCAATATGATGATCCCCGATCTCTACTTCAGTTAGATTTGGATTAAGATGAGAAGTCCTAACGAGGTAGCCAGTGATCAAGCGATAGTAACGTACCACGAATTCACATAGTGGTCGGGCAAAACCCTTGATGATTCAACTGAAATAAAAATCTAGTCAGCAGTCAGACTTCATAGCTCATTCGGTAGAGCATCGCGCCAGTAACCCCGGTAGTCGTTAACTCGAGTCCGGTCGCAGTCCAAATTTCCATTTCACCTTCACTTGTCTGTCAAAAAACGGTTACATTAGATAGTCAGGAAAGTATTTATATGTTATACGTTAAAAAGTGATTTGAGGACTTAATTGAGAAAGTTCCATTTTGTAAAAGATATGCGGTATGATATCTGAATCATAAGTGATGATCCACGTTGTACTACTATTTCACTTTTGAATCGAATGAATGTAGTATAGAATAGCATATCTTTAACAAGTTTAAAACAGATTGATAATTGCCTATCTTTCTTAGATGTATTGATAAGTCGACAGCAAGATGAATCAATAAAACGATCCATTTAAAGAAAACCTACTTGGACACGTCAAAATAAATGAGGCTTACTTAGGTGCTTATTTAATCGACTTCAATGAATATGCACAGCGTATACATTGGAAGAAGAGGCAAGATTATTGACGGAGATATTAATTGAGAACAACTACCCATTGAAGTTTATAAGCTGGCATAAAGTGAACAGAACATTGAGAAATACTGTCTCTTCTCTATCCATAAGAAAAATGTATTCATCAAGCTAACATACATTAGTGCTACGAACAGCTTGTTGATAGTCAAATATAGACTTAACGCTGCCATCAATAAAACATATTATACAGCTAAGGTTTGAGATAATTGAAAATTTAAAGCCTACATACTCATCCAAGCCAATGGAACAAGGTAAAGATGAAGTCATATCCCATTGTATTTACCATTTTAAATATACGTGTGGTTGATCACATTATACATAGGAAGGATTCATCGATCATTGAAAATAAAGTCCACAGAACATATTCTAAAATGGCTTCAGAAGCAAATAGTATCATCTGACCCAATTGATGATACAAACAAACGTCCAAGTACCTCAATAGTTAAACATAATATTGAAATGGGGAGTGGTAATGAAATGGATATGCAACAGTTATTTAAGCTCATCTCTATAAGACTTAAAGAATTAGTCGTTAGGAGGACTAAGTCCTTTTTATGCATTCAAAACACAATTTGTTATCAAATTAATCCTTTCCTTGGTAAGTTTCCTCGGTTTTGAATTCAAGGTCATTGTACTATGTACTTTGTTGTTGCTGCTTTAGTGATCTTTATGGTTGCTTTAACCTTCAATATAGACTTCCCTTCTAACCGATAACTACTTAACTATCTTGTATTCTTTCATAGAAATGATCAGATTGTTTAAATAAATTGAAAAACAATTTCCACCTCTATTATTTCTATGATATATAGATACTATTTTGCTATAATTATCATAGGTAAATATATTTGTATTTAGGCTCATTCCTTAAAGGATTTATCTCATACATTGTGTGCATCACCGACTGACTGAAGTAGAAAACACAACAATCTTAATAATAATAACAATATATAGTATAGTAGTAATGAGAAGCCGTGACCTGTGAAATCGGGCAGTTGGAAGGGAAGCGGATGCTAACCTAAGACCTTGGATGATTATCGCACTATATCGTGAATTGACAGAAGCTAGAAACTGTGAACACCTGAAAATCGATCCAATGGCTGAATGGTCAACGCGTTCGCTGTGAAATCTGAATATTCTGAGTTCGATCTCTAGTCGGATCGTAACTGCGTACTCCTGAGGAGTCCCATAGGATAAAGCAGCTGTCCAGTATTCTCAGGATTTCACTAGTTCCCCAGCTATCTGTCCATGATGAATATTACTTCTAGATATTTTAGTCTTTTAAATAATTTAATAACGGGTTAGCTAGTTAATTTGATGAAATAATGAATAATCTACATTTGATTACTTAAAAAGTAAAACGAGATTTCACAGCGAAGATGATTCATTTGCACAATTGTACATTTGTGAATAAAAGAATGTCGTAGAAAAGTTTCCAGTTAGAGTTCAAACCTAATAGACAGATGTATAGGGGGGGCGATGAAATGTTATTACGTAATACAAGAAATGATGTCAATAGTTTGTATAAAATGCATTGAACAATAAGATTTGATATCTGTATAAAGCCATCGTAAAGGAAGAGTTTGTACGTGTTTCTAGCAAATATACAATTGAAGTTTGAAGCTGTGAATTTTCAAGGCATCATTTATGCATAAATGTCTAGTCTTTATACTGTTTTGAATGGACTTTGAACAAAGGTTAATCGGTCTATCACTTTATTGTGTTCTCATAATAATAGCTGATTTGTCAGAGTGTGAAAGACAAGTTAACGCGTTAGGAGTCATCAGTGTGAATCTATAAGTTCACTTGCTCCCGTGGAGCTGAGCATGTCAGCTATACTATATGGTCACCTAGAAAACGTTCTTGTAAACATTATTCAGTCTAGTCGCTGGAGGGTCAGCGCAAAACCAGCTCGTGTTAAACATTTCATAGACTTTGGATATTTGTCTCCTCTGCAAATGTTGTTAACAATTCTGTAAAGAGTTCAAGTAAACCGTTCAAAATGGGTTGAAGTTTAGACACTTATATATAATTCATGCCTTGGCAATTCACAACTTTAAACCTCAATTGTATGTTCAAAAAAACACATACAAACACTCTCTTCCCTATGGCCTTAAACAGACACTCTACACCTCTGTTTTTGATTAAATTTTATCACATACCAAATCTTATTGTTCAATGCATTTCTTAAAAACTATTGAGACCATTTCTTGTATTATGTAATAACATTCCCTTCCCCTCTATACATCTGTAGATTAGGTTTCAACTGAAGCCAGAAACTTGTCTACAACATTTCAACGTTTTATTGAGATATATTTACTAATGTACAACTATGCAAATGAATCACTGAAAGGAATGTTATCTTCGCTGTAACGCTCTTTTCTTTTCAATTCGATAAAACGCAACTAGCAACTAAATGAATACAGAATTCGAGGGTTTGTGGGGATTTAGTGATTTTTCAAGTTGGCGTTCATCATGGCCTGACATCAGTTGGAGGAACATTAAAAAAATAGGAGCACCTGTTTTCGATCCATGCCGAGGCGGGGTGATGGGTGCGCACTGCTGAAGAGGAAGTAGCTGTCCAGTGCTCCCAGGTTTCCGATGTCCCTACAACTGATGTCAGTCCATGATGAATACTAACTTGAAAAATTACTAACCCCCCACAAACCTCTAAGTTAAACTGACATAGTGCACATGGGTGACTAGCTTCAAGAGGTGAATTTTTGAAGTTCCAGTCAGGACTCGTGACCGATGGAACAAACCTGGTGGCTGTGAGGACAAATACTCAACGATAACATTGGGTGGTGGTCACCCTGTCATGAACTGATTGAAGTAGGAAATAAGGACTAGTGGGTCCTGACCCAGTGGTTCAGTGGTAACGTGCTGGCCGCGGAACCAGGAGGTCGTGGGTTCGGTCCCTGGCAGGGTCATGGGTGTACACCCCTGAGGAGTCCTATGCTAGGACGAAATAGACATCCAGTGTTTCCAATGTTCCTCCAACTGACGTCAGTCCATGAAGACATTTTTAATACATAATAATTAAGGTAAACGGTGGTAATATGATACTTCCTCAGCTGATGGATATGAATATATGTTGGCTAAATTTAGAATTGTATGGCAGATTTTTGATGGATAGTGACTAGCAGTGGAACCCAGCCAGACGCGCGTTTCGTCCTGTTTGGGACTCGAACCCGGGGCCGATCGCTTCAAACATCAGAGTTACGATAGCTACTTCTTGTGCAACGTGTATGGTTCTTAATGTCGTTGCTTGTACTATCCCATTGTTGGTTGGACCGAATTGATTGGTGTCTATTAGCATATGGGCTCCTGTGTTTCAATTATATATTAATGCCAGAAACAAAATTGTATGATATCGAATGAAAAAAAGCTTACAGTTATGAAGACATTTATATCGTATTTATAAAAGAAACCTACCCTAGCAAGAAGGGCATTTATTCTTTTATTTTCTACAGTGGAGTGAATACCATCACCACTTTCAGATCGAATGTTAGACAGCTTACATTTACGTTTTGGTAAAGCTGGAGGCAGAACAACAATGCTTCCTTCAACATGAGCCAAACAAAATGATGATGGACATATAGAACAGAAAATATGAGAAGGACGACCACAAGCATCACAATGATGCCAAGGACAAAACCATTGACCTAAAGTTAACAAAGATAAATGTTCAATCTACATTGAACCAATAAATCAATAAAATTTATCTTTGTAATTTAGAAGTATGTTGAAAATAAAATAATATTGTCATATGTATACTGAGGAGTTGACGACTTTCAAGCGGTGGGTCATGGGTTCGAGTTATGCACCACCTACCACCTACAATACGTGTATGGCTCATATCTACTGCACGAATGTGTACAATGTTACTGAGTAGGTTTCAATTTTCGATTCTTGTGCATACTCGCCTTTATTTCTAATCTAGAACAACAAATTGTTGGTTGTATTGCTAGTTATTATGTCAAAAAACTGACTGAATATACACCATCTGCTTAAAGAAGCTCGATGCATAGAGTAGATCTTAATTAGACACATAGTAGTCTTCAACTACAAGGGCAATAGATCTGACGTGATCATTTATAAGAATGTTCATAATTCCGTTCAACGTTGTAATCTAGAATTTTTCCTTTGAAATATTATCGTACACAGAATATGTAATTACAACAATGTTTATATCCCACATGTAGCGCATAAAATTCTGTTTCATTTTCGCACTTATAGATTAGAATAGAGTATTCAGTTTCAAATACAAACTGCCTGCGTTATTCTCATATAACTGACCAATTGAATCAACGTAGAACCTTGCACATAAGTGCATCGGCTCAAGTTATCACACTTTACAGTAATGCATAAAATACAGGTTGATAGAAAAAGATTGATTTCAAAGTAGACAAAGTTTGAAAATAAACGTTAGTGAAAACATTCAAGCTTTAGAAAATGTCAAGGGATGAATACATCTGCACCATTGTTGTCGGTTTTCATTTATGTCGCTAAAAGTCCTCAACCACTGATTCCTTTTGTTTTCAGGACTCCAATTGGGTAGTCTACATCACCCCACACGCCTGAAGCCAACAGTCAAGGACTTCATCAACTGGTGCCAAGTCCATATCTAGCCACCCTGAACCCTTTTCCATCTTAATCTAACTTTAGTGTCATTGTTTGTATTATACTGTCATTGATTGAACCAAATTGATCGGTCTCTATTGGCATATCGGCTCCTGTGCGGATGGCTCGATATACCTGTGTTTTAGTCATAGTAAAGACGGATGGTGGCTATAATACAAACAATAACACTAAAACTGTACCCGTCGCATAAGAAGTGGCTATCGTGGCTCGGTGGCATTTGAAGCGACCGCTCCCGAGTCCGAATCTCAGTGGAAACAACATCACTCACTAGGAGGCAGGTATGTCCGCTGACAAGTCCCAAATAGGACTAAATCCCCATCCTGGATTCCACTGCTAGCCACTATCTATCTTTAATCTAACTTTTCCCAGAGTAGCACGTTGAGGCAAGCAATAGCTGGGCATGCGCAGTACATGTTCAAGCCATCCTCATATAACCAATCAGAACATAAACATACTGCGAGGAGCAAAAGACAGGTATATAGGAGGGAATGTTTATTGCCAACAAGTGGGACAGTAGTCGTTAAATACGGTACACCTTGCACTAAAACCGTTATTAGCAAAATGTGCTTCATTTCCTTCTCTGCTTCTTCCTTGATTTGCTCTTTATACGCCTGCCTTGTCCCTTGCGTTTCTTTTGGCGGAATCTTTACCTGTTGCTGGTAATTCCCTATGATTTCTGCCACCCTCTCAACATATACTACTTATATTCATTCTTATCAGCAACGTCCACTACAATACCACCATATAACGATTTACACTATTTAGCCATAAAGGTGTGAATCATGGACAATGAAAGTAAATCCTACAAGAAGACACCAAGCATTTGGTCATATTTCAATGAAGTATCACTGCTGTATGACAAGAGTATACAACATTCACGCCAAAAAAAATTATTGAGTGTTGATTAGAGGTGATTATGATGATGATAATTGCCTACTTCAATGTATGCGGTTAGCTGCTATAGGATGATAGAAACTTTGAGTTAAACTGACCAATGAGTAGACGCACCCAGTTTATGATACTGATTTCTGCTCCTCTTACTATGAGTCTTTTAACACTGATGACTAGAGTTTCGAAAATACCAAAGATTCGATTACAAACGTAATATTCAATAATTCTAGTTCAGATTGGCTGCTGTACCTCGCATTTCACAGTATCGTTTACGTCATGTAATCTTTGATAGGACTGTTCAGTCATTTCTGTTTCATTTTTTGAAATGTCTCGTATAAATATTGGTTAAATCGCTTATCAATATTTAAAACCTCTTTTATTGCCTTCATGGATATGCAGTATCGGCCAGATATCGACCGAAGGGTCTTTTCAACAGTGCAAATCACGATTCCATCAGGGATCGAACTCAGGACTTCAAGCTTCGCGATGAACGCGTAGGCCATTCCGCCATAGGCTCGGAGTTCATTGGCCCACAGTTTCTTACAGCTGTCAGTTCGCGTCTACCCACCAAATCCTTACTTGGCATCCATTTCACTTCCAACTGATTGACCTCACAGGTTGAGGCTTCTCATTAAGACTTCGGGATATCCATCCAAAGGTATATCATCAATTTAATCTGAGGTTTGCTGTGAGACCTGAGGACGACCCTAGTCGTGAGTACGCACCGTTGAGGAGTCCTATACTAGGACGAGACAGCAGTCCAGTGCTCCTACTTTTCTAATGGTTCCCAACCGATGTCAATCGATGATGAATACTACCTTGAACTAAATACAATCCCCAAGAACTTAATACTAGATTAATATCATTATGAGTAGATTCAGTTTAAGAAGTAAGAACAAAAAAGTAAACTCTATGGTAATCATCTAGTAAAAGACTAAACTTACCACCGGTAGGTGGTGTATCCAAATCAAGACAGAATAAATGATAAACTTTTGAACAATCAGATTTACTGCATACAATTAAATCAGATGATTTCTGTAATGTTTGATCCTCTTGACTAGTTGATATTGAAGTGGAGGATTTCAATTGTAATTCAGTTTGACTTATTGATTGAGGTGAATTTAATCCATAGAGTGAAGTTTTAGTCGGTGAATGATTGACAACAGCTGCAACTAAATCTTCTAATTCACGTTTTAATCCACGTTTATTTACAGATTTATTTGTTGATAAGATATTACTAGTAGAAGATGTTGGACTTAGAATTTCATAAGATAATGGTACTGTTGATCGTCTTCCAACAGGAGCATCTTTTTCACCACATCTAAGAAGTTAATTTTTTAAGTAACAAAAAAAAACAACAAAAGGAAATCAACTTTAGAGCATATTGTTGATAAGATCTGATATATAAGCTGAGTTGAAATATTCACCTGGTGTTCCATTAAACAATAGAAAACATCTAAATCACATAAAAATGACAAGCTCAAAACTATAATTAGTATCAAATGTCAAGTATACGAATGATGGACAAGGGCTAGCAGTGGAATTCAGGATGCGCATCCAGCTGATGGGTCCCAAATAGGATGAAATGCGCATCCTGGATTCCACTACCCATCATTACAATACATAGTTAAAACACAGGCAATATCGAGGCATCCCCACAGGATCCCATATGCCAACAGAGACTGATCAATTCGGTCCAATCAACGACGGTGTCATACAAGCAATAACACTAGAACTATGTACTCTTTACAAATAATTGCTTTCAATTACACCATTATAGGATCGAAGAGTATTTCACATAAAGCCCATTTAAACATATCAACTTCTTCAGGAATTTCATATGATTCTTCACTTTCATGAATTTGAATAATAGTAACAGAACTACCATCCAGGTATTACATAGATTCTCCTCAGCTGCTTTACAACCTGCAGAATATTGTTTATGATGAACATATGCACTATATGCACCATATAACATACTTTAATAGATAGATAGATAGATAAAAGTTTTACGAATTGAGATGGAAGGTAACAAAGATTTAGACTGACCGACATCGATGAAGTTATTAAAATGACTCAAAGGTTAACTATTTACACAATGATAGAATGAACATTTGAGAGAAGATAGGAAAAAACATTGAGATGGGGTCATGCACAATGTTAATCTGGAATTAGTAAAAAGGACATCATGGTTGAGCAAAACGTAATGAAAGGTCAACAACTTTTTCACAAGATGAGTGGAACTCAGGAAGTGAGAGTAGATTTTGAAATAGATCGAAAAATAAGTTGAAAAGCAGAAACTACAACGTCATACAAATGAAAAGATTCATAAATACATCCCACTGGAAAGACACATGGAGCGGACTCTACTTCAGTTTTTGTCCAAATAGTTGCAAAAACAGTCTGATAAGGACACTTTTTTAAACTGTACTCTGAAGAGAAAACTGTGGAGGAACTGATCTTTGTCGAACACTGTCTACGTGAAAATGGTTACTCAAAAAAGTGCAGTACAGTTGACAAGAAGCCCACCTTGCTTTCACAGGGGATGAAATCGCTTCAAGGATAAGTCATAGACTGAGTGCTGCAATAAAAATCACCTATCCAGTCGCCCAATTAGTCTGTATGCATCAAACTGAATGCACACTGCGACAGTTCAAAGTGAACAAGTTCCCTACTCTTGTTACCTCCAGCTGCATCTACCAATTCACATGTACGTGCCAAAACACACACATTAGGATAACAGAGAGAAGGGTTCTTGTTCGCATTTCTGAACATATCCTGGAGAATATGAGTATTAAGGGTCCACAGTTTTTATAAGTTATTTGATTGCCCGGCATTCGATTGATACTGGACATCAAGTTGACGTATTAAAATCCTTCAAAGTGATCAATAAACAACGGAAATCCACTCATTTGGGGTTTGGTGAAGTAGTTCCAATTGAAACACTCAAATCTGATTTGCGTACTCAGGAAGACACTGTTTTCAACCTTGAATTATCTTGGTAATTTTAATCTAAATTCGTAGGTACAAGATTTCATGACCTCATGACTCTCAAGTTTTATATTTTACACTTTATTTTTCGATCTATTTCAAAATCTACTCTCACTTCCTGAGTTCCACTCATCTTGTGAAAAAGTTGTTGACCTTTCATTACGTTTTGCTCAACCATGATGTCCTTTTTACTAATTCCAGATTAACATTGTGCATGACCCCATCTCAATGTTTTTTCCTATCTTCTCTCAAATGTTCATTCTATCATTGTGTAAGGTTTACTGCTATTGATGGGAGGCAGGTACATCCAGCTGACGAGTCCCACATAGGACGAAATACGCATTCTGGATTCCACTGCTAGCCATTAATCATCATTATTGTACATAGTTAAAAAGACAGGCAATATCGAGGCATCCGCGTAGGAGCCCATATGGCAACAGAGACTGATTAATTCGGTCCAATCAACGATGGTGTCATACAAGCAATAACACTAAACCTATACCCATCGCACAAGGAGTGGCGATGGTGTAGTGGATAACGTTCTGGCGTTTGAAGCGATCGCTCCCGAGTCTGAGTCCTGGTGAGAACAACATCACTCACTGAGAGGCAGGTACGTTCGGCTGACGAGTCTCAAATAGGAGGAAATGCGCATCAGGCTGGATTACACTGCTAGCCACTGCCCATCATTACTATAGATAATCATAATGTTTGCATTTTTATTGATAGCTATTTATCTACAAAAATATCTTTTCATGTGTTGATAACATGTTTCTAAAAAGATGTGATGCAAAAAGAAACCGATGACATAAGCCTACAACTGAGGTTTATAAATATGCTCAACAATTTCTAATGGTGCTTACTGAAACTATCTCCTTCGACTATTTGTTTACTATACTTCAAATATTGAAAACCTAACTGTAGTACACTTTACAGAGTGATAACGCAGTTTGATAAAGCGAAAAAGACAAAGAATTACATAAATAATATCATTTTACAAAATGTTATGAATCCCAATGTTCACTAATCATCTGTGTTCAAGGTATGTTTCTTTTACCACTGTTGAGTTTGAATACTCTGGAAACGTAACGCGATTTCAAGTCGGTGTTCATCGTGGACTGACATCTTACAAAAACACTGAAAACCTGGGAGCACTGGACAGCTGTTTCGTCCCGGTAGGTGACTCCTTAGCCATAATCCCGACCATCGAGGAATCTAGGACCTTCAGGTTCTGCGGCCAGCATGTTACCATTGAGCCACTGGGTCAGAATCCAATGGTTCATATTTCTGAATTCTGTCAGTTAACAATATAGCGCGACCTCCATACAATGTCGTCGCTGAGTAGCTGTCCTCATGTTCAACGTGGTTGGCCTCACCGGTCACGACTTCTCATTGGAACTTCGGGAATCATCTCTCGAAGCTAGTCACCTATGAGCAGTAGAATAATTCGATTTTGAGGTTTGTGGGGATTTGATTCATTTCGGGTTGGAATTCATCATAGACTGATATCAGTTGGAGAGATATTGGAAACTTGGGAGCACTAAACAGCAATGCGCAACCCTAACCCGGCTAGGGAGCCAAATCAGGTTTCACGGCGAACGCGTTAACCGTTCAGCCACTAGGTCTCAGTCTAATAATTCACCCGCGGGGCCAACCAAGTTGAACATGAGGATACCTACTCAAGGACGGCATTACATGGACATCACACTGTTGTGAACTGACAAGAGTAGGAAATATGGACCATAGGATTCCGACCCACTGGTTCAACGGTAACGTGTGGGTCACAGAACCTGAAGGTCCTGGATGGTTGGGGTCATGGGTGCGCACTGCTGAGGAGTCCTGTACTAGGACGAGACAGCTGTTCAGTGCTCTCAGGTTTCCACTGCATCTCCAACTCATGCTAGTCCGTGATGAATACCAACCTGAAATCAATAAGTAGATTCCCACAAACCTTCAAATCAAAGTAATGCGATTCTACTCTCAATACTGAAAAATAAGGATGTGGATACAAGTGAGTCTTACGGGTTTTGAAACTGTTGTATAGCATAAGAAAACTGACCGAGGTAATTTATTTTTCATCTCTAGACAAGTTTTAGTGAAACGCCAGTGGGAGAGGTGGTAGTCGACACTACTCAGACGTGGCTCATTGACGTGATTAATTTATAGAGATTGATATCCATTGTCTTATAATTTGCGGAGCTGTGGTTCATCCGTCTAGAGAGAAGACTTTTAACCACAGGGTTTACGGGTTAGACCGTTGCTCCATCCACCGAGGTCTGGACAGCTCTAACACAATACGTGTGGCTCATCGCCTACTCCACAAAAGTGAACGCGGTTGCAAAGTGCATTTCAATTCGGTAGCTGACGATAAAATTCCGGATGCAAGCTTCGTCCTAAGACTCATCTGGATATGATGTATCTTCACCCCAGCGATTAGTGTTCCCAATGAGACTCAGACACAGTACACATGGCTTCAAATACAAAAGCGTTATTCACTCGGTCACGGATAATATTTGGTATGTGAAATGATGTGTAGTGGCTTCTAGTCTCAGCGGGAACAACGTCATTCACTGAGGTGCAGGTACATCCAGCTGATGAGTAGTAAAAACGACGAGATGCACGTTTTCAATCCCACCGCTAGCCAGCCACCAATTAAACTCTAGCATACTGAATATTCAAGCAGTATTGAGGCATACGCAGAAGAGCCTATCTACCGATGGAGGTCGAGCAATTCAATTCAGTATTGCTGAAACTTTATCGTGATTTGAAAATCTATGAAATAAGTCATGACCTATGCTGTAACGATGATTCAGAAAGAAACGGAATGTGGTTTGTGAGAAATCCTGAATTTCAGCTTCGTGCTTCTTAGTATTTATCATCACGGCGTATCTACAACTTCAAGAGGGCTGACGTTTCTTCTGAGATCTCGATCCATGTCACCCGATGCTGTAGTCAAAGACATTATTACTGAGCTATATAGACTGTAACTAACCTCTTAACGGACTGGATGATATAGAATGATAGGTTACTGAAGAGTGGTCGGTTCCATGCTGTCTGGTCTTAAGTGATGACTGGGTTGTATTATCCATTTTACAATTAACTAACATCAATGAACTACACCATGATAGTGAATTTCCTAGCTTGGTGACCACATTATTAAGAGAGAAGAGGACTCGATCAGCACCCAAGACTAGAAATAAAATGCAGTATATGATAAATGGCCGCGAATTCACTGTCTAAAACCATGAACTTTTTTGCAGAGTAATGAGAAAATGAAAAAGTTTCGAGGAAATAATAAAAGAGAAAAACCAAATATAAACTAACCGGAAACACTTAGTCTCATAATGTTTGCTCACGGATGAAAGACTACTAACACCATTCAAACCAATTTTACCATTTGTTATTGAACATGTAGATATAGTTGAAGTAGAAGTCTTATTGGAACCTGTGTCACGTCCATCTTTTTGATTAGACTTGTCAGCATCCCCAGGACGTGAATTTCCTTGTGATGTATGACGTTTGGATCCACGAATGGTGTCCGTATTAACTGAGACAGTTGATGAACTGTTTGATTCAACACAAGCAGTAGATGTATTGCCAATTTGGGCATTACCATTATTAGAAGACTCTGAACGTGCACCCAGAAATCCAACACAATTAGATGCCCCACATCGACAATTCAATCGCTCTTGACCCAATGCAACAAAATTATAATTGAATGTAAGCTCTTCACCAGCAGGTATATCTCTAGTATTAATTATGTGAAATAAACAAGAAGCGGTTTGAAAAAAGTGTAGACAGATAAACAGCATATATTTACCATTACAATCCATTAGCCATAAATACTATTCCTACCCCTTGATAAAAATACGAACATATTTTATGATATTGGTAATTCCCCGTTGCTATGCAGGGCTCCATTGCTCGACGTCTGTTGGCAGATGGGTGCCTATGCGGATGACGCGATACTGCCGGATACTCATGATATTATATTGATCTTGGTAACTAGCAGAGGAATCTAGCAACGGAAAATTACAAACATCATAACAAGTACTGATACCCGTAGCACAAGAGATGATTATCGAGCCCCAGTGGCTTATTAGACAACGATATGGCGTTTAAAGTGAAGAGCAATGAGTTCAAGCCCCATTAAAAGCAACATCACTCACTAGGATGCAGGAACATTCGGCTGACGAGTCCCAAATAGGACGGAACGTGCGTCCTGGATTCCTCAACATAAAAACATATTTCATTTGCAATTTTAACCAGTCGGCTGAATGCCGATCTTTTAAGACCGGTTTGAATTGGTCATGACTATCGAGGTGGAGATATTCGTAGAGCTGGGTAACACTGACAATGTAAAGGGTTCGACGGATTCCTAATGAAGTGTACTATCGAAGTGATAGGTGAAAAGAAATTCTTAAAAGAAGAAAAAAGGTCCATCACAACTGTTTTTTGAAGAGTATCATGACTCAGTGGTTTACTGGATAACGCTCTAGCGTTTGAAGCGAGTCTTAATGGAAACAACATCGCTTACTGAGGTGAAGGTGCATCCGGTTGACGAGTCCCGAATAGGAGGAAACGCGCGTCCTAAATTCCCATTGCTAACCACTATCCATAATTGATATGTATATATCTATGACAAAAAATGTAATCCTCACTACGGTTATAAGAAAAACGGATTATTCTTTATTTTCCTTATTACTCTAGCAACACCAAACTACTAAACCTCTACAGACAGACGAATCAACGTAGAACATGGTGCAGAAGTGTATCAGTCCAAGTTTCTACACCTTACACCAGCAAGCAGAAAAAAAGTGGATAGAAGAATTGATATTGTGCATAAATGTGCATGAAAGTTGAGAGGATAAACAGACGAAGGTTAATAAAATATTCAAGAACTAGGTGACAGAGAGTGAACACGCATGGGTCTCAGTAACTGATTTTCAGTCATGTTACCAAGGATCTCCTATCATCTCGAGGAGTCCAATCAAAAAGTCTGTACGTCTCAGATCAGACACAGAACGCCGGCTTAGCAATTGCCGACCTGCGGTATCTCCAGAGCCGACAGGCGGCATATCCGACTTTCTATCAGAGGACGAGTATACTGCGTTGCGGTTCACTCTATTCTATGGTACGGCTGTGAGACACGGTCGACGAAGGTAGGAAGTATGAAGCAAACATACGATTCTCATCACAGATCTTTTCCTAGCATTGCTTGCGTTTAATGGAATCGCCACGTGAGTAGTGCTGAAGTCAGGCGAAAGGTATTAGGCAAGTCGATTGGTGAGGCTATGATCTTTAGTCGAGTGAGATGGCTTGAACACGTACTACGCATGCTGAGCCACTGTCTACTTCGATGCGCCTGGTTAGAGGAGGTTGGGTTAGGTTAGAAGAGGGTTCAAGGTGACCAGACGAGGACGTGGTAATAGTTGATGAAGTTTCTGACTGTTGGATCTAACTGGTGTGGGGCGATGTAGGCTGTGTGGTTGGGGTCCTCGATACGAAAAGAATCAGTGGTTGAGTTTTCTTGGTAATATGGCTGAGAATCAATCACAATGGCGCAAAGGTATTCACTCCTTGACATCTTCGAAAGCTTGGATATTTTCACCAACCTTTATCTTCTTTGATATCACTCTTTTTGTATCCACCTGTTCTTTGTGTACTAATTTCAAGTGTGATAACTTGAGCCGACACACCAATGTGTGAGGTTCTACGTTGATTTGTCAGACAGTCTACACCTCTCTATACAGCCCAAACCAAGAGTCAGAGACTTTATGGGGTACTATTAAGCTTTGATCTAACCACCCTAAGTCTTCTTCCAAATCAATCATACTTCGCCTTTCATTCTACATCGAAGAAGGCAGTGACTCGGCATGCACAACACATATCCAGGCTACATCAACTGGTAAAGGTTTACAACCTCATCAATCAACTTCCCTGCTTGGTCTGCACTCCTCAATGCTTGGATGGTGATTCCAACACTCGCGAGGAAGACAACTGTGGTCAGAAATATGAGATCTCTTCATATATTCTCCTTTCAATAGCCACATCTCACAACCCCATAACAGAACAAGACTGCAGAATAACATAATCGTCGTTTCATATGTAGTCGGATGACGCGAATCCGCAAATCCCAGGACCTTCTGTATCAGAGCTGAGATTTCGTCAGGAACCAGCCATCTTCGGCTGATGCGACTCCTCAAGTAAGTGAAGTGTTTGATACATTTAACTACTTCACTCCCTATCCTTAAACTACAAGTTGGTACAGACGAGTCCTGATAGGTACGAAACGTATGCCAGACATACTCAGATTTTCATTTAGAAGACCCTATATTTTGTCAGAGCTTTCATCTAACATGCTTGTATCATCTATCTACTTCAATTCAACCCGATGTTCTCTTGGGAGTAAGTTAATCCCTGCAAAGTCAGACGTAGCTAGGTTTAGATTCAGTAACAAATTTGAACACGAATGATGACACCAGTGGTTTTCGTTACTTCTGACAGCAACTCTGCATAGGCCCTTATACGGCTGTGTGATTTCAAGTAGAGTTTTGATTAGCATAATACAATTTCCCAGTACCTCCTTCACAGTAGAGCACTGCTACACGATCTATCAGTCACCTAAGCTAGATGATGTTTTCAGGTCAAGAAATACGGAAACAGTCAACCTGTGTTCCAAAACGTACAGTAATCAGCAATACAAATGATTTATTCATTATCACACGTGTTTAAAATCCAACCTACTTTTGTCATTATTTAATCTACAACCAACTTACACAAATATACTCTGTGTATCTCGTTAACTTAAACAATAACAGAAGAGTTAGTTGGTCCCACAGTCAGTCACTATCAACAAGTGGACTGGTAACAATTCACGGTGTTACACTTTACATCAACACATTAGCATGAGTGATTTCAGAGGGAAAGTGGTCAATGTGTTGTAGCACTTTTGAATAATATGCGCAGTCAATTAGGCTGCTCAATTCTTAAAAAGTATGTCTTTACTCAATTCTAATCATCAACTACTGATTCCTATCATTTCAGAGATCTCGGCCAGGAACTTTATCGACTGGTGCCACCTCTTCATCTGGTCAACTGGAGCCTTCTTCTAGCCTAATCCAACTTCCCTTAGTTATGGTACGTCGAGGTAGGCGGTGGATCGACATGTACAGTACATGTCTAGTCCATATCAGTTGATGAAGGTTCACAATTTTAATCGACTTGTCTGTTTTGCTTAATACCCTTCACCTGACCTTAATATTGCTCACACACTGGTACCAAGTAATGGTACCGGGCATAATAAATACAAACCCACTCACATTGCAATATAGGAACAAACTAGGATGAATATTTACAGAAAAAAAACGATAATACCTGACAGCAAATAAACCAATTCTATTATCTCCATTCACAGTCCACTTTTGAGTATTTAAATTAGGATCACATGAATGATTCATGAAACGGCTTAAATTCCCTTTAGGACCAGCATCTATAATCCTCTGACTATCCAATTTCATCATATAATAATTGGTGACATTATTTTCATGAGCAAATCTTAAACGTCGATTCGCTTCATCCTCATCAATTAAATCACCAACATATTCATTTACAAATTCACCCTAAAATGATAGAGAGAGAAAAAAACAAACATTATGTAATGATATAAGTAAGCATAATGTAGATTCGACTCTTAGAGTAACCAATGGATGAACTCATTCTATGTATATTATACATGAGGCTGTAACTCATTGGATTGGATAGTTGACTTTGAATCAATGGGTCACGGGTTCGAGCTTCGATTCACTTGCTGGGGTTTGGTCAGCCAGGTAGCATCACCATTAGCCCTTAAACAATAGATGTGACTCACCGCCTACTGCATGGATATGTACAAGGTTGTTGAGGGCGAATACCATGTGTGAAATACAAATATCACCCTTATATATCTTGATACATGTATATGAACAATCTATAAAATAACCTTCATATCCTATCCACTATATTTCTTATACATAGAAAAGGCGGCAAAACAATGCATAGTATAATATAGGTTTTTCAGCTAAAGTTGCTTGCTTCGTGTTGTAGTTGTATGGATGCTACAATATTCTCAAGTGTTTTTCCTAATTTCAGTTAACGGATTCGCATCCAAAACTGGATTTTATATATATATATATATATATATATATATAAACACACTCAGCCACCTTGTGCACATCCATGCAGCAGACAATCGAGCTACACCTATTGTGTCAAGGTTAGTAATACTAGGTGGCTGCCTAACTTCGGTGGGTGGAACAAGGCTCGAACCCGCGTCCCAATGGCTGATAGTTACCTCCGTAAACCCCTGAGCTATAAACAGTTGATCTAATCCAAATCTAGACGATCAGAAGGTATTTGCTTTAGCAGATAAAAAACTCATTTATTTGCTCTATTTGTATGAACAACATTGCAATGAACTTCACAGATGATATGTGATGTGTGAAGTTGAGCAGATTGGAGGTCTACGCCTATGAGCTACAAAGTTTGATGGCTTTTAATTGGAATACTCTCGAGTTGTAAAGAAACCTGATCTCTATTTATTCTCATGGAAGTACATTTTCATTCATATATCAATATGTTTCTATGTAAAGCTACTAACTTATTCAATGTAGACTTCAACCTATTGAAAAAAAATATTGCCAATCTTGGCATAGACACATAAAATTGTAGTGGTCCTACCTCAGACTCTTCAATGGACATTTAGTACAAAGATGATATTTAAGAGGATAGACTTTTAAAAAATGCTGATTATCACTAAAATACAGATGACTTTTCACTGATATTATCCGATGAACTTACTGCTCCAATTAACTTCTAAGTAATCGAATAGAGAGTTAAGAGATTACTATCACTCTTAGAAACAGTTGTGTAGTGCTTAATACCAACAAGTCCTCAACTTTCGCTTGTGATCTCTTGAAGTGTTATGAGAGAGAAGAGAATTTGAAAACCATGTTGCTGCTGTTACTAAGAAGCGAACTGATAACATCAACCTGAAGCAATGTAAAAGCTTCCTTTCCTTTCTTTCATATTCTGAGAAATAAGTATCCAACTTTTCAAATATATCATTTATCCGCAATTCAAATGCAAATCTTGTGACTTGGACCTAAATTCTGCGATGTAACTTCAAAAGTCGATGAGCTCCATACATAAGTTCAGTTCAAAAATTTAATTAATCCAACTAGAGATCTAGTCTCAGTTTCATTATGATGATGTTAACCATTTGAAATCAACAGTTTTAAATTGCTATTTTAACTACATAAATAGAAAATCTACCTATCGACATCTTTTGTCAAAAGAATATCGAAACCAACTGAATGAACTGAAGAAAAGTGAAAATTTGGTCATGATACGTCTAGATAAACGTTCTAGAATAGTACTACTAAACAAATCTAACTATTTGTAAAAAACTTTCACTGGTTCTAACCGATGAAAACAAATTCTTAAAACATACAACACAGAAAGATCCTACTGAGTAAACAGAGCTGCAATTGTCGAAAATACTGAAGAAAATGAAAGACGAATCATTCATTCATTAGCATAGAACTATATGAACAACTTCGTCTATCGGGTTCAAAGATCTCCCGTTTATACGGTCTTCTCAAAATACACAAAGAAGGCACTCCACTCCGTCCAATACTAGATATGATAAATTCTCTATCATTTAATCGCGAAATAGCTTGTAGAAATACTTGAACCTGTAAAGAAGAGGCTATTAAACCATAGTCTCTGAAAGACATTTGATTTTGTTGATTCAATAAAGTGTCAAATTGGCAGGTAAGAGAATGATTTCATTGAATATCGTGTCCCTCATCACAAATGTCCCACTAACAGAAACCATCTGCTTTCTATGTGAATTCATTCAATGTCATAAAATAGATGTTGGTATTCCAATTCATAACCTAAAAGACCTTCACCTTCGATGTACTTTCAAGGTACACTTCAGATTTAGTAATGAAATCTACAAGTAGATAGACAGTGTGGCAATGGGTTCTCATCTAGGACGTTTTCTAGCTGACTGCTTCAAAAAAACCAACTTACCATCAAAAATTAGTGTAATTCATGTCTAAAAAAGATACATTGCGTTGCCCACTATCCAGTCAGATCCTCAGTGGAACATTGAGATAGCCCTCCTCCCTAACACTTGCAGAAGTCGAGGGAACGGTAGGTAACCTGAGACGAGGAAGGGCAGTAGGACAAGACGGACTAACTCCTAAGCTATACAAAGATGGTAGTAGAGTGCTCTTCGTTAGGATAACGGAAGTGTTAACTAGTATATAAGAATCAAATACGACCCCCTGTGACCTGTCTGAATCACTGATTATCCCAGTCTTCAAGGAAACCGAGAAATTTTCTTGTGATAACCACAGAGGAACCAGTCTGACGAACATAGTGACTAAGATTCGAGGTTCTATAATCATTACACCCATAAGTGGAGCTTGGGAACAGCAAGCCCGAGAAAACCAAACAGGCTTCATACCTGGTCGTGGGTGTATCGATCAAATATTCACACCACCAGATTCTGGAACACAGACACGCTCACCGAAAATCGACAACAGCTGTATTTCTCAACCTGAAGGCTGCATTCAAATCCACCAATCCACAACTCTCATGCCAATGTCTCTCAGTGAACGGCGTCCCAAGTAACTACATCACCTTATTGAAGGCTCTCTACTCGAACACATATCGGCGTGTTACAGTCCACAGTGAGATGTACGAAGAGCTGTACTCGTACAGTGGTCTCCGTCAAGCATGCTCACTCTCTCCTTTCTTATTCACTTTCATCATACACGTTCTTATACACGTCTCCCTCTTGTCATCTGACTACACATGGATTGACCTAATCACAGGAGGACTTTTGTTAGATCTACAATACACACATAACATAGTCCTGTCACGTGAACACACTGACAAGATGCGGGATCTTCGAAACACCTTGAGTGGTAATTTCAGAATGCTTTTTGGGATGCCTTTCTCACCACCCAAATACAAATTATTGCGCCACCATCAGTCTTCAACGCTGCCTCGGATAACAATAGAGAGGTGGGTGTTGAACAATTCACCTACCTGGGAAGTAGGATCAACCATCGTGGCTGCTCACTGACTGATGAAATCTATACACCAATACAAGAGGCTCGGCTGGCTTTCGCCAAATAACCCCACCTATGCCGCCACCCTCATATCCCACTGTCCATTAAGCGCGTCATGTGTAATGCACACCACTCCACTCCACTCCACTGACTCCTACTCTATCTCTGTGAAACGTGAACATTGAAGGTGGAAGACATGAGAAGGCTTCACCTGTTTCACCACCATTGCATTCCTAGTAAAGGCCAACGTATTCCATGGTGTCACCACCATGTGAGTAATGCAGAAGTCAGGTGTAGAGTTCTACGGAGAAGAGGTAAGTCAGTTGACATGAGTTTCAACCTTCATCGACTGACATGACTAGATGCGACATGTGTTACGTATGCCTAGTCGCCGTCTGCCTAGTCGTCACACAATCTTCGCCAATGTAGCTTCAGGCTACAAAAAGGCTTGATGCGGACACACTGAAACATGACATTCACAATTCATGAAGTCCTTTACTCTTGCTTTCACCATGTACGCTGATCTAGACTAGCCGGCTGAGGTCCGCGCGACAAGAGAAAACAGTGGTTGCAGACTGACTCTAGGTGACATGGCTCAGAACGACGCTTTACTGAATCTCACCATTTTCTCATGCTTCCTCTCTCTCTTTCTCTTTTTGTACTTTATAATCCTTCTGACTGAATTTTCTTTTCTTCATCTTCCACTTCACTATCTTTTTATCTGGTGTACTGATATGAGCTGTGGCAACTCGGACTGTTACGCAGTAATGCCTGATCCTATGTTGATTTGGATGGAAGGAATGGAATTCACTCTCGTATCAGAATCAAACTCAAACTTCCATTTACTTGATATTCAACTCCAAAGAAAATAAGATAATTTACTTCGTAGATCGATCTACAGAAAGCCTACGTGGAACGGACAGTTCATTAATTTTCAAAGTTCGGTCCATCTGTGCAAAAAGAGAAATTTTATCCACTCACTTTCTTCGGGGACCAGAAAACTATGTACTGAGGACACGGTTGATAAAGAACTGCCAAATATTGGAGGGACTCTAGCAGAAAACGGTTTCCCACTCATTTCATTGGTAACAACATAAAGCCAAAGAACCCAACTCAACAAACACATTTGGTGTTAAAAATGACTCTTTTGTTGAACTTTGGATTCGAAAATTATATTGTTGCGGATATCCTCAGGAAACAATTGTCAAAACCCTTAAACAGAACATACTTCACCGCCAAACTCCGGATTATTTTCTCCCGCAAGAAATGGTTTGGTCAATGTGTGAAAGACAAGCCGATGCATTAGGCCACATCTTTCTGTGTATACCAGTTTACTTGCTCTTGTGGAGCTGAGTACATTGTCCGTACCATGCATCTGCTTATAAAACGTGCCCACAAACACTACTCAGCCTGGCTGACTGGCAAAGGGAGAACGAAAATGTATCTTCAGTTCAATAACAAAACACGTCGTGAAACCAATCCACTTAACTACTTTTGAGAGCTTACTTAAAATCCTCTACAGGGTCCGAGCAAACCACTCGAAGGGAGTAAGATCAAGGTATTTTGCTATAGCTGAAGCACTAGCCATTCAGAAGTTCAAGCCAGTGTTTTGTGTCCAAAAGGGCACGTCCAACCTTTATCTTTTCCAAGTCCTTGACTGTCATAGATTCATCCTGTATTAGGTAAGTATACATGTATTTCATAATCCCTTGTCCATTCTCCCACTCTAAACTCAAATGTGTATGAGTTAACTTCCTTTAGTTATTCAATATATTTTGCCCTCTAACGGAAATAATTCTAGAACGTTCTTCCCACTGCAACATATATTCAAGAATATACAGCTTGGTAAATGACTTCGTCGAAAAGAAGAAAGTTTTCTTCACTGCAACTATGTCTTGTCTTTTCCTATAATGTATTATATATAGCATCAGTTCATGAAGTCCCTGACAGGACTGTTAGTCTGAGCTGTTTAGTGATATGTGCACTTCTTCCTTATCTTGCTACAACTTTGTAACACTTTTGATTACTATCTTATGCATTCCTCTACCTTTCATCAGTTTGTCTACTACTATGATATCCTGATATGAAGTGTAGCAACTCAGTCTGTTATATGGTAATATTAGGTCTCATATGTTCATGCTAACTGATTAACGTATATAAACATTTGTATAGAAGTCTTAGGATATCACTTCATTTACCACTAGATTCTTCAAACACTTGACTAGATGTTTACATTAAGTTTGACTAACATATAAGAAATTCATGAACACTACAAATGAAACGTCAAAGTTTTTCAACGGTGAATATAAGTGTTAACTTACAAAGATGAATAACCGCTACCTTAGCATAAGTGTCATCCAAATTTATATTATTATCAATGTAAAGGTTCAGATTTCTATCAAGACGATACAGTAAGCTTCAAAATAATTGGACCACCGAAGAAGAAATGAAATATTCAGTCATAATACTAAACTAAAAAGTCATCATAAATGACAATTGTAGAAGCATAAAAGAATGAATTATATACAGGAACATACCGCACGAATTGCAACCATAGTTTTAAGCCCCCAACCTCGTTGTTCCCCTGTCCAAAAAGGTCGTTGTGGTGGATAGAGACGTTTTGTGAAACGCTGATTACGACAAGCATCTCCATTTGGACATATACTAGGTAAGCATTCATAGTGTAATTCACGATTTATACAACGACTAGATGGTCCACAAGGATCCTCTGAATTCGGTTTACATTCACAACGTGGAGCTTCACTTGGATCTGTAAGACGATAAACTCGAACAGAACCAAGCGGCCAATTCACCTATAAAGATAGAAATAAGAAGAACAAAGCACGTACAATTAGGTACAATAACGCTAAATGTGTACGGTAATTAATCCTACTAGTAACATATCTGTGCATTGAAATGATTAATTATAGAAATAGAAATCAAATCTCAGAATACTTTTCTATTCATGAAATCAACCTACAATCTTTGAATATGACGAAAGTAAAAGAGTGTAGGACAATGACTCAGTTTTGTTCTGAGACTTCAAGATTACATGGATCGAAACCATGATCTTCAAATGTTATACTGAGCATGATGTTACGAAGTGTGAGTTTCAATCATATAGGACTTTTAATCAGGAACAACTGGAACCCCAAGTTCATGAGTACTACTGTCACTCACTGTAATAAGGATATAGATGATAGATGATTAATGAAATTGTTGATTGGAAAATTACACTGAGTTTTATTGTTGCTTCTTCATTTACCTTCTGCATTTCTTTCTTATGTTTCTCGTTTTCACCCTCAGAACGTCTACCTCTTGGATGACAAATATACTTGATTTTCTCATAGACTTCATGATACAAACTACTTAAATATGCTCGCATAAGTAGTACACATAACTCACCAATAAACATTGAAAGCTGAATTTTATACGAAATAACTGCCATAAAGTGACAGGCAACAATGTATCAACAATTCAAATACTAGCTGATGTCTAATTATAGTATTGGTCTATGATGAAAGCTTCCTATAACATTATTGCATATATCTAATCCATCTTAGCCACCGCCTGCCTAGTCGTCACACAATCTTCGCCAATATAGCTTCAGGCTACAAAAAGGCTTGATGCGGACACACTGAAACATGACATTCACAATTCATGAAGTCCTTCACCCTTGCTTTCACCCATGTACGCTGATGTAGACTAGCCGGTTGAGGTCCGCGCGAAAAGAGAAAACAGTGGTTGCAGACTGACTCTAGATGACATGGCTCACAACCGATGTTAGTGGCGCAGATATATATATATATATATATATATATATATATATATATATATATATATGCACTATCCTCATCATTTTTTGATTCCTCCTCCGCAGTTTATTAAGAAATTCATTCGAACACACAAGAATAGAAAAAATAACAGTCACACGAGTACGAATAATAACGACAACACAAGTAGAAAGAAGTTCACAGCCTCTATTGTGTTACTTTATTAGGAAGGCACATCAGACACTACGTAGAATTCTCAACGAAGCTAGAACTAAAATGACATTTAAAATCAAAAACTTACTCAGAGATAAGCTTTGTCAGCTGCCTTAAGGATCCGATAGATCCATTTGACCAAAATAATCTATCAAATTCTATGTAATGACTGTGAGGTCAAGACATAGATACATACATACAAACTAGCAGGTCGGGGTCACTCAGATTAGCAGAACAAAGAGTGACATACCCCAATAAGGCTCAGTAATCTAGAAAAGAAATCGGCTATTGTAACGCATGCATTAAGACATAACTACACAATAGGGTCGGATAAAAATCATCGTATTTGGGTCAAGTGAGGAGATTGATTACTACAACTTTGTTCATCGAATTTACACTCAACACATGTTCAACAGCTATATAAAGACGTCACATGCGAAGTAGTTCACAATGGAAAGCTCAGTGACGCCTTTGAAGTGAAGACAGGAGTAGGACAAGACTGTCACTTACCATCACCAATCATCTTCATGATTGTGGTGGACTGGATCATGCAGCAAACAGTGAGGAGCGATAAGATGGGCATACGCTGTCTGACCGATGAATATACCCCAGAAGATTTGAATTTCGCCGATGATGATTTATGTCTAATGTCACACAGGTTTGGAGATCTACAGGTGAAAACTAACAAGTTGACAGAAGAGATGAGACAACGAAGACGGGAGTTCAAGTGAATGTAGAGAAGACGGAGGTGATGAAGATACACAACCGACAACAACAAGCACCTATCACCATCAGTGGGAGAAACTTAAAGGAAGTAGTCTGTTTCACCTACCTACCTAGGCAGCATCGTTCCAACTACAGGGGGCGGCGGCACAGATGAGCATGTCAAAGCCAGCCAGGATTGGAAAGACAGCAAGACACACCTTCCTTCATTAACCTGAAATCAGTGTAGAGATCTACTGCACTCCACTCAGTATAAAGAACAATATCCGGATTTTCAACACTAATGTCAGTCAAGTCAGTGCTTCTACATCCTTCGGAAACTTGGCGCGTCACGGAAAGCATTTCTAACAAATTACAAACATTCATCAACAGCTGCCGACTACGCTCACTAGATACTGTAGATCAGATGGCCAGAATAATAAGAACAAGCAACAAGGAACTCTGGCAACGAAATAAAGAGGCAAGAACCTATCGCCCAACAGATATACAGAAGAGGAAAGTTGAGAAGGCCGATTGGGGACATCATGCACCAGGTCCTCGAGTGGAATCTAAAGGGGGAAACAACGAGTTGAGTGTCCGAGGCTGACATGGACGAGATCATGTGAGGAAGAAATGAAAGTTTGTGCGCAGTGGTGGAGTCAGGTTAAAAAACTACCGAGAACAGAGTGCAGTAGCGACGTGATAAATGAAGCCCTATGTTCCACTAGGAACCCAAGAGATAAATAATAATAATAATACATGTAGTAGAATTGACGCAGCATCTATATCAGATATATGGAAAACTTTATTACGAGTGAAAATAAATAATAAGAGCTGACAGGACTATAAAAATCAGACGCCGAAAGTAGTGGGATTACATTCAAATGATTAAGAGCAGTAATTTATGCTGGAAACATCGTCATCAAGTAAATAATACTGCATAACTCATTGTACGTTATATATAGCATAAACAAAGCCGACATGCAATTACATTCTATTAATAGAAGTAGTTTCAAGCTCAATAGACAAGACAACCGCTGAATAAATCTAAGCACAATATGAACTAGCAATAAAACAGTGAAATAAGGTGAGACGAAATTTGATAAGAGCAAAGAAGCCAAGAAGCAACAACAACATAATAAGTACTAAAACTCACAAACGTAATTTAACAGTTAATTGTGAACAAATCGAATTACTTCATGACAGTAAATAATAGGAATTTGTGGACACCGATATGAATACGACTAAGAAGTCTTGGTTGCATTGTGTTCTCTGAGCTGGATCGTTTAATCGTGAAGCTTCCATCGTCCTTCTAGACGACATCATCAGCACTAACTTCAGTATGAAGTGAGCTGTCAGTATCACTATTAAACAACCTAGCTCAGAGAACACAATACAACCAGGACCATCCACTTAAGCTACAAATATTCTCCACTATTTCATGACTAAGTCCATAGCTGATGCTCAATGCAGTCTTCTTGGTGAGTCAAAATGTTTTACTTCAATGCTAAAAATAGTCTCAGTAGAAAATATGGTAATATTAAGACTAATAAACCAGGTTAACTAATAAGAGGGTAAGCTGACTACAGGAACATCCTCAAACAAATGAACTAAGTATTCAGTCTTGGTACTATGCCCCATTGGAAGCATTCAATCTGTAGACAAACCAATGCATATGGAATGAAGTAAAAGTGAAATAATATTCATATAGAAGACTATGAAAAGCAACAAGCTTATATGCCAATGCACCAATCAGTATTATTCTACAAGCTGTCAGGACTCAAACTTTACAACGATTTCGAGCTCACTCATAGAACAATAGTGCAGACTGAAGAAACTCTTAAAGAAACGGAAACCACTTAAGGAGTTCAGTTGTTTCACCCCTATAAATTTCAACATAAAGTAGCATATCAAACAGATGGAGGGGCAGGGTAGCAATGGGATCATTAATATCCTCAGTTATAGCAGTTATATTTATGAACACTTGGCAACTGATGGCTCTTCGAAAACATTTAATCCTACACCTAAAGTACGGTGGAAAGGTGTAGATGACACGCTTATTGTGCTAAAATCCGAATATATCGACAATTTCCACACATATTAAGTGGATAGTAGATACGATACAAGTTAATTTTGATTTAGAAGATGAGCACGGAGAAGTAGCTGTTGGATTGTAAAATAAAACGAAGACAAGACGATGGTTCAGGCGCAAGTGTCTGCAAAAAGCCATCAGATTCAAATCGATACCCAGACATCAAGCTATCCTAATCCTATATCAGTAAAAATAAAAGGTAAGTTTAGTTAAGTGTTTGAGTAATTGGGATAGCAATCTACCCAGTAAGTCTGAAATTTTAAATCAAGAAATGAAACACGTACGAGGAACTTTACTTCTCCTAAATTTATTCACAAATTCATAAAAAACCATAAACAGGTAAGTAGTGATGTAAATGATGATTGCAACACAACTAAGAAAACACCCAAACCCTCCATAGTATTGTCAAATAAGAAAGACATCAGAAACGCTACTTAGGATTCTCAACAAGGCAGTGATTAGGGTGGCATTCTAACCCACAAACTCACTCAGAGACAACCTTGTCGGCTTAATGATCTTATTGGCCTAATAAGACAAGATAATTTTCGCCAAACTCATTGCGATGACTGTGAGGTAAAGTACATACATCGGACTAGCTGATCGGGGTCAGTCAGGTTAGCGGTACGTAGGAACCTAGTTAAACCTAAATTGATAGACTGCAACTAACATGAGCAATCTAGAGAACAATTCAGCTATATCTATGCATGCGATAACGCACAGGTTGGGGGGGATAGAGTAACTCAGCTAAAGACTAATGTAGTTAAGTGAGGAAAGGCAAAGAGAGAGGTCATGAAACTCTACTGCAAAAACGTATACCATCTTCAGTTGGACAACAACAGCATTTCTAACAAATGTTTACCTTTATTGGTTTGTAATAATCTGGACGACGTGTTCTGCCTAAAAGTTCAGAGAACTTTTCATGCCTTTTAAGCCAACCTCGAGCAGCTTGTTTCAATGCAGCACTGTATACAAACTTTCTGCGTCTAACAACAGACGGTGGTGTATGTGGATGTGGTGTTGCTTTAGTTGAATTTTCATCATTCAAACATTTATTTGTACGTGGTCTTAAGCATAAATTCCGTGATGGACGACTACTATTCGATTTACTGATTGATCCATTAGGAGATTCCATTGGATTAGTAGATTCTGGTGTTTGTTTATTATCATTACTAGTGTTTTCTTCAACAAGTAAATTGCTGGAGTTCAACTCTAACAAAGGATCTTCATCTTCGCCATCATCAGCATCATTATCACGACGATTACGATTAGTACGCTGTTTTGATGAATTACTTTTCTTTATACTACCATTACTACCACCACCACAACCACCTCCTTCTTCACATCGTTCAGATTCAGTAGAATCATCATCTGAGCTTTAAACAAAAAGGATAAAACACCGTATGTCAATAATATTTTTACAAAAATATAAGAAACTCAACTATACACGTAAGCTAAGTATTATCCAAAAAATATGAGTTGCAAAACATCATTATTTAAGATAAACAACTCTGAAGAAGATCACTACTACACGGTAACGAGAGACAGAATAAAACCTAATGTGAAAAAAAACTACCGATAACTCATTATTAATAACAGATTAGTTATTCAGCACAATAGGGACTAGATAGGGATAAAGATCCCTAAATCTAGAGCATGAAAAAAATGTCTACTAAACCTGAAAACAAATTATTATTTTGTATACCTGGGACAGCCATGGTTTGGCAGGCTAGTGTCGATCCTGAAAGATGATTGAAGGTGAAATGAGAAATTAGACCAAAGCCGGATTCGAATATGTGACACACAAGTGGGTTTCAAGGGCCGATGCTCCATCAACTGAGATATGAGGTCCAACTGCTGACCAGATTTTTATTTCACTTCAATCACCATATATTTGCTTGACTACCATGCGAATTTATAACGCGTTACTGTCACTTGAACGTATTCACACTGGCTGCCTAGTCAGGACTTCCCATCCCAATCCAACAGAATTAGATAAGGACAGCATCATATTGATTATCATTTTGACTATCTGAGTGAGATAGGTATGGTTTGTCAGACTTGTATTAATATACTGCGTGATGATTAAAGGTGAAATGAAAATCTGATCAGCAGTCGGACCACGCATCACAGTTGGTAGAGCATCGGCTAGAAAAACTGGTGGTCGCTGGTTCGAATCCCACCGCGGTCCAAGCTTTCATCTCACCTCCAATCATCACCCAGTAATAACAACTTACTTGTCGTACGAAAAACACAAGGAATCAGTATATAAAATTAAACTGTAAAGAGACATAGCCGGAAATGCTTCAGTTATTTACTTTGACTGCTAAGGACATGTTCCTGCATGAGGACTAATGATACGATCCAGATATCAAAACCTCGGTAACTGAAGCAGAGTTCCAACCCACAGCTCAATACTTGAAAGATAGCTTTCCAAACCAACGAACCACAATCTTACCATGCTTTTGTCTTTCGTCTCGCGGACCCCAACCACGCAGTCTACATCTCCCCAAACGATTCACATCAACGGTCAGAGACTTCATCGACTGCAGCCACATCTTGGGTTGGCTACCCTCAACCATCTTCCAAATTAATACAACTTCCCCTAGTTATGGTACGTCGAAGTAGGCGGTGGATTGACATGCGCAACACATCTACAATCGACTAAGTTCACTAGTTCATCATCAATCCCCTTACCTGTTTGGCTCAGTACTCTTCGCCTGACGTCAACATCGCTCACACACGCAAGCAATACTACGAACAAACCTACGATCAAAACCTGTAACCCCTTCATGTTTCCTAGGCTAAACGACCATGTCTCAGCCATATGACAGGATAGAACGAACTGTAGCGCTGTATACTCTTCATTTATTAGGTACTCGGATATCTCGTCTGTCAGCACCACAGACGACACAAATTGCCAAATGACATACAGACCTTCTGTATCTCAGTTGAAATTTCATCAACAACCAGTCCATTCGGCAGGCTGATGCAACTACCTGAGTAATTGAAGTGATCGACATATTCCACCACTTCACTCCCTATCATTAAAGCTGAGATTAGTTGTGAGCAGTCCTCTTGGAGCATCATCCTACACTTGAAAGTTGCGAACAGCGTCTCCATTCAGGCGGACAATATTGTCTGCATACTCTAAATCAATGAGATGACCACCAGGGAGTAAGCTAATGTCTGTGAAGTCAGATGTACCTAAGCTTATGCCCATAATTATTTACGAGAAGATTTATGGGTAGTAATTATGTGATGAAAAAAATAAGGATTTTAACAGTGAACTCAATAACCATCAAAACCAAAACATTTTCCAATGAGACTGAAACAGAAGTCGAGTAATCCGACTCAGCATAGCAACAGGAGATTATACGTATCAAACCACAACTGATGCCCATCGCACACGAGGTGGCTCTCGTATACCAATGGGTAACGCTTTGGCGTTTTGAAGTGATAGATATTGATGCCCTGGATTCCACTGTTAGCCACCAAGGAGATAGCAACACTCAAATATTGTTAGTGGAAGTTTTTTTTATTTAGCCTTAGTGTAACAAACTGATCATTCTAAGTAGTGCAAACCCAGATAGTGAGAGCGATTCAAATCAGAAGCCTCAAAGAGGTTGTTTTTCATTCATCTGTAATTATCGTTCGCGCTAATTAAAATCTAGCATACTTATTTTATCACAAGTTCTGAATCTTTAGCATAAAAAAAAACCGGTAAAATAAATTCGCACTCAAAACAGAATTCAGTAACCTTGAAAAACAAAAGACCTCAGAAAATCTGTCCAAAAGACTGTGTGCATAAGGTATTAGAGATTTCAGAGAAGTCATCAAAACTTAGCATCAGAAAAACTTCACTGGTTGTTCTACTTTTTTTTGGAAATAAAAACCAGGTATTGTTTTTATATCTTAGATTTTCAAGCAGGAAATCTGTTTAAGTTCGTAATTGTAATCCAGCGGTTACACTTTCCGAGTTAGAGCCTTGGTTGGTCGACAGGATTTAGACCCGTCAGCGGGTGTATCGATCAAGTATTCACACCACCAGATTCTGGAACACAGGCACGCTCACCGAAAATCGACAACAGCTGTATTTCTCAACCTGAAGGCTGCATTCAAATCCACCAATCCACAACTCTCATGCCAATGTCTCTCCGTGAACGGCGTCCCAAGTAACTACATCACCTTATTGAAGGCTCTCTACTCGAACACATATCGGCGTGTTACAGTCCACAGTGAGATGTACGAAGAGCTGTACTCGTACAGTGGTCTCCGTCAAGCATGCTCACTCTCTCCTTTCTTATTCACTTTCATCATACACGTTCTTATACACGTCTCCCTCTTGTCATCTGACTACACATGGATTGACCTAATCACAGGAGGACTTTTGTTAGATCTACAATACACACATAACATAGTCCTGTCACGTGAACACACTGACAAGATGCAGGATCTTCGAAACACCTTGAGTAGGAATTTCAAAATGTTTTTGGGATGCCTTTCTCACCACCCAAATGCAAATTATTGCGCCACCATCAGTCTTCAACGCTGCCTCGGATAACAATAGAGAGGTGGGTGTTGAACAATTCACCTACCTGGGAAGTAGGATCAACCATCGTGGCTGCTCACTGACTGATGAAATCTATACACCAATACAAGAGGCTCGGCTGGCTTTCGCCAAATAACCCCACCTATGCCGCCACCCTCATATCCCACTGTCCATTAAGCGCGTCATGTGTAATGCACACCACTCCACTCCACTCCACTGACTCCTACTCTATCTCTGTGAAACGTGAACATTGAAGGTGGAAGACATGAGAAGGCTTCACCTGTTTCACCACCATTGCATTCCTAGTAAAGGCCAACGTATTCCATGGTGTCACCACCATGTGAGTAATGCAGAAGTCAGGTGTAGAGTTCTACGGAGAAGAGGTAAGTCAGTTGACATGAGTTTCAACCTTCATCGACTGACATGACTAGATGCGACATGTGTTACGTATGCCTAGTCGCCGTCTGCCTAGTCGTCACACAATCTTCGCCAATGTAGCTTCAGGCTACAAAAAGGCTTGATGCGGACACACTGAAACATGACATTCACAATTCATGAAGTCCTTTACTCTTGCTTTCACCATGTACGCTGATCTAGACTAGCCGGCTGAGGTCCGCGCGACAAGAGAAAACAGTGGTTGCAGACTGACTCTAGGTGACATGGCTCAGAACCGATGTTAGTGGCGCAGATGTATACAAACACACACACACACACACACATTATCTTCATCATAACGACGCTATACTGAATCTCACCATTTTCTCATGCTTCCTCTCTCTCTTTCTTTTTGTACTTCATAATCCTTCTGACTGAATTTTCTTTTCTTCATCTTCCACTTCACTATCTTTTTATCTGGTGTACTGATATGAGCTGTGGCAACTCGGACTGTTACGTAGTAATGCCTGGTCCTACGTTGATTTCGATGAATGGATGGCCTTGGTCGAAAGGCAGATAGAGTCGACGTTGAACCTCACACACAAGTCTATCCATTGAATTCGCTACAATTCACAGTAGCATGCACAGAACAAGTGGATTAGAAAGAGATTGACATCAAAGTGGAAAAAGGTACATAAGGGAGAAAGAATTTGGAGATGAAATTTTGACAAGCCTTGGAATAAGGAGGAATAAAGAATACACCAGTGCCGTTGCAATCGATTTCCAGTGATCTTCAAAGAGTGACTTCTATGATGTTGAGGATCAGGTAGTCTAAACCTTTTTATACGGTTCAGATGAAGATCGAGGGATCTTGTAAACTGGTGTCGCATCTTAGTCTGGCCACCCCTGAGCCCTCTTTCAACGAAATCCAACTTTTGCTAGCTGAGTAGGCTTTTTAGAATTCAATCATTCAGGTGCTAATGTACTTCGATAGCAAGTGAATTCTACAGAAAACCTACATAGCGAAATGATTACAACAAATGGATTATGAGTTGAAATTCAGCTGTGCTTACTTCTGCCTGAGCAGACAGCTAGTATCATCAGCTCTCATATAATGTATGTCTCATGGCCTAGTTCCCAAGTATTTACGAAATTGAGTTATGGTTATGAATGGTAACGTGCTGACCGCGGGACCTGAAGGTCATGGGTTCGATCCCTGAGGGTGAGGGTTCATGAGTGCGCACTGCTGAGGAGTGGCGTACTAAGAAGAAACAGATGTTCAGTGCTTTCAAGTTTCCAATTTTCCCCAACTGATGTCTTTTCATGATGAATACTAACTTAAAAAACCACTAAATCCCTATAAACCCCCAAATTAAAAAGTCTGAAAAACCTACAAAAGCCAAGGATTTTGAACCAACCTTCATATTAAAATAAAATAAAACTTAACCAGTGGAATGTCTTACCTTGAACTATTACCACCGCGTTTATCATCACCCTCTTCATAAGGAAATAATCTAGCCCGTGTAGTCCATAGGTAAACAGGTCGTGAATGTCGATGGGAAAGACGACCAGTTAAACCGAATAAACGAACAAGTACTGAACCGAGTATATGATCAAATGAGTGTGATGTTGGACTGGTTGTCGGTTGGAAATTAATTGTAACAGTTTTATTTTCAGACTGTGCATGACAATGACTTGTTGGCAAGTGTCTTGGATGGACTAATTCACCTGGCCACCAATACATACCAGCGGTTAGAGATGCATAATCATTTGAACGAAATGCACCTGATAAATTCAGTGAAGATAAACGATGTGAACTATATGCACCAGATAATTTTAAAGAACGCTGATGGTATGACTGTAAACTTGGCGGTAAACGAGCCCATACAATCTCACCATAACGTAACAGACGACCATTTGTACAATCTTCGCAAATGAATTTATCAGGAACCTAGGAACAATAAACACAAATGCTTGTCAGTAATAAATCAATAGGGAAAAAACCACTAATAAGCAAAAATATGTTGATAAATACGTACAGTTGCTTCGATTCCTGAATGTGCTGAGTATGACACGCGCAAGATTTAAGAATTATGTGGTGATAAGAGTCTGCAGATAGGAAACATATACTCAAGTTACAAAAAATAAATGAAGGAGATTCAGAATAGCGTAAGTGAATTGTTTGATCGAAAGCAGATTTTAAGCTAGACTATAAGGGAATTTATGGTACAGTGAATAAGGTAGTCAACGTCTGAGTACGAAAAACCAGGGGTACACTTTTGCATAATCAATAAAGCATACAATTCTTTATCGGTTCATTAAGCTGAGGTGATTACGGATAAGCTGCCGAACTAGCAGGTATAGACTACAAAATCTTTTAACCGTTTTGCTCTGGAAAAAATGACGTAGAACTCTGTTCAAACTTACGTGGAGATCGATAAACTGGCTGAATAAACCGATACACAGAGTAGTACAATAATGTATTTATGGTTAATTGGTTTAAGTGTTCGACTATCAAGCACTAGCTCCAGGCTTTAAATCCTGCCTAGTAAATAAATACATACCAGGTTGAGTGACATTATGGCATCAATAATAGGCCACGAAACTCGAAGACACCAAAGCAAAGAATAATAATTAGGTGATAACACGAAAGAATCAAGATGACATATAGAAAAACTTTCAATCTAGATATATGTGGCCTCAAAGATTAGAATATATGTCTGCCAGTGCTGACGACACAGAAGTTACTACTATTTAGCCATTTAGCATAAGACTAACTACCTCGGCTACCTGTTGCTTTATTCTTAACACCAAACAGCACACATTGTACCATAGTGTCGTGTTAACTAGTGATATACAGTCCCGAACGTTCAGACATAGTCATAACAGGTGACTTTAACGCCTAAGCAGGAAAGCTTAGCCTGTAGAAAAAGCATCTTTGAGATATCTACAGAATCCTGTCCCAACAAGCCGACATCGGTGGTCGTCTGCTACAATTTTTCCCTGGCAATCATTTGTTTCTAGCCACCACTAACTTCAAGCAGAAGGATAGACACTATCTCATATGGTGTCCACTGACTTCAAGCCAATGATGGACACAGATAGATTATATCGCTGCAAGCCATCGTTCCAGGATTGCTCTTTTTTGGAGTATCAGTTTGAACTCTGATCACCCCTTAGTACGGGTTTGAGTATGTCTGCGCGTTACTGGTCACAGAAAACAGGCGGCAGCGAAACCTATGCGTGTTCGATTAAAAGATAAGAACACCAAATACGTGTTTAGGTGAAAGATATATGAGTATTTATCTGAATATGACATTCTGAGGAAACCTGACCCGATATTAAGTCTGCTGTCGAAACAGCGGAAAATATAGTAAGTAACCTAGACCCAAGAAGTTAGCAATGGATTTCTGTAACATCAGCCAAACTGATTGATGCCAGAAGATTGATCCCAGATGATTCTAACCATAATGTAAAGCGAAACCAACTGGAACGTAAACTAACAAAGAGTCTTCGCAAAGACCACTACCAGTGGGGGGTGGCGAAAGCGATGAAGAGGGTATCAGCGTTAGGCAAAACCCTGCAACTAATCAGGCTTATTAAAACACCAAAATGATGGGATACCGATAACCTCAAAGGGAAGGCAGTTAGAATGTTACGCAGAACACTTTGAATCACAGTTCAACTTGTCCAGTATCCAGCCTAAACCTTAATGAGATGTAGATATTGATAATCCAACTGCCCCTCTAAGTTGGGAAGACTATTTTGAAACTGAAACGATGCAAAGCAACAGGATCTGACAATTTGCCACTAGAGGTTTTTTTTGAATAAGAAGTTAGGGAATCAATGAGTGGAGTAGGGGAGATACATACGAGTTTGTGTCAACAGACTAGTCTAATTCTGTGATCATACCAGTCTATAAGACCACCATAGATGAATCAGTTTGACTAATATCATGTCCAAGACGCTTGGGTCCATGGTTATTCAGCGCATAAAGGGAGCTGTAGAACAGAAACCTCAAGACAACAAGGCATCTAAATTGATGACAACTATCAGTTTCTGACAAGGATTCCCGCTTTCATCATCCCGGTTCAACTTCGCGACAGACTTTATAATGGATATTACCTAAGTACCTTTGACACTTGCTTACTCCCTGGTGGTCATCTCATTGATTTAGAGTATGCAAACAATATTGTCCTCCTGAATGGAGACGCAGACAAAATTCAAAGTCTACTGAATCCCTTGAACATAACTCTGAGTATGTTCAGCTTGTGTTTCGCAACTTTCAAGTGTAGGATGATGCTCCAAGAGGACTGCTCACAACTAATCTCAGCTTTAATGATAGGGAGTGAAGTGGTGGAATATGTCGATCACTTCAATTACTCAGGTAGTTGCATCAGCCTGCCGAATGGACTGGTTGTTGATGAAATTTCAACTGAGATACAGAAGGTCTGTATGTCATTTGGCAATTTGTGTCGTCTGTGGTGCTGACAGACGAGATATCCGAGTACCTAATAAATGAAGAGTATACAGCGCTACAGTTCGTTCTATCCTGTCATATGGCTGAGACATGGTCGTTTAGCCTAGGAAACATGAAGGGGTTACAGGGTTTTGATCGTAGGTTTGTTCGTAGTATTGCTTGCGTGTGTGAGCGATGTTGACGTCAGGCGAAGAGTACTGAGCCAAACAGGTAAGGGGATTGATGATGAACTAGTGAACCTTAGTCGATTGTAGATGTGTTGCGCATGTCAATCCACCGCCTACCTCGATGTACCATAACTAGGGGAAGTTGTATTAATTTGGAAGATGGTTGAGGGTAGCCAACCCAAGATGTGGCTGCAGTCGATGAAGTCTCTGACCGTTGATGTGAATCGTTTGGGGAGATGTAGACTGCGTGGTTGGGGTCCCGGAGACGAGAGGAATCAGTGTTTGAAGACTCTTGGTGATATGGCTGAAAATCTCACAATGACGCAGATATTTACATTCTTTTACATCTTCTAAAGCGTCATATTTAAATTCGTTCACCTTTCATACACCTTTGTTGTTTTTTACTAAATACTTGTTCTTTACAAACTACTGTTAAGTCTGGCAACGTAAACCGATGTACTTGTATGAGAGGTTCTACGTTGATTTTGTCTGTCTGTCTGTTACCTAGTGACCGTATTGAAAACCTGACCGATCGACATTTCTCAGTAATAAGGCTATTCCGTTGAAATAATTGGTTTATTGTAGTAAAATGATGCTTCGTGAGTTTTAAGGTAAAAGTAAACGCTATGTGGTACTCCACAGTCACCTTGAATGGATCTTGAAACTTTTGGCAAATTCAACCGTGGAATCATGATGTTAGTCAGCAAATAAATAATAATAATATCACACATGAGTTCAGTGTGAATACTTTAACAATGTACATACCTCATCAATTTTAAGACATTCTTCATGAAAAGAAGCTGGACAGTTTTCACAGCATATAATACGTCCACCTTTAGAACAGATAAAGCACCAAGACACATTAGTTGGTCTAAACATATTCAAAAGTCCAGTTGATGGTAATTTGAGTTGAATATTGGGAGGTGAAGTATAAAGTTTGCATTCTTCTTGTAGGCAATGTCGTGGACAGATGATTAAGTTAGGAGCCACCTAAAGAGAGTCAAAATGGAACAATATTGTCAAAGCAGTATTAACTGAAAAATGCTTTTACAAGTAACACAAAATAACACTGACTAGACCAATTATTTCATTTACAATATTAAAATAAATAAACGTGGTATCTCAATGCGAAAATCAGTTATATTATTTTATTTATTTGTCCCTTAGGTTTCTAATGGAACATAGGGCTTCAGTAGCACGTCTCCAATGCGCTCTGCCCTCTGAAATCTTTTGAACCTAGCTCCACGACAGCCCACAACCTCTCATTTCTTCCTCGTACGAGCTTCTTCATGTCACCCTCGCCCCGGACGCCCAACTCGTCGTTTCCCATCTGGGTTCCACTCGAGGGCCTGGCCTGGAGCGTCATGTCCCCACTCAGCCTTCTCAATGCCCTACCCAATCCATCTCCACTTCCTTCAACTGCATATTTGTTCAGTGATAGGTTCTTGCCTCGTTGGTTTGTTACCAGGCCAGAGTACCTTCTTGCTTATTCTTTCTGGTAATCCATCTGATCTTCAGTAACGAGCCAGAGTAGGCAGTTGTTGATGAATGTCCGTAGTTTGTTAGAAATCCCTTTCGTAACGCACCAAGTCTCTGAACCATACAGAAGCACTGACTTGACGTTGGTGTTGAAAATCCGGATCTTGTTCCATAAGCTGAGTACAGAAGATCTCCACGCCGGTTTCATGCTAATGAACACCTATCTTGCTTTTCCGATTCTGACTTTGACGTCCTCGTGTGTGCCGCAACCTGTAGTTGAAACAGTGCTGCCTGCTAGATAAGTGAAGTAGGCTACTTCCCTTAAGTTTCTCCCGTTCATGGTGATTGGAGTTTGTTGTTGTTGTTGATGGTGGTGGTGCGGTATCTTCATCACTTCTGTCTTCTCTATATTCACCTGAAGTCCCGTCTTCGCTGCCTCTTCTGCTAACTTGTTAGTTTTCGCCTGTAGATCTTCAAGTTTGTGTGACATCACACACAAGTCATCGGCGAAATCCAAGTCTTCTAGGTTCTTTTCCGTCGTCCAGTGTATCCCCCTCTTCTCGCTCCTCACAGTTTGTTGCATGATCCAGTCCACCACAATCAAGAATATCAAGGGGGATAGTAGGCAGCCTTCTTTCACTACTGTCTTTACTTCAAAAGCATCAATGAGCTTCCCATTGTGAATTACTTGGCATGTGACATCTTCATATAGTTGTTGAATGAGGTTGATAAAGGTTTGTGGTATTCCGTAGTATTGAAGCAGCCTTCAAATTACCTCTCGGTAAACGCTGTCAAAGGCCTTCTCAAAGTCGATAAGTTGAGGTATAGAGCTGATTGCCATTCTATACTCTGTTCTATGATGATGCGTAGTGTGGCGTTGCAATTTGGTCCACACATGATTTGTACTTCCTGAAACCTGCCAGCCTGCCTGTTACGGTCGTAGTTTTGAATCCAGTGCATCCTTTAGTCTCTCTCCAGGATGGTGCGGCCTAATTTTTGCTTGGGGTGGACAGGAGAGTGATTCCGCTCCAGTTCTTGCAAACACTGAGATCTCCCTTCTTCGGCAGTTGGACAAGGTAACCCTTCTTCCAATCGTCAGGTACCTTCTCTTCCTTCCACACCTTCTGCAATAGTGGTGTGAGCATGTCCACTGTTGTCTCTGCGTCTGCTCTCAGTGCTTCTGGCGGGATCCCATCTGGTCCTGCTGCTTTCCCACATTCCAGTAGCTTTGTGGCGTTCAGGACTTCCATTTTCGTTGGAGGATTTATGTTCACTTGTAGTTCAGCGGCTGCAGGTGGTATTTCTGGACGAAGTGCAGGTGGTGGTCGATTCAAGAGCTTCTTGAAGTGGTCGGCCATCGTTCCCTTTGTTTCTCTTCTTTCGTAATTAAATTTCCGTCACCATCTTTTATTGGTTTCATCTGCGTTGATCTCTTCCCAGATAGCAACCTGGTTATTTAACATAATGTTGTCAGGTCTCTATCTCTCCTACCTGCACCTGTTCTGCTTCACTTGCCAATGTGTCGTAGAAGTGTCGTTTGTCTTTCCACCCACTCTTCTTCACTTCTTTGTCCAGTGTAGTGTTTTATACATTGTACTCAGTTCCTCTTCTCGTTGTGCATCCTTGCACTGCTTTATCTTCTGCTTCACCGTACTCCTCTCCTGCTCAATCAGCTTCCATGTATCCATTGAGATCCATTCCTTATCTTCTTTCCTCTGCCTTCCTAATACGGTTGTGCAGGTTTCTTTCAAAGACTTCTAGTGTTCATCCAAACAGGTTTCTTCAGGGATGTCCCTCAATATCTCACATTTTGTCTTGATGGCTGGTATGAAGATTTCCTTTGTAGTTTCATCCTTCAGTTTCCGAGTGTTGTACTTGAACTGTGGTCTATCACCAGCTTCCTTGAAGGCTTTCAACTTGATTTGGAAGGTTCCTTGTACTAAATAGTGGTCTGAACCTACATCTACTCCTCTTCTTCACCTTGTGTCCCATAGGCTGCGTCTCCATTTTCTTGAGATTGAGATAAAGTCGATTTGATTTTTAGTGTGTCCTGGTGTCTGACGAAATCCATGTCACTCGCTTTGTGGATATCCTTGTGCTTGAACACACTGCCTAACTCCAATCACCAAATCGTTGAATGCACAGAATTATGCAAACAATTCTCCATTCTCGTTCATCACCTCACCGAGCGCTTCTTGGCCCATGGTTAGTTCTCTTCCCGTGTTGTCCCCTCCCAGTTTCGCATTCATGTCGCCCATTAGAATTTTGATATCGCCAACTGACGTCTTGTCCAGTGTTGATTGAAGTTGTCTGTAGAATTCCTCTTTCTTCCCTTGATCTGCATTATTTCTAGGTGCATAGTGTAGCAATGAATGGTTGTGACTTTCCTTCCTTTTGAGTTGAATCCATATTGCTGTCATCATCCTGATCCTGCAGGAGGAGATTGGTTCCCACTGCATGAGGTCTTCGATGCCTTTGGGGACATCATAATACCCACTCCCTCAGTGTGCTCGTGGTTGTCGTCTGGGTGACCGCAGTAGATTATTGACTACTTTCAAGTTGACAGTTTGGAGAATCCACTCCCATTCCATCTGCTTTCGCAAATTCCAAGTACTTCAACGTGATACCTCTTCATCTCGTTTGCAATCTGGTCAGCCATGCTGGGTTCAAACATCGTGCGGACATTCCATGTCCCCATCCTTACTTTCGCTTTCATCGAGAGAAGAGAAGATACATCGGTCGACTGGTTTCCCGAAGGCTTTTACCAACCGACGTCATTTCATCTCTCCGATTCCAGTGAGGAATAAGTTTGTTTTTATTTTTTGTATTTTGTCTGTGCTTTGAAGTTTCTTTAGCGGTTGGATTGGTTTTTTACAGTGTAGGGTTGCTAGCCCTATGCCCAACCTTCCCTCTTTACCCGGGCTTAGGACCGGCTAGTAACTAGTGAACTAGTTAACCAGGCGAGGTTATATGTAATAAGAACATGATTACAATTTACTTAAACAGTAATGTTTATGTCACCACAAACTCTCCAACACAACAAATCCTTTTAATATCTATACATACTGATGGAAACATTTTGTCTGTAAATTGATTTTAGGAAACATCAAGTTGATATAATTATACTATTTAAGGTGGACAGCTTCGTTTATGCGTCAATAATACTCATGACTGAAACAGCTTGAGGATAAATTACACATTTACTTTAGTTTTTTATATATCCTAGTCACTTTAAGCCTACATAATTGGGTGTACAGCTGGGGAGGAGAGTTGAGATAATAATAAAATCTAAATGTGCAATAACTTATTATTGTGAAACTGTAGACCATTGATCTAAGAGGCTAACTTTCAACTAGTGGATCATGAGTTGAAACCCCCGGCTCACTTACTGAGGTTTATTGTTCCCTTAAATGAGAAGCCCAGACTTATTAGCTGTCCAGCAACCTTATAATAATAATAATGATAATAATCACTTTATTCCGGACAATAATTTTTAATACAGTATGGAATTCTTAGTGTGTAATATTTCACTAAATTTACTACTTGTATAATATTTTCAAATGAAATAATTACATCTAAATAATGTTAATAATGACAGAATTATAAGGAACAGGATTTAGTGAACAGCTGTCGCTAGGTTGTCGGTTAGTCTGTAGGCATGCTCTTGCAGGAGTGAAGCGATAGAAAAACATGCGTAAGGCTGGTGGTGTGGATTCATTCAGATAGCATGAAAGTTTGTAGTGTGAGCTAACTACTATTCAATTGATAGTTATATAATATGCTTGGGAGCCCATCAACATCTACCGTGACGTTTTTTCATAGTTTTGTTGCTAACCTGTCTAACAATAGGTTGAAGACAGTTTAAGAATGCGCGAAAGTACATAACACGATTTTTTGACATTTGAATGATTAAAACAAGTTCAGAAGGAGTAAGTTGATGCAATATATTCGATGAAAAATATTTTGTAACCAAGACCTTAAGGAAGACGGTGAGTGCTTTGCTTCTACTCGACAGATTGTACATCATTAGTTAGATTATATCTATTTACAACGTTTTCAGCATCATTGTTTGTACAACAATACCAGCGAAATCTCATTAAATGTTAGGACACGATATATGAAAACAAGCCAGTAAGTTACGATTTCAAGGATAATTCAACCAATCAATATGCCATACATTTAGTTCCCTTGACAAATTCGAATAATGCAAGAACAAAGACATTTTATTTCATGACTTTTCATCACCTCCAAATAGCATACAATTGAAACCAAGTATTAGTAGTAATAATGCCAAAACATACTTCTAATTGGTAGAAATAAATGACGATTTGAAATTTATGATTAACAATAAGGTATTGAATGAGTCAAGAAACACAGGAGCAATAATTCGAAGTCTTAGTCGAAACCAATGGTAATTTATATCTGATGAGATAGAAAATTCTGGAGTGGAAAGGGGAGGGGACAAATGAAAATAAGTGTAAAAGAAGGGACTGTTCAAGAGCTAATAGGTTACGTAGTTAAACGAAACACTGGGAAGTTATTAACATTCAGTAAGTAAGGAAATGATGCAACCAAAAGGGAAGACTATATACATACACATGCAAAGAAATTATATGCAGTTACTAAGGTAAAGAAAGGTTAGTTATAGTCTCTTTTTGAGTACATAGGTCAGGCTGGAAGTGTTTGATAGCGAGAGCTTCCAAAATCACGTAATAAGCATGGCATTTTTGTTTGTTATCCTGAAGGATTGAGAAATGTCTATTTGATGTCCTGTTTCCATCAGGTGCCTGTCGATTGCGCTCTTAAAGATCTTGCTACCATTCAGACACAGATTTCTTGGAATATGGTCATAAAATCTAGTAGACGCCTTTCTTTTGATACGTCCTATGTACTTGCTTCCACAAGCACAGGTGAACTGATATAAGCAGTTGGTGACGTGTTATTGAGCATAATATTTTGTAAATTGAGATCAGTCTGACAGCTGGGAAGCTCCTTCTCAGTACAGCTGTTAATCTTGTTTCTATTTTTTCAGATATCTCATCATCTTTGAGTGATAGACGAAGGAAAATAGGCTTCTTCTAAACAGTTGGATGGTTTGGTCTCTCAATAACCTATCAGCTCTTGAACAGTCCCTTCTTTTACACTTATTTTCATTTGTCCCCTCCCCTTTCCACTCCAGAATTTTCTATCTCATCAGATATAAATTACCATTGGTTTCGACTAAGACTTCGAATTATTGCTCCTGTGTTTTCTTGACTCATTCAATACCTTATTGTTAATCATAAATTTCAAATCGTCATTTATTTCTACCAATTAGAAGTATGTTTTGGCATTATTACTACTAATACTTGGTTTCAATTGTATGCTATTTGGAGGTGATGAAAAGTCATGAAATAAAATGTCTTCGTTCTAGTATCGTTCAATCAATATAAACATCAGACTAGGGTATTACTGTACAACGGTTCAAACTGTCACAACTCATATCAGCACAACAAGCAATCAAGCAGAAAAATGAAGGATGAAGAAAGAGAAAAAAAATTGGTCGAAAGCAGTAAAAGAGAAAGAGGAATAAGAAAATGCTGAATTCGGCATAGCGATTAAGATGAGGATAATGTGTGCATACATCTGTGCCACTGACATCGATTCTGTCCCGTATCTACTAGATTCGCCAACCACTGGTTTCTGTTGTCACGTAGACTCCAACTGGCTAGTCTGTACCTCCAAACATGGCACAGACTAACATTCAAGGACTTTATGCAGCGATGTCATGTTTTAGTCTAGCTATCCCGAGCCTATTTTTAAGCCTGAACCTACTTCATGATAGTTAAAACTCCAGGGCAGTCGACCAACAACTTCGCATGGTGATATACGCTCTACATTACATTACCAGCATCTGAATCAAAATATTACGCAATACGAATTCCACTGACGTAAAGGTTAAACACTATCACTTGGTTACCATAGTAGACCAGATAACTGGTTTACATTCGGGTGCAAAGCTAAACTAGCGCTCTGGAGACCAATTGCATTTGCTTACTGTGTATGTCATATAATCATACCAGAGTACCATTCTGTTTATAAAGTGTGGTAAAAGTGAAAATATAAATGAATCACGTATCGTAACTCGTTTCGTTCATACACTTGGTTGCAAACTTGGAGGGATTTTAATTCCTACCGAATAGATCAGGCACAATGTTGAACTTCTCATAGATTTTCGAAACTCACTATGTGCTACAATGGTGTGATACACTTTACTCTACCTTCAATGCCCACTGCTTGAAATGTTGAACGTAATGCGATAGTCTTCAGTAAATAAGTCAGAAGTTGGGTTATTCCATGGAATTTTTTCCCTTCACAAATTGAAATCGAGTAAAAACAACACCTTTAGCAGGATGGCATATATCCATGTTATTTCGTGGCTTCTCATCAGCTGCTTATAACTTAAAACAATTTTAATACTGTGTGGTGATTGAAGGGTAATTTGGACCGTGGCCGGATTCGAACCAGCGACCACTGGGTTTCCCGCCCGGTGCTCCACCAATTAAGCCAATGTATGCACAATCAAGCGATAGTAAAGCGTCACGAATCCAAATGATTGTCGGGCAAAACCCTTTGGAATCCAAGTGAAATAAAAATCTGGTCAGCAGTCGAAACTCGTAGGTTAGTTGGTAGAGTGTCGGGTCGGAAACCCGGTAGTCGGTCGCTGGGTCGAATCCGGCTTTGGCTCAAATTCTCATTTCACCTTCCATCATCACCCAGTATAAATCACTAGTCTGCCAAACCACTTTTATCTCAGATAGTCAATTTATACAAAATGTATGCATACTCGAATCAACTTGACAGAAAATTGTTGCATCAAGAACAAGATATTCAGCGAAGAGACTCTTTTCAACGAATTTATTTTCAAGCTGTACAATCGTATATATTTGACATTTGAAAAATTATATCTCGTGAGGAAAACTAAACACTATATGATGATGACAATAATTAAATTTTGAGGGAGTTGTGGAGATTTGGAATTATTTCAAGTTGTTATTCATCGTAGACTGACATCAGTTGGAGGAACAAAGAAAACCTGGGAGCACTGGACAGCTGTTTCGTCCTAGTATGGGACTCTTCAGCAGTGCGCACCCAGCTAACAGAAGTTGGAAATATGGAGCATTGGATTCTGACCCAGTGGCTCAATGGTAACGCGCTGGCCGCGGAACCTGAAGGTCGCGAGTTCGATCCCTGCTAGTGGGGTCGTGGGTGCGCACTGCTGAGGAGTCCCACACTAGGACGAAACAGCTGTCCAGTGCTCCCAGGTTTTCTTTGTTCCTCCAACTGATGTCAGTCTACGATGAATAACAACTTGAGATAACAATAATAATACAGCGGATGATGACATAGGCCTAAACTAAAGAAAATATTGACATGAAATAGTTGAAAACATGACAATTGAGTGAATAAATATGCAGAGCTAAGTTCGCCAATATGTAGAAGGATAAGACCCGGTATTCAAGAGCGGAAGTTAGATGAGAGGGGGGGGATAAGTGTATTCAACTTCAATGAGAAAGTTTACACAAAATGCGTGAAAGGTAATAAAATTTATGTTGACTAAGAGTTCATGTGAGTAGGTCAAGAGTGTGAAATGTAAAATAACAAAAAACAACATGCACGAATCTAAAATGACACATAAAAAAGCATGGTGATTGTCAACAAAACAAAAGTCTTTACCATGGTAAGTACAGACTGATAACTGTTTCTATCTGACCACAAAATCCGGTTTTAATCGTTTAGTGTCTAACGCTTAAGCAAAACGCAGCAAATTCGAATTCATCTGGTTACTAATTGTTTTGAACGATTTCTAAACACCCATTACATGTTCACTATTAATAAGGTGACGAGCATTAGCACTGTTGAAAACTTTTCCACTACTCAGTCGCAAATCCCTTGGAATATGCTTAGATATGGGGTCAAAAACTATCCAATGTATTTTCTTTGGCACGTATATGCGAATTGGTAGATGGAGTTGGTGGTAACATGAAGAATAGACTTGTCACCCTTTGAGTGTCTCAGTAAGGAATTTTTCCGGTAGGGTACGACTAACCTAGTAGCTAGATAAGTCTTTTTAAGGCAGCATTTACTCTGTGATTAATTCTACCAGAAACATCACCTTTGAAACTAAGATTTAGAAAAACAGGCTTCTTCTCGACTTTATCACACCTCACAGTTTTGGTAAACCCCTGTTCCTATTGATGAATCTCTGTGGATATCCGTTATCTGGGGGCAACTTTCCACAATATTCATTTCCTTTTCAATGTCTCTTCCGAACAAAGACGTCTTAAGCGGTTGAAGAGTTTTCACCAGCCCTTTCTTATGACTAGTGGAGCAAAAGCTATTGAAATTAAGATGCATTCTACTCCAATAATCTTTACGACGGATTCGTCTAAGTATGTTACCATTGATAGTTCGTTGAATTCCAAGGTCAAGGAAGTGAAATTTATCATTCTGTTCACATCCCATTGTGAAACTCTATGTTTTGGTGTACTTTGTTGAGTAGACTGAGCAAAACATGAAGAATGTTTCAGGTTACCGCGAACAACGAATGTATCACTGGCACACCTGCTGTAGAAGGTTGTCTCATCGATTACATACTTACTTCATACTCGTACGTTCAAGGTTCCCTATAAAGACATCAACCTGTATGGAATTGAAGGGACTGCCCATCACAACTCCATAAATTTGACGGTACATGACAGTATTGAATCCAAATTGCATATTCTTGGTACACATGAGTAAAAGGTCCCTCAATTCTTCTTTAGGTAGAGGCAAAATGTTGACATATAATTTCTACAGTTTCTTCCAAAGATATCTTTGTAAACAGCGAAGATACAACAAAGGACATCAAGGATTTATTAGAAATATTCAAAACTTCCAGTTTCCGAGTGAATTCTAAGCTATCTTTCAACCCATGGATTGTCAGCTTTTCCCGAATTAGCTTCAACTGCTTTTCTAACCAACGAGAGTTTTTGGAATGGTGAGTTCATCATAGACAATATAGGTCTCATCGAGACACTAGATTTATGTAACTTCGGCAAGTCATACAGATACTTCATATCGATGATATCTTTAGTTCAAGTCGGCAATTTTCTGTCAAGCTGATTCTAGTATGCAAGCACATTTTGTATAAATTGATAATAAAATTGTTATAGGTTGTAAGCAACTGATGAGAAACCATGAAATAGAATAGATCCATACAATTCTGCTAAAGCTGTTGTTATTGATCTATTTAAAGTTGGGTTATTAACAGTAGGCTTCACAACCATGTACAATTTATGCCGAAGGTACTTGTTTACTGACTATAAGCATAGTAAATAGATAAATAAAATGTTTTCCAAAGTGTTTACTATTAAAATACTCAAATGAATGAACAGTTGGATAAAGAATAGAAACAATGAATTAGAGGCTAAGTGAAATAACTTATTTTGTACGAATATAATAATATCATAATAACAAAAAAACACATACTTCTTTACTACCAGCCGGTAAACACCAATCTCCTGGTGATAAGCAGCAGGACACATAACGCAACGAATAAAGTGAGGGGATGGACGAGGCATGGTCCCAGGTGTTTCAGCTGAACACGCCAAACATGTATGAGCAGGACAGGCGAATGCACCAGCACGCCTTTCACGTACGACAATTGCAAAAGGCGGTTTACGTAGGCAACTAGGATGATACCATCGTCGACAAGCACGTACAGAACAGCGTATCATTTGATCACTTCGCGCCAACTCACATTTATTTGATTCTAATATTGGTTGAATATCTCTCTGATTGGAATTAGTTTCAGTAGCAGACTCTTCAAATCTCATACGTAATTCAGCAATATTTTTATCAACTACAGTAGACTCTGAATTCTCATTATCCACAAATGGAGTTGCAGAACAACTAGAAACTTGAAGTGCTGATAAATGAGGATCAGAGTGAGTGAGCTAGAGAAAAACACCAACAAAACATCATAGCAAAACTATATCCAATTAAAAGTGTAAGGGCCAACAAACTAAAATAAAGTAAAATAAGAACGGAAAATAGTGCCATCAAATAGTGAAACAGTATCATTTATGGAATAACGTTTCGGATACAACTTATTGTCCATATTCATATCAAGTAACTCCACAACTTTGAGACAGAGTTTATATGTTCCTAATTTCCTCTCCTTTGTGATGACAAGGGTAGTAGAATTTTCCATACCTGATACAGGTGCAGAACCATTTCGATTGCACGTATTTGGAGTTGATTCGATAAACAAAGTTTCGGTTATCATTCTCTCCCTCCACCCAACTAAGTTAGTTTTTAAGGCTGTCGCTCTATCGCACCCTATTGTGTGATCGTGGGTAATTGTGTGCAGAGCTATAGCCGAGTTTTCCTCTAAATTCCTTATCTTATTAGGATCTACTGATCTTGATTTAACTGAGCTTTTTGCTCTGTTATTCCAATCGACCCTAGTCGACTACTTTGACCTATGTGTTTCATCTCGCAATCGTTGCGAGGGATTTAGTAAACAAGATTATTTTGCTTAATTGCATCAATAAGATTTTTAAATGCCACTTGAATCACAGCCTTATTGAGAATTTTATTGGAATGATTCTGTGGTGCCTTCTTTGTATGGTAACACAGCAGAGGGTTTGAATTCTCTCCCAATTCTGTTACTATCATTACTATTAGTAGTAGAATTATTATTAATAACACTTGTGTTAGTACTGCTACTGGTAAATATTTTCCTTTCGATTTCACATGAACTTATTGATAAATTCAGGTGGGTAATTATTGAGATGCAGAATATTCTTGATGTGTCTAGTTTTTTATCATAGATTTTCTGGCTTACTAGTCAGTTTTTTCGCCTTATCACTTAGGCATTTAACCAAGCCTACTTTAACTGAGATGGATCGATACGATTTGAAGTCTAAGTAGCAATTGGAATGGGAAGGTTTCCTACAGACACTAGTCTCTAAACTTCCGTCTCGTTGTCGTTTAATCTTCCAATTCAACATCGCTAGCTCACCTTCATCACTTTCTAATTCACAGGTAAATTGAATTGCATTCACTACTAAATTTATGTGTCAAAAACCTACTGATGTGTTCCGATTTCAGTACTGTAAATGTATCATGTACATATCAGAATCATATCCCTAGAGTAGGACTAAATGTTCCCAACTATCCATAAATGTGTCCGCGACGATAGGGGATATTGGTAACTCTATGGCAAACCCTTCAGTTTGTTTATATTTTATTTTGAAACTTAAAAACTGTAGATGTCAGGCACAATCGTGCTCGTGGCATGATTTCCTCGACCAGGACCTTCGATCGATGCGTAAGCTAATTATCACCCTTAAGCCCACTTTCTAACAACCTGTAGAGCCATTTCGAACGGTGTATTCGTGTGAAGGCTAGTTTATGTCAAAACTAAACATTTTTCACTGCCATCGACTCGTATATAAGCTAACCTATGCTTTAAGTCATAAGAGTTGGTAAGTTGAGATTTTGAGTGATCTCTTATTGGGCTTAGCACCATTGCTAAATATTCACACAACTCGTAAGTCGGAGTGTTTCTAAAATATACTATAGGACTAATGGGATAGCCTGGCTTGTGAATCTTAACAGTACCATACATTCTACAGGGGTTATTAGTTTTCGGCATTAAATTAAACCATTTTGACTCACCTAGAAATGGCTTCATTCTGCGTGTCAGATCCCCTGTCGATTTCTTAACCTTATTCATAATCGTATTCATCTTTTTCTTAATTTCCTCATACGGTCCTGTTTTTATATGCTCATTCATTTTGTAGATGTAGTCAGACTTGTTCATTACAACTGTAGAGTTAACACACAGTTAACACATTAAAATATACTCAACCTTTTCAGAAATGTTCTACCGATAGCAATCATAAACTAGAATCAAGGAAAGATCCATTCAAACAAGCGGCTTTCAGTAGAGTTATTCTATCCATACAATTTAAATATTCTCGTTTCTGAACTATTTAGATGATAAATCAAGAAAGGAATTATGTTGGTGCATCTAAACGTGTTCAGAATTCAATCCAGTTCGAAGTTAATGAAATGATAAATGTAACAGATTACATTCAATGAGACTAGAGTTAAGAGAACAAGTTTCCATTGAAAATCTTGATATTTCCTAACATATTAATCAGAGCTTAACCTATGAAGATATTACGATGAAAATCTAAGTACAGAATAGATTAGACAATGTATAAGGATGTATAAAACATCCGCAGTTGAATACAATAACTAAATAAAAAGATAAGATGATAATTTCTTTTTTGACTAATCAAGAAAATACACTTCATCTCTTCTGTAATCACTTATATTCCATTAAGTTTCCAAGTTGACAATAAAAAAAAAGGTTATAGGTACATTTAGTTTCATTGACCTATTGTACACTATTCTTTAATGTTGTGATGTGGTGGTCTAGTGGGTGACACCTTCGCGTTTGAAGCAATCGGTCCCGGGTTCGAGTCCTACTGGGAATAACACTGCTCATTGGGAGGCAAGTACATCCAGCTGATGAGTCCCATATAGGACGAAACGAGCGTCAGGCTAAATGAATTTCACCGCTAGCTACTATCGATCACTAACAGGACTTTCTAGTCTAGAGAAGGGAATAATTAGCGTATACGGGCAAAGATTCCTGGCAGATCACCTCTGAGTTTATAAAAACTAATGAAAATAAGTAGCTAATAAAAATGCAAAGGGAACTTACATAACAAATGAAACATTGTCTTAATCCAGCTAAGCATAGACTACATACAGGATTAGGTTGAGTTGAGTCATTATTCAATCCAGATGTTGTTGTTTCCTTTGCAATAGAGCCTTTGTTATCTTTACCATTTGCTGTCACTGCTTGATGATGATTATTACCTTCATCTGTACCATTATTTTCACAATTTTTTTGTTTTACACTTCGATAAAATATGTATGGAGCACAATCTAAGTGTAGATAATTTCCACAGCCTCCAGCACATGCCATAACTGAGGTATCTAATTTATCATGATGTAATGGCTGATTACAAGTTTTCTGTGAATCCAGCCCTGTATTTACATCTAGTGCAACATTATTCCCCGTCGACTGACTTGTTATTGAACTATACTCTCCACAAACACAACATAAGAAGAAGTGTTTCGGTGTTGTATAACCGAAACGCAGTTTCTCAAATTCAAAGGTATTGGCTAAATCGACCCAACGCAGACCTGTTTTTTCATTCTATACCAACAGATAGAAAAAAAAGAAAGAGAAGTACGGGGGAATAAAACAGATGAAACCACGTCCAAGAATTTGCATAAAATCAATAACAAAAGAGATAAAAATGTTTCTCTGACATTTGAGATACCATCAAGTGACCCTGCGAAAAATGCATCATTTGTCAAAGTCATGAGCAACTACCGGACAAATTAAGACATAAAGATCTATTCAGTAATGTTGTTTCATGCAATAGCTTGCAATCTTTCATCGTTCATTCGAAATGGTCGGTCTCTAATGGCATTTGGGTTCCTGTGAGAATAACTTGATAGTTACAAGGAATGCATTTCGACAGTAATGGAAGATGTTGGCGAGCAGCGGAATCCTAAAAACGCACTTCGCCCTAGTCGGAACTCGTCATCTGGATGTGCTTACGTTCCAGTGAGTGCTGTTATTCACAGTGAGAGTCGAACTTGGAGCCTATCACTTCAACCGCCAGAGCGTTATCCACTAGGCTGCTGAATTATAATAGCCAATTCACTTGCGACGAGGATAGTTTAGCCGTAATAGCTGGTAATTTCTTGTGGTATTTATTGTTTCGGACATTCGAACTTCATGGTTTCGGAACCCGCTCTGCCGACTGATGTTCGAGACAGCCAAATAGTTAAACATCATATCACAAGTGTAGCATATATCTCGGATGATGATTCTACATGTGGTCGTTGAGTTGCAACACTAGAAGTAAGGTGAAGGATTATAATTTCCACAATAATATACCTTTTAAGTAATATTACTGTAATTAGTCCTTGTCATCGATATATTGAACGCTGATTTTAGTGTCTACATGGATGTAATTCGAGTAACAACAGTAGTGGTAGTAGATAGTACTGAAACCTATAAGATGTGCACCATCTTTTGGCGGACAATGGTAGATTTCATAATGAAGAATGATAGTGGTACGCAACAACTAAAAGAGAATCTTTGGTACATGAAGTAAAAGTATCCTACAAATTTATAAAATACGAATGCAGGTAAGTAAACAATACATAAAGCCAAATTATGCTTAAGATTCACTAGATGGATTCTGTTGTTAAGATTAAGGTATAAAAAAGTGTTACTGCTTAGCTTTTTGTCCTATTTCTTGTGTGTACACCTACGCAAACTTGTATATCCACGTTTAGATCATGTCGAATAGTTAGTAATAATGATAATAGCAATAATAGTAATGGCAGTAATAATACTTATAATAATATTACTGAATAGTAATGATAAATAATTGTCATTTGATTATCTGAGATAGCCGTGGTTTGACAGACTAGTGTCGATTCTGGGTGATGATTGAAGGTGAAATAGAAATTCGAACTGCAGCCTGATTCAAACCAGCGATCGACCACTGGGTTTCCGGCCCGATGCTCTACCAGCTGAGCCACGAGGTCAGACTGCTGACCAGATTTTTATTTCACTTCAATCACCAAAGGTTTTGCTCGATAACCGTGTAAATTCGTGACGCTTTACTACCTCTTGATCATATTTACATTGGCTGCCTAGTCAGGACTATTCATCCCAATCCGGCAGCGGTCCAAATTTTCATTTCACCTTAAATCATCACCCAGTATAAAAATACGAGTCTGCCAAACCACGGCTATCTCAGATAGTAAGATGATAATCAATATGATGCTCCCCGTCTAATTCAGTAAGATTTGGATTGGGATGAGAAGTCCTGACTAGGCAGCCAGTATGAGTACAATAAAGCGGTAGCAACGCGTCACGAATTCACATGGTTTCGGGCAAAACCCTTGGTGATTCAAGTGAGATGAAAATATGGTCAGCAGTCAGACCACGCAGCTCAGTTGGTAGAGCATTGGGCTGGAAACCTGGTGGTCGGTTGCTGGTTCGAACCCGACCGTGGTCCATATTCTCATTTAACCTTCAATCATCACCCAATATGAATGATAATAATGGCAATAATAATAATAGCAACAATAATGAGACAAATCGGCAACTATGTACCTTTTTACTTGCAAGGTCACGAAAAATACCTGCCATGTGAAAGCTAATGATATCATTCAGTTACCCATATCTTGACAAAGTAGGTGGGGTGAGGGTCCATGAAGCATTGCTTCAAGAATAAGTACCTAAAGTAATGAGCTACGGCTTGAAAGCTGAAGGAATAATTTTCAATGTCATTCTTATGTCGTTGCAATTTTAGTGTCCAGGTGAAGATACTAACTTTAAAAGTATGCAATCAGTTTATATTTTCTTCTTACCATGTTTGAGTCTAACAACAGTGTAACAATAACTTTGAATGTCGCTTACGACAAGGTTCATTAATTTAACATTATGGATTTTAAGACTTCAACAAGTTTTACCAAGATAAGAAAGAAGATTATAGACGTACTGTCCTTAAACCTTTAGTGTTAATTAGTTGAGGGAAATCAACACGAAACCCTCAGCCTAGGTTTCGCACTTTTCACCACTTAACAGTCAAGCGTATCTACATCGACGACGGAAATGATGTCCCTTGAAAAATTTGAACCTACGTCAACCAGCGCTAGGATTAAAGACCTTACCATTGAGTATTCAGGCAGAGATTGACTTTCTGTAAGACTTGTTTAGATACATTGATTGGTTATTCTTCAATTAACAGGAGTTCAAAACCTAAACAGAACCTACTAACCAAAAAAACATAAACACCATATAAACAATATTTATTATTCTCTGACCTTTTAGATCTATTCGATATTAAAACAATTTCATTTCATAGTTCTTACTGAGCTCAGTGTGACAATAAGTTATCATTTTGGAGTAAACCTGGTAGCCATGAGGACAAATACTCAACGATGGCATTGTGTAGCGGTCGTGCTACGTCATGAACTGATAGGAGTAGGAAATACAAGTCATTAGATTCCGACCCGGTGGCTCAACGGTAACGTGCTGGCGGCGAAACCTGGAGGCCCTGGGTTCGATCCCTGGGGATATTGGGTCACGGGTGCGTACTGCCTAGGACCCCGTACTAGGACGAAACAGCTGCCCAATGCTCCCAGGTTTCCAATGTTTCTCCAATTGATATCAGTCCATGATGAATACCAACTTGAAAAAAACTATTCTTGTGTTTCTAAACGTTCATGCTGAAGAATAAAAGGGTTTTAACGCAGATGGGCATCTAATCAATAATATGACAGTAGAATAAACCTTGTCAAACTGCTGGTTTACTTCAGTTATCTCTTTCACTCTGGAATAATTAAGCGTATTTTCGATAGCTGCTCACAGTAATAATAATAACACAGTTGAGTAATTTTACTCAAGTTTATATTACAGGGCTGTAAGTACCACTTGTTTTATCGACAATATAACAGTATGAAACATACAGCAAGAGATGAGGAAGGATATTAGCTAGTAAAACTAAAGTAGTAGGTTAGTATATTCGAAACAGGTAGGTACTTCCTTACATAGCTACTAAAATGTATAACATCTAACCTTCTTAAGCTTTTAAATAGTTGATAAAGTTGAATTGCTAACATGAGATGGATCATATAATGAGGCAGTAATAGGCATAAAAGAACTTTTCCCAACCAATTAAATTTAGCATATACAACTCTTTTTTTGTTTTGAATTGCATCCAATCCGTACTTTGTGATGCTGTTCATTCACAATGTCGCTCATATCCTCGCTTGAATACAAAAACATACTCGACAAAGAAGCTAATCAACTTACGATTGACAACAAAACTACAAACACAGAATTTAATCTAGGCAAACAAAGTTTATAAGAAAACAAACATAAGATGGAATAAATGAAAGTAAAATACCATCACTAAAATGAGATAGGAAATATATTGTTATCCTGTAGATATGATAATTATGTGAAAACGACAGTACTACTAATAATTATGACAGTAGCATGTTTCTATCAGAAGAAATAAATATGAAAATTGTGAAGCAAATGCATAATTATGAATAGAATCAGCACAATTTCACAGACTAGATACCTTGGAATAATGCAATTAGTTTTTGAATACGTTTAAATATAAATAACAAGAAATATTTGAGTAGATAGATTTTGTGAGTAACTTTATTCTGAAGATCTACCGTTACAAATTCATGAATGTTAAACAACACAGATGGGTATGTGGAGAGGAATAATATTCAGAAAACACCTGAACCCTACAATAAATCCATTCATATAGTTTCATATTAATCCATTATATACGAGACCTAGTCAAATACCTCACTAGTATAATAACACATTTTCTCGGATAAATCTGTTCAGGGAGGAATTGAAAAGCAGGTTACCCGGATATATTCACAAGGAAGTACTTAAACAGATCCAGAGAGATGAAAAGATATTCTGTCAAAAGGAAACCCTTTGATATAAGTTGAGTGGAACTGATAAAGAGATAAACGATGCAACTAAACAGCATGTCAGCTTCCGGACTACCGATGATGGCCTCACCAATGTATGCATACGAGTTTAACTGCTCCCATGCAACTAGATACATTGCCCGAGTATATGTTATTCAATCTGCATGCGACTGTGTACACTTATCTTCGCGTGGTTGAAGAAAGGAGTGAATAAAGGCTATTGACAGTGAAAATAAAATTAAGTTATATATAAAGTTGCCTAGAATTTAACTGAATTTGTCTGATTACATCCATTATGCATAGCCGAAGCCGCAAGTCTCAACATATGGAAACCTGATTTGTACATTTCAGAAGAGTATATGAAGCATCAAATAACCAAAATACTATCTGGGAAGAGATCGACGCAGATGAAACCAATGAAAGATAGTGAAGGAAACCTAGTTACTGAAGAGGAGAAACAAAGGAAACGATGGGTTGACCACTTCAGAAAACTCTTGAATCGACCACCACAACCACCACCACCTGCATCTCGTCCAGAAATACCACCAGCAGCCAGGCTACAATCACCAGTGAACACAAGCCCTCCAACAAAAGCCTAAGTCCTGAACGCCATAAAGCCGTTGAAATTCAGGAAAGCAGCAGGACCGATGGAATTCCGCCAGAAGCACTGAAAGTAGATGCAGGGACAACAGCGTCGACCGAGAAGTAATTTGGCAACTGCTTCAACATTACGAAGTACCACAAACCTTTATCAACCCCATTCAACAGCTAATATGAAGACACCACATGCCGAGTGATTCACAATGGAAGGCTCAGTGACGCCTTTGAAGTGAAGACAGGAGTAAGGCAAGACAAAGTTGCTGCCTACTATCACCGATGATCCTCCTGATTTTGGTCAACTGGACTGAACTGGGTCATGCAACAAACTGTGAGGAGCGAGAAGATGGGCATGCGCTGCTCGACCGATGAAATGACCCAGAAGATTTGAATTTCTCTGATGATGATGTGTCTAATGTCTTGTCGCACGAACTGGAAGATCTACAGGAGAGAACTAACAAGTCAACAGAAGAGGCGGGGCAGCGAAAACGGGACTTCAAATGAATGTAAAGAAGAGAGGTGATGAAGATACCCAACCAACAACAACAGCAATGAGCACCAATCCCCATCAACGGGTGAAATCGAAAGGAAGTAGTCTGTTTCACCAACGTACTTAGGCAGCATCGTTTCAACTACAGGTGGCACAGATGAGGATGTCAAAGCCAGGATGGGGAAGACAGTAAAACAGGTCTTCATTAACCTGAAATCAGTGTGGAGATCTACTGCACTCCACTCAGCATAAGGCGTGAACAACATCCGGATTTTCAACACCAATTCAGTCAAGTCAGTGCTTCTATGTGATGGTTCAGAAGCTTGGTGCGTCACGAAAAGCATTTCGAACAAACTACAGATATTCATCAACAGCTGCCGCATACGCTCACTCGATACTGAAGATCAGATGGCCAGAAAGAATAAGCAACAATAAACTGTGAGAAGGCACCAACCAAGAACCCATCACCCAACAAATATGTAGAAGAAAGTGGAGATGGATTGAGCATACACTGAGAAGACCAACCGGGGACATCATGCGCCAGGCACTCGAGTGGAACCCAGATGGGAAACGACGAGTTGGTCGTCCCAGCTGAGGGTGACATGGAGGAGATCATGTGAAGAATAAATGAAAGCTTGTGGGCAGTGGTGGAGCAAGTTTGAAAAGATTGCAGAGAACAGAGTGCAGTAGGGACGTGATAATGAAGCCCTATGTTCCACTAGGAACCCAAGGGACAAATTATTATTATTATTATTATTCACCCCTTAAATCTACTACTTTAGGGTCAGTGGAACTTTAATGTAGATTAGCAATGAACCTAAAACATTTGACCGCATACTCCTTCTTTATGCAAACCTTCGCTTCTTTCCCGTTGCTATGATGCATTTCCTCCGAAAGTTGTTTATTCGATAGCATTTGTTAACTAGCACTTTTACAATTAATCAGATCGTTGGCAGAATTTGTCAATGTATTCATAAGATTTTTATTCAGTCAACTTACAAGCCATTCCTTCACAAAATCACTTTAAAATCAACATATTTATAGTCTTTAAATTGTAGCTTCATTCTCTCTTCATACTGTTGTATTTATTACATATAATTAACACCATACTGATAATTGTTCCGTTTATCAAAAGTGGCATCCAGTCGATTTGATTTGATTTAACTCGAGTAGAAAAACCAAAATACAAACTTGCACAGAAGTGTGTTTGGTTCAAGTTGCCATATCTAACAGCAACACATATCAAGGAGAAGTAGATAGAAAAAGAAAAACAGAGTAGACAGAAGTGAATGACGATTGGTGGGAATGCTCAAAATCTAGATGAGAGTGTATAATATCTGTCGACCCCAAAACACGTTTCTACACGTCTATCGTGTCTTCTCTATTAATTAGTCGGGTCGGGAATCAAGTAGGAATTTGTCGAAAGTTGGTGTCTGACAGTCGATATCGGTGCATCGTTAGCGGCCATAGCACATAGCAGTTCCCAAATCATAACAGTGGTGACGGAAATGGGATATGGATTCTTCGAAGTTGGACAGTTTCCTCGAACAACAAATGAAGATTATCGACAGATCATAACGTAATCCGAAATTGCCGGTACTGAATCATCGCTTACTACATCAGTTTTAATACCGCCTTCAGTTGATGGCATCGCCAATATCATCACTGAATTTCACTACGACCCTAATCCCAATGAGACCTTTCGACAGTTGGTTCAGGCGTTACGAAGACTACTTCGAAGTGGATTTTGCTGGCCAAGATGATTCTTGAAAAATACGTCTCCTACTTTGAAAGCTTGGTCTACATGAGCTCGACCAGTACTACAATATGATTTCAACGCAGAACTCATGTGATCGCACTTTCGATGAAACAGTCCAGACACTGAATGACACGTCTGCAGAATATCAACGACTGGATGACCTGCAGCGTGATACCAGTTAATCCAATTCAAACACCAGGGTGGTTTTGAAGTTCATACATTTCGTCAGACATTTTATTCTTCCACGTCACCCTCTGGCCAAACACCCCCTTGCCTTAATCTTACCGGTTCATCGGCCCAGTAACTCATGCGGTACCAACTGATCCCCGAAGAAGACAACACCATCGCCTTGCTGGCGCATTATGGCGCCTGGCGTCTCGTGAAGTCTTATCCATCTAAACAACATCGATTCTAGGACCGTAATGCTGAGGGCCATAAGGACGGCTTTTGCAGCCGACACACACACAGTGACGTGTACAAAGCCTATCCCTCTAGATACCGCCGTAGATCTCATTCTAGATCGGTAGGTAAATTTCTTGGCTTGATAGATGATTTTCATGCTCATGTACCTGCCCATCAAAAGAATATCGAGAAGGCTTCTGGTCCTCCAGTAAACAAGGTGAAACTCCTTCTGGGTCTGTCAGATAGATGCAAGAAAAATACAGTGCAGCCCAGTCTGACCCCAAATAATATTCTTTCGAAGAGGGAGATGATATGGAGATAGAGATAAAAGATTAGTCTGTAGAGGAACTAATCGAAATGTATTTTGTGTTATCGCGTTAACAGTTAGACAAACAGATGGTGGGTCAGCCAATCGATAGGATTATTTTAAACATCCAAATATCTATATATTAGGTGTATTTTCCTTTGTTTTTGTCTTCGGTCTTTCGACCCCAATATACGTCTCTACACGTCTATCGTGTCTTCTCTATTAATTAGTCGGGTCGGGAATCAAGTAGGAACTTGTTGAATGTTGGTGTCTGACAGTCGATATCGGTGCATCGTTAGTGGCCACAGCACATAGTAGTTCCCAAATCATAACAATACATAACCATCATTGTGCCTAGTTTTGAGCCAGATATCCCTTATTATCTCAAGTCAAAATTTAGAAACCTCAGGAAATCGTGTCAGGTTTTAATTTAGCCAAAACGATTAACATCGCATGTTGAGGTAGGAGATAGCTCAGTATGCTTAACACTTGTCCAAGCAAATTCAGTCGATGTAAGTTCACAAACTCATTGAATGATATGTCTTCCTTGCATTGTTCATGATACAGTTTTTTTTAAATGAAGAGAATTTTTCTACATGCCTTATACTGTATAACATGCTTATTGACTAAAAACCGTAGAGTCTGAGTGAGGATGCAGGGATTGTATTACAGCTCGCTTGAATACTTTCTGTTTAAAAACTGAATGAAGATTTTCCAACTTTGAGAAAAGATGACAGAATAGATATTGACAGTTCAAATGATCAAAATGAAGTGGATACAAGATAATCAACAACTAACCTTAGAACTATCATTCGACAGCTTTAAACGTTTTCTATGCCCCACTGAACTAGTTGATGTAGACGAAGAGATATGAGAACCATGCTTGCCTTTGAAATCGGCATCACTATCAGATGCTACAGATGTGTCTGAATCTCCTGAAGCAGAAGAAGAATTACTGTCTTCTGGGTAGGCACGCTTTCGTGGTTTCGCTGTTAATTTAAAAATAAAGAATGAAGCGTGATTACAGGAGTAAATATATATATATATATATATATATATATATATATATAAACACGTATTGGTAGTGATTAGAAAAAAAATGAAGAGATTCATCACATTCTAGTCTACTTTGGTGATTAGTAGTGAAATTTAGGACGGATGTTTCGTCCTACTTTGGATTCGTCAGCTGCATGGACCTGGACATCAGTGACTGTTGTTCCCATTGAGACTATAACCCAATACCCATCGCTTCAAACGATAAAACTAGCCGCCAAATAGATAAAAAAAAATGGATATCCAGGCATTAACGCGGCATCCGAGTCCACCTATATTGATCCTAAGTTGATTATTATTATTATTATTTGTCCCTTGGGTTCCTAATGGAACATACGGCTTAAGTAGCACGTCTACATTCCACTATCTTCTCCGCAAACTTTTGAACCTAGCTCTATGACAGCCCAGAAGCTCTTATTTCTTCCTCACAAGATCTCCTCCATGTCACCCTCAGCTGGGACGCCCGACTCGTCGCTTCCCATCTGAATTCCACTCGAGGGCCTGGCCCGGTGCGTGATATCTCTAGTCGGCCTTCTCAGTGTATGCCCAATCCATCTCCACTCCCTTCAACTGCATATTTGTTCAGTGATAGGTTCTTGCTTCGTTGGTTCGTTCCAAGAGCTCCTTGTTGCTTATTCTCATTATTCTGGCCATCTGATCTTCAGTAACGAGCCGGCGTAGGCAGTTGTTGATGAATGTCTGTAGTTTATTGGAAATGCCTCCCTTAACGCACCAAGTCTCTGAGCCATAGACAAGCACTGACTTGACGTTGGTGTTGAAAATCCGCATCTTGTTCCACATGCTGAGTGTAGAAGATCTCCATATTGGTTTCAGGCTAATGAACGCGTCTTGCTTTCTCGGTCCTGACTCATCAAGAAATGACACTTTGGAGCACTAGACAACTATTAAGTACTAGTATGTGGATCCTCAGCAGTGTGCGCACTCATGACTCCACTAGGGATCGAACCTGGGACCTTCTGATTCCACAGTCAGACATTGAGCCACTTGGTCGGAATTTAACGGTCAATATTTTCTTACTGCTGTCAGTTTATGACAGCAAAACCTCCATCCATTGCCGTCATTGGGTGACTATTGTCACGTCAAAGTTAGTTTGCCCGCCACCGGTCACGACTTCTCAAAAGGACTTCGAGAATCACCTCTCGAAATAAGTCACTGGTGAGTACTAGGAGGTAATTCAATTCGGAGGTTTGCGGAGATTTACTTATTGATTCCAATTTCGATCCCCGGCGATAAGTGGACACTGCAGAAGAGTCACATACTAGGAAAAAATAGCTGTCCCGCGTTCTTAGGTTTTCAATGATTCTCCGACTAGTGTCAGTCCATGATCAATGTCAACTTGAAATCAATCAATAAATAAATCTCCACAGACTTCCGTTCGAACATAACAGTCAATATTTACAGCTTCAGTATTGAATGTTCTGATAGTTTTCTTGCTCTCCTTATACATAATTTCTCATGTACTAATTTTTCAAGCTTCATTGGTCTCCTCTGATTCGAGGATTTTTCTATGCACTTAGAAAAAAGAAAGGTATCAACTTGAAACAGCTTGCAGGAATAACGGACCTGTTACCCAAGATTGACAAAAATAGTCAAAATGATCATGTATAAAGCGGGAATTGAGTTTTTCAGATACCATTTCAGTATTTCTGATCACATGAGGCTTTGTATGCATGTTCATAAGAATGCTCTTTAATGAGTTGAAAAATTCAGTTACGGACCAGTTTGATTACATGCTTGAAACAGAGGCTGATTTGAATAGCTGAGAATCAATTCAAGTAAATATGAAATATAAAAGGCAGTTTTACTACGATATTATGAATCACCTTCATATGACTAATAGAAACTGAAATACCAGTCACATAAATAACTCACAAAGTAACGTGAGTTTTCCTGTATTTTTTCTAACAAATTCAGAGAGTGGATCCAATTTACGAAATATTGTTTCAGTTGCCCAAGGGAACAATGCTAGTCGACCATTAGGCTCTGGTTTAGCTACTTTAGCTGCTGTCGCAGACTCTCTAGCAATATGCCATGCCGACTGAAGACTTGGATGAACAGTGAACTGACGTAATGCCTAAAAATTATGAAGAAGAATTGTTGATGAAATGATGAATTTATACATTTTCAAATATTTATAATGTTTACATTATAAGCTTACATAGTAGTTGGTCTTTTAGCAATGAACTATTTACCAGAAAAACAAATTAGCATACAAACAAAGAAATCTGACCAGACAACAAATCACTTCAAAGTAGTTTAACCTTGTAATATCATATAGACAGAAAACAACAAAATTAAGATGTCAAAGTAAATAAGAAGGATAAGAAGGAAAAAAGGGTGGGGCAAGTAAACAAAAAGTAGTAAGAATTTTAAGCTTCAATCTCAGTTAACACAAACTTTATGAAGTTTAAAACCGCACCAGTTGACATTTCGACATGGTTTGAGAATTTTGAGCCTAAGGCTCAACAATGACAAGTTTAGTGGTTTCAGTGAACATCTTCCCCCTTTTAATTTATGGTTCGAGGTTAGTTTTGGAAGTAAACAGATTTAAAGGAGAGAAGTTCAATTTGAAATTTCGAAGATCTGATGAAAAGGAGCAGAAACTCAAAAGTAAACTTTAATCATGTAATGTGCTCAATTGAACTAATGTTGACCTAAAAGACTACTCAGAAAGAATGAAATAAATATGACACTTGAGCAGTGTAGTAGACTTTAATTTTGTTTCAGTTTGTTTAACAGTGCCCGTTGGTGATTTCCGAAGTTCTAATGAGAAGTCGTCACCAAGTAGAACATAAGGATAGCTACTCAAAGACGATATAGGATGAAGGTCGCGCTACATCATGGACTGACAGAAGTAAGAAATATGGGCCATTGGATTCAAACCCAGTGGTTCAATGGTAACGTGCTAACCGCGGAACCCAAAAGTCCTAGGCTTGATCCCTGGGGGTTCGGGATCATGGGTGCCCACTACTGAGAAGTCTCATACTAGAACGAAATACCTGTCCAGTGCTTTCAGGTTTCCGATGTTTCTCCAACTGATGTCAGTTCATGATGAATACCAACTTGAAAAATAAAAAAAAAGGTATAAAGAGTCACTGAAAAATCTATAGGTGAGGTAAGGCTTCGGATTATTCACTCTAATTCTTATAGCCTAAGCTATATGTAAAAGGTGACTTCCAACCACACATCGCTTGCGCCTAATCTATTATATAACGACTATCAACTAGATGTGAAAAAATAGAGCTTCTAAAAGATTTAACCTTTCCCTTTCAGAATCATGAAGGTAAGTGTTCGGTAATATGTTGGAAAGGTCACCTAATAGTACACTCGATATAACTGTCTTCATGATGGTAATTTAAATGGTAAATACGCATGGAAAATGAATTGCCATATCCCACCAAAACTTTCTAACAGGGTTCGAACCCGCCTTCGACATACATCTGAGACTATAGGGATTCGAATGAACAATCTGAAGCTTTGTATTCAAAAGGAATTTCTGCAGCCTCTACCACTGACCTGTCCAGGGAAGACTTACCTATAGGGTTTCTAAAATGCTCTTTTTAGCCTTTTCGTTTTTGTCCCCGTTTTCACACCACTACTATGTTGACGTTCAAACTTTGTTTATCCACTGCATTTATCCTTCAGTAATATGCGACTTTATTGTCCTTTTCCAAGCTCTGACCTACTTGGTTCGTTTGCACACCTACTTACACTCATTTTGGTGACTATTAGAAGAATCCAGGATGTGCGTTTCGTCTTATTCGGTACTCTCTTCAGCCAGAGATACCTGCACCCCAGTGAGTGATGTTGTTCCCACCAAGGATAGAAACCCAGTACCCTTCGCTCCAACCACTAGAGTGTTATCGACTAAGCCACTGGGGCACGATAGCCACATCTTGAAGCGAAGGGTATTGGGTTCGAGCCTAGGTGGGGACATCACTCACTGGGGTGCGGGTATATCCAACTGAAAAGAGTCCCAGATAGTGCGAAACACGCATCCTGGATTCCTCTGCTAGTCACCAAGATCAATACAACATCATGAATATCCGGCAGTATCGAGGCATCCGCATAGGAGACCATCTGCAAACAGAGGTCGAGCAATTCGGCCCTGTATAACAACGGGAAATTAAACGCTTAGTTTCAGTGAGTTAATTTGCTTGTAATGTTAGTAAGCTGTCAGCATATCGAAAGCCATTGAATAAAAGAAAGAAGAAAACGATATGCTAATTTATAAGAAACTTTAAATCACTAATATCCAAGCAGTTTTCTATTCAACTCTGAGAATAAGTTGCCAATGGACTCAACGATCATAAAACAAGCAACCATATAGTGAGTAAACTACTTACTATCAAAATGCCATACAACTGATTTTTCTCATCGAAACTGGTTTTAACTAGGAAAGAAAGCGTTAAAACTTTAACAACCACTCAGTGAAATATAACACAGAAGTTTATTAGTCTGTTATTAGTTTGTCACATGAATGTGCTATTGTGGCTGACTTTTAGCCATGTCACCAAGGCCCTCTAACCATTGATTCTTATCATCTAAAGGATCACAGCCAGGTAGTCTACATCTTTCTATACAGCTCAGACCAAAACTCAGACTTCACTGACTGTCACCATATTTTGATCTGATCACTATGAGCCTTCATCCAACTTAATCTTACTTCGCCTTACATTCTATATAAAGGAAGGCAGTGGCTCAGCATGCGTAACACATATCCAAGCCGCATTAGACGGAGAAGGTTTACAACCTTATCGACTGGATCACTTTTGTTGCCTAACCTCACCAGTGCTAACATGGTGATTTCAACACATGAACACATGTGAACAATGCTGAGAAGATACTTATGGACAAAAACCTGCAATCTTTTCGTATCTTTTGCTTCCAGTGGCCACGTTTGACACAATAACATTATAATATTACCACTTCTTAGTAAATGTCTGTTTATCCGCTAAGAACTTAGAGCGAATGCTACACTTGTCAATTATACTACAAAAAACTATAACCACAACAATAATCACATAAGAAGTGAATGGAGTACCCAGGTTTACTGAAATAGCACAGTAAGATGGAAATACCACGTTGGTTATTCAGCAACTTTGGCAAGAAATATATCGTATAAACATTAATAACAATGACACTAAGATAAGTTTCAATTACCCGGACTTTATCTTTAGCTTCCAGAACAGTTTGACGAAGGAAAGATTCAAATTCTTCACGACCAGAAAATAGTCGTAAACGATTTTGTGGAATTGTGAGAAAAGTCAATGGGCGAATAGTACCCAAAAGACAGACTCGAAACATGGGTACTGTTTCACCATCAAGACTGTATATCGGCTTCAAACCTACATAATAATAAATGGATATGTATGTTACAGTTGCTGGTATTGTTATAAAAGAATAAGAGGATTTGAATAATGATAAAAAATTAAAAATGGATACTAGATAAACATTCCTCTGATACAGAGGGAATAGAGTTAGGATACAGGAAACCATGTATCAAGGTGATGCGATTCAGTGTATTTGTTACAACTCTGAATAAGTCAATACACGCCTAGACATTTTTACTAATTTCATTCAGTGCTACAAGTCCACGGCATTACTACTAAATTACCTAGTCTGTAACCAAATCTCTGGAAGTAAACATTAAGTGGTAACCTACACACTGTTCTGATAATAATCTGTCAACTAACGAGTGCAATATGCTCACTTAGCAGAATAAAGCAACTACGTAGGGAACACATTGATAATTAAAGTAACACTTGCAGCTACACGCAGATCCGTAGAAACAGGTCACACATATATGATTTGAAAGCTAATGATACTTTTTGACCGTTCAAACCATAATATAAGGGGGTTTCGATCTAGAAATTTATTGTGCGAATGAAAAGCGTTTATGCTGTAAAGGCACATTTAAATACTTACCTACACTTCACATCATTTTACCCTACATTAGTTAATAAAGTAGACTTTTCAAAGTAACGGGATACAAAACTAACTAGCAGGACAAAGTCGGAGGGGAAAAATCAGGAAGATGAAAGACACTGCCTTTGACACTGTTTTCATAGTAAATGGAAATTATACCAGGTTCCGTCCTACCGGTTTCTCATCGAAAACAACCCTAGTATTCTCACTACTGAGCTGCACTCTCAATGGTCTTGTAGCTGTAGTTGTTCTACGCCCATTTAGGCGCAAAATATGTGTGATTACCGTGAAAACACGTGCTTCAGGAGTGGTAATCTCCCACCAACTCTTTTCAGCGATAACTAATAGCAACATGATCCATCTGTGTCCACCGCTGAGTTTGGGTAGATAGGCGCCACGTCAGATACTGTCTTTATGTCTGAAGTTCCTGCTAATTAGGATAAGGTGGTTGTTTTAGTACAGCTGTAGCAGGTGATCACCGTTATCTGTTCTTCCGGCCAGAATTTTGGAAGTTCAACTTAAGTGTCCTTTTGCCTGACTTAGCCTACCAACTTGTGCATTGAAATTACCTGCAAAAACTACCATGTCAGAGCGCTTAGCTTTCAGTAAGAGACTAGACAGTTTTACTTCAGTTTACTTCAGTTTTTTACTTCATCCGAAATTACAAAGTGATAACAGCGAGTCTCACTACTCTTAGCCTTCACTGTGCCATCTAGTCGAACAGCGCGCTTGTGGCTGTCAACTATGGTCCAGTTGAGCAGTGCACTTTCTGCCTTAGCCCTTGGTGCTGTCAAGACAGCGAAAACTAGCCATCGAATCTTTATACTCAAAGGTTGGGTTCTGCAGATTTATCATGCTGACTGAGTAAGGCTAAATGAATGTGTATGTTTCCCATAGATACAGAACACAACTATGGCCCGAGAAACCAAAATTTTGGCTACTGAAGCTTGTTATCCGATTCGGTGGACGGTGAAGACATTGAAAGTTCTATTGTATATTCTGGAACGCGGTTTCTGGATCCTGTTACATGAACTTGATTGGTCGTCGAGAGCTCCAAAGCCGTAAGAAATTGAAGACGATGCGAGAAAATTGATCGAGAGATGTGATGAAAGCTTAGAAGGCAAATATGTGCAAAGCTGACAATGATGTGGGGGAGCTTTAGTGCTGACAGAAGTGAGAGCGACTGACATATCCCAACTGCCCACATCCTGTAAAGTTGCCACTTAATGAGGTGCCTGGTAGAGAAATTGGATTAGTGGTATAGCGTGGCCACTGAGCACGCCAAACATCTGCTTAAAGCCAGTCATACATGGCCTTTCTGGAAAATTCTGGTTCGAATTTGATCTGCATTCAGCTATAAACCCATGCAACCGACACCAAAAGATCACAGAGCAAAGAAAGTGTGTCATTTCAGGGGTCGAAATTTCCTAACCCTCATTTCCCACAGAAAAAGAAGTGTCAACGTGGTACTGCTGGTCATCCAAGGGAAACACCTTACTGCTATTACAACCTTGTCCAGTCAGCAGCACGACTTCATCCTTGGATTCCCATCATGATGCGAAAATTCACATCGTAACGGTAACTATTTTTTTGCCTTGTCACTATTCAACAAACTTTCCTGGTTTGATAGGGCCTCGATGGAGCAAGCTATCCACCAGCAAAGCTTGTTGGGTCATTGTGATAAGCAAGCCACCCATCCACCATGTCAAAGCAGCAGGTATCTGTCTAACCGAAAGATGAAGTGCCCAGACTAATTAATTCTTTCTATGTTTATCAGTTTCAACTCCTCCTGTGTAACCAGATATATCGGCTGCTGCTCTAAGAATTTAATTTGACGTATTTATAAACACTTCCCGACGTAGTTAAGGGACGGTGTAATAAGGGCCGTTAATAGCTTCGTATTATTTAGCCATGCGGTAGACATGAATCAGTCATTCCCGATTTTTTTTATCGGGTTCTCATCATGTTGCCAAAGGTGACACGCTTTGAAGACTCAAAAGTGTGAAAGCGGCTTCAATTCATATGAAAGGTACTGAGATATGTTCAGAAAAAATAAATGTTGACGCCATAACTACCCAGGCATACCTTAGGATTAACAACTTCTTAAGCGTCTTACTACATGAAACCTAACTTTCAACTCCGACAGCGTACATATCCTTAGATTTAATCAGTTGAAACCATTTTACTTACATTCGTATGGGCTATTTTTGTGCGCCTATATATTTACCGACACACAATCAGTATTCCTCAAATAATCTACCTTTGATTATTGAACCTTAAACAGGCAGCAATAACAATAATAATAATAATAATAATAATAATAATAATAATAATAATAATAATAGTAATAATAATAATGGAAACGCTGGAAAATTACGTAGGATTCTGAGAAGGCCGGAAGTACTAACTTATACCTCAAATAAACTGACTGAGAAATAAGCCTGGTAAGTTGAACGATTCTATTACGCTAATGAAGTAAAATAATTTGGTTTACCACCTCCTTTGCAGCGATCGTAACGTTAAACGTACATATTACAGCAGTTAACCAGAGCTAACTAAGCTACCCAAGCACAGAAACCTAATTAGATCCAGATCACTAGACTTGTAAGGCAGGGAATTTCGGAGTTAACCTGCTCAGTTATAACAATATACACAATCACACAAAAGAATGGAACAGTGAGTCTGAAAAATGAACTTAGTAAGATGGAAGAAGAGATTGGTAATTCAGTCTTCTCTTATCAAACTAATGCTAAATACAGAAAACATAAATGATTCAGTATCACACTGAGACATCTGAAGAATTCTAGTATCCCTATCACAAAGGATGACAGAAAACTAAAACTACATAGACATCTCAGAGTTGTGGAATTACTTTGATATGATCGTAAATAATCATATCCATAACATTATCTGGTAATTACTATCTATTGACATACTTGTTATTCTCCGTTGTTTTGTTGGATCGAATTGTTCGACCTCTGTTGGCATATGGGCTCCTATGCAGATACCCCGATATTGCCTGAATGATTATGATAAATTGGTTGGTTGTGGCTAGCAGAATCGGCTACCTTTCCTTCGTGGCATAGTGGATAACGACTTGGCGTTTGGAGCGATGGGTACGAGGTTCGAGTCCCAGTGGGAACAACATCACTGGGGTGCAGGTGCATCCAGCTGACGAGTCCCAACTAGGACAAAACGCGCGTCCTAGATTCTTCTGCTAGCCACAACCAACCAATTTATCATAATTATCTGATAAATACGTTTCACTGTATGTAATATACAATGAACAAACTAAAACGAGATTACACGTTTTGATGGTGCTCAAATTTCAGCCTTAGTTTCATGATAACGATGTCATTCTGGTCAGTGGATCTCTCTGTAACTAATCATTAGACCGCAGAGACTCAGCATTATTTACATGGAATCGAACCACACTTAATATCCAAGATGTTACCACATGCCTGTAGAATGCTCAGTGGACAAGGTCGAAATTGAACCCACTTACCTATAGTAGGAAGTTGCGTAGCGAAACGAATGCACAATATCTTTGGAGTTGTTGGCAGAAAAGTATTTTCGCGTTATGAAAGACCAATTCTTGTGTTCAACGAACTTATTAAGATTTTGTCATGTATTAGTTTGAGGAAATTTGACTGTTATGACGAAAAATAAATTGGTATGACTTGATATCATGAGCTTGGACTGACAACTACGTAACCCAGAAATAACATCCCAGCAACTACAGAAACAACTAATCAACTTTCTCGATTTACGTCAGAAAAGTAGTTTTCACAAAAGCTGAGAAACCTAGTAGACTATTCTAGTGGTTGATAGTGGGGCCTTTGCAGTCACTCTAACTTTTACACTTCCCCGTGATCATAATTTCCTGTACACCTCACTGTCTGGATACAGCTCACCTTGTCTACGCCTTGCCGATGCTTATGAGACACTCACTGAAATGAACCCAAGACGAGTTAGTATTCGCAACCCTTCGACTGTCAATTCTTCTTCCCACTCTACAATAATAAAAGGTAAAGATTATCGGCTTCCTACCCTCGCATTTTGTATGATGTGAGTCACACATATGTACAACCGAGTTATATGAACACAATACACCATAATTCATAAAGATGAAATAATTGATTTTATAACCTCGCCTGGTTAACTAGTTTACTAGCCGGTCCTAAGCCCCCATAAAGAGGGAAGGTTGGGCATAGGGCTAGCAACCCTACCCCGTAAAACAAATCTAACCGCTAAACAAACTTCAAAGCACAAACAAAATATAAAAAATGAAAACAAACTTATTCCCCGCTGGAATCGGAGAGGCGAAATGACGCCAGTTGGTGAAAGCCTTCGGGAAGCCAATTGGCCAATGTGTCTCCTCTCCTCCGATGAAAGCGAAAGTAAACGTGGGGACATGGAATGTCCTCACCATGTTTGAACCCAGTAAGGCAGCCCAGATTGCAAAGGAGATGAGAAGGTATAACATCGAAGTGCTTGGGATTTGCGAAAGCAGATAGAATAGGAGTGGACTCTCCAAACTGTCAACTGGAGAATCAATAATCTACTCCGATATTGTCACCCACACGACAACCACGAGCACACTGAGTTATGGAGTGGCTATCATGATGTCCCCAACAGCATCGAAGGCTCTCATGCAGTGGGAACCAATCTCCTCCTGCAGGATCATGACAGCAAGATTCAACTCAAAAGGAAGGAAGGTCACAATCATACAATGTTATGCACCTACAAATAATGCAGAGCAAGAGAAAAAGGAGGATTTCTACAGACAACTTCAATCAACACTGGACAAAACCTCAGTTGGCGATATCAAAATTCTAATGGGCGACATGAATGCCAAACTGGGAGGGGACAACACGGGAAGAGAACTAACCATGGGTCGAGAAGCGCTCGGTGAGGTGATGAATGAGAATGGAGAATTGTTTGCAGAATTCTGCTCATTCAACGATTTGGTGATTGGAGGCAGTGTGTTCAGGCACAAAGATATCCACAAAGCGACATGGATTTCACCAGATGGACACACTAAAAATCAAATCGACTTTATCTCAATCTCGAGAAAATGGAGACGCAGTCTACTTAACACAAGGTGAAGAAGAGGAGCAGATGTAGGTTCAGACCACTATCTAGTGCAAGGAACCTTCCAAATCAAGTTAAAAGCCTTCAAGGAAGCTGGTGATAGACCTCAATTCAAGTACAACACTCGGAAACTGAAGGATGAAACTACAAAGGAGATCTTCACGTCAGTCAGCCATCAAGACAAAATGGGAGATATCGAGGAACATTGCTGAAGGAACCTGTGTGGAAGAACACTGGAAGTCTTTGAAAGAGATGTGGAAAGAAACCTGCACAACAGTATTAGGAAGGAAGAAGAAAGAAGATAAGGAATGGATCTCGACGGATACATGGAAGCTGATAGAGGAGGAGAGGAGGATGATGAAGCAGAAGATAAACCAGTGCATGGATGCTCAACGACAAGAGGAACTGAGCACAATGTATAAAACACTGGACAAAGAAGTGAAGAAGAGTGCACGCAAAGACAAAAGACACTTCTACGAAACACTGGCAAGTGAAGCAGAACAGGCTGCAGGCTGGTAAGAGAGACCTGACGACATTGTATCAAATAACCAGGTTGCTATCAGGGAAGAGACCAACACAGATGAAACCAATAAAAGATGATGAATGAAATTTAATTACGAAAGAAGAGAAACAGAGGAAACGATGGGCCGACCACTTCAAGAAGCTCTTGAATCACCCACCACCACCTGCACTTCGTCCAGAAATACCACCTGCAGCCGCTGAATTACAAGTGAACATAAATCCCCCAACGAAAATGGAAGTCCTGAACGCCATAAAGCTACTGAAATGCGAGAAAGCAGCAGGACCAGATGGAATACCGCCAGAAGCACTGAGAACAGATGCAGAGACAACAGTGGACATGCTCACACCACTATTGCAGAAGGTGTGGAAGGAAGAGAAGGTACCTGACGATTGGAAGAAGGGTTACCTTGTCAAACTGCCGAAGAAAGGAGACCTCAGTGCTTGCAAGAACTGGCGCGGAATCACTCTCCTGTCCACCCCAAGTAAAATATTAAGCCGCATCATCCTGGAGAGGCTTAAAGATGCACTGGATTCAAAACTGCGACCGGAACAGGCAGGCTTCAGGAAGTACAAATCATGTGCAGACCAAATTGCAACGCTACATTACGCATCATCATAGAACAGAGCGTAGAATGGCAATCAGCTCTATACCTCAACTTCATCGACTTTGAGAAGGCCTTTGACAGCGTCGACCGAGAAGTAATTTGGAAACTGCTCCACTACTACGGAGTACCGCAAACCTTTATCCGCCTCATTCAACAACTATATGAAGATGCCACATGCCAAGTAATTCACAATGGGAAGCTCAGTGATGCTTTTGAAGTGAAGACAGGAGTGAAACAAGGTTGCCTACTATCCCCCATGATATTCCTGATTGTGGTCGACTGGATCATGCAGCAAACAGTAGGCAGCGAGAAGAGGGGGATAAGCTGGACGGCGGAAAAGAACCTAGAAGACTTGGATTTCGCCGATGACTTATGCCTAATGTCACATAAACTTGAAGATCTGCAGGCAAAAAATAACAAGTTGATAGAAGAGGCAGCGAAGACGGGACTTCAGGTGAATATAGAGAAGACAGAAGTGATGAAGATACCGCACCACCACCATCAACAACAACAACAACAAACTCCAATCACCGTCAACGGGAGAAACTTGAAGGAAGTAACCTCCTTCACTTATCTAGGAAGCACTGTTTCAACTACAGGCGGGACGGACGAGGACGTCAAAGTCAGAATCGGAAAAGCAAGACAGGCGTTTATTAAGCTGAAACCAATATGGAGATCTTCTACACTCAGCATGTGGAACAAGATGCGGATTTTCAACACCAACGTCAAGTCAGTGCTTGTCTATGGCTCAGAGACTTGGTGCGTTAAGGAGGCATTTCCAATAAACTACAGACATTCATCAACAACTGCCTACGCCGGCTCGTTACTGAAGATCAGATGGCCAGAAAGAATAAGCAACAAGGAACTCTGGGAACGAACCAACGAAGCAAGAACCTATCACGCAACAAATATGCAGGAAGAAGTGGAGATGGATTGGCCATGCACTGAGAAGGCCGACTGAGGACATCACGCGTCAGGCCAGTCACTCGAGTGGAATCCCCATGGGAAGCGACGAGTTGGACGTCCGAGGGTGACATGGAGGAGGTCGTGCGAGGAGGAAATGAGAGCTTCTGGGCTGTAGTGGGACCAGGTTCAAAAGATCTCAGAGAACAGAGGTCACTGGAGGCGTGCTACTGAAGCCCTATGTTCCACTAGGAACCCAAGGGACTAATAAGAAATAAAAAAAAATAATAAATTGATTTTATACACAGAAATTGGGACAATCCACGATCATTGATTTCAGGCAATATAGAATTATTTTCCAACCATGAAGTATACGAAGTTGGGTGAAGTCAAAAGAAAGCTCTTGAGCTGAGCTATACAACAATGCAATAAACTAAAACCTAGGTGAAGGTTCAGTTATAATAAATACAATAATACCGTTGATAAAACTTTTCTGATATTCATATAATCATTTCTCCACTCCCTTTACAAAAACCCGACTTTCTGATGAAATTTTACTTATTCGGTGTTAGTGAGCAAGTGTTCGACTAAAAACTAAATTAAACGTATAAAAGCATCTAACTTTTAGCCGTTACTACCTCTTTAAAAAACTCCAAGTGCATACGATTTACTAGAAAAGTTAAACGAAGTGCAGGTAGAAACGTGTTGATATTTTAAGACAAACGTTCATGCATCCCAAGCACAGAATATTCACTAGTTAAATATAGAAACTTACTAAGACCTTTAGCCGGACATCCCTTCGGCCTCTCGACTATTATGGCTGGCCACCATGGTAAGTTCTCTGGTCGAGTCGGATAGGCCCATACTAACTCTCCAACTTGCCATGATTCCCGACGGTAAGTTAGTCGGATGGGTGTGCGACTAGATAACTTTGAATATAGCAGCTTGCGACTGACTGCTTTCGCCAGTAAAGTCTTCTTACGAGCAATAGAAGTTAGACTGCTTTGTGGAACATGAGTTTTGTTGAAGCTAAAACAGTCAAATATGTCTCAAAATAAAACACGATAGATATCAAACGCTTTTCAAATCTACGAAACTTGATAGCTGTAACACGTGACATGGAGTAAGTTAAACTAGATTTCCTAGTAGTAGCCCAGACGTTAAGTGTTCGATCCTAGCAGCTTTTATACTCAGCATTAGTTGGTGACAATAAAACTGGTTGAAAGAGTAAGCCAATTTATGACAGTGCTCGAAAATGAACGATAGATTGTCCAGATAATTTCTTATAGTGTTTATTTTATTTGAGTTAATGTTGCAACACAACTTCCTAGCCAAAACTTCATCAATCAAGTTACTATATCTGTGATGCACCACTTGATGCCCTTATTATACAGCATTTTTTAAGGGAGAATAATCAGTCTCAAACATTGCCATGATACTGGGAAGGATGAAGGAGTACTCTTTCGTTAAAAGGCAAACTATTTCTGAGTAAATCTAGAATATGCATTACTAAAAATTTAAATATGTTCAGAGGCTTATTGGGTAATACATGGCGGAATTGAAACATGATATCCCTACCTTGCTTTACAGAGTAATTAAAGCGTTTAATTGATGATAAGCACACGTACCAGCTAAAGTTAACGTCACGTTACTGTGAATAATACAGCGAAACTAAGTTAAACGAGAATATTCGGTCGCAGAGTCTTACATTTTGGTATTAAACTTCATATGTCTCATAAAAGTGGGTTTGAGAGACTTCATATCTTCTGTCGTTTCTTCAGCTCTACTTACTTCTTCAGAGCTACTATCATGATGAGAAAGCAGAAATGGTTGAGGTTTGTGTTCCGGTTCATCACTAAGTGAATCTGAAGACACAGAGTAGTGAGACAACGATGGACTCATTTCCGGTGAACATTCAGGCACATTTGAAAACCATTTGATGCTCGCTTGTCTCCAAAAACCATTGATATTGGTAAACATAACAGTTTCCTGTGGAGAATGAGTGAGATCTTCTGAAAACTTGGAGGATTCAAGTGAAATTTCTATGCATTCTGAATCTAAATCTTGGAATTCAGGTGTATTTGGATATGAGGTAGGTGTCACTGAGAATTCTTCACTATGGTTACCGGACGATGAGGACACTTCGTAACATTCTGAACCAGCGGACTGGCAAGTATCTGCAACAGAATCTACAGACGACATATCTAAAAAGAAGAAAGTAAAACCGATTATATGTAAACTGCTAGGTGAAATTGAAAGAAACTTATACTGACCGGGTCGTAATAAAACTTCTCAATGTAAATTCCTTATTTTTTAAGTTTGACATGTTATATATGATACCTTTTGCTAACAACGACTACGAACAGTAAGCCTAAGGACGTACTCAGCATCTAATGTTTATGAAATATCACTTTTCAGCCGTCAAATCCAAAAAAGTAAAGTATCCATCAGAAGTATTAGAAAAAAATATTGTACACGAATATCGAATGGAAATGAAGTGAACAGACACACAACAGTTGTTACACTGCACAACGGCAAAGAAAGTCGAGGCCAACAAAAGTAGGACCATATTCAGAAAAAACAAGAATATCAGAGAACACGGAACAAGTAAATGAAGAGTATAAAGAAGTCATTGATTCCTTCAGTACTTACTAGTTCCAGAACTCTAGTCAGTCGGTCTATATCAAAATGGGACCTTGCACTACTACGTAAGGTCTCCAGTTGCCACACATATCAGCATACCAAGTGAGAATGCACTAAGATGAGAAATGGGGAAGAAATAAACTAAAAGTAGGAGGGAGTTATAGGAAGAGAGGATAAGGGAGTAAAACGAATAGGGGAATGGAATACGACAAAGGTGAAAATAATGCCATGATGCGTGTGGACCACTGAGATCGATCGTGAGCCAAAGTGTCTAGTCTTCAACCAAAGATTACGGTTGTCATGAACCCCAACTGGGAAGTTTCTATTTCCCCACCTGGTTCAGAGCAACCGTGAAAAGCTTCAGAGACTAATGACATGCTTTAGTTCGACCGCTTCTAATCTTCTTTCAACTTTCATCTACTTCAACCAGTACGACGAGACAGATGGTAACTAGGCGTGCGTAACACTGTCCCAGCCAATTTAGATGATAACGGTCTGCAACTTCATCAACAGGCTTACCTTTCTTACTTAAAACTCTCCGTTTGACATATACATTTCTTATACAATGGTTCCTAGACACAAGGCCTATATTAAGAAGAAAAAGGTAGTCGAAAACCTGAAGCCAACTCATTTCCTTCACATCTAATGGCCATGTTCAAGAGCAATATAGTATAATAGTGAGAATCTCTTAAGAGTATGTACATCCTTAACAGACGGTCGACATAATACCCGCGCCACACTTGGTGTAAGCTGTATATGTTCAGATTTAGTTGGTTCTTGACCCATCAGAACTCAACCACTTGACGGCATCACCATCTTACACTCAAGTAGGTTAGTTGACCCAATCGGAAAGGTATCTACGGAATTTCACCCCAAAGAACCAACGACGGTGTTTGTCTGTTGCTCCGACCAACACTAACTTTAGGCATAAAGAGAGACACTGTCTCTTTTAGCGCCCGCCGACATCAACGACTGACACAGATAGATCATATTAATGTAAGCCATCGTTGGAGAGGATTGGTGGGGGACTGTCGCTCTTTCCAGAGTACCAGTTTGGATTTGATCACTCGCTTGTACGGGTCCGTGTGTCTGCCCCTTACTGGTCGCAGAAAACAAGATATAGTAAAGCCTGTCTATGGTCGATTGAAAGATGAAAATGTGAAGTCCAAATTTAAGGAAGAAATAGTTAAGCATTTATCTGAACATGATAGCAATGTTCATCCCGAGGAAACCTGGCGTGATATTTAGTCTGCTGTAGAGAAGGCAGTAAAGACACTTGATAACCTAACCTACACACGAAAGTTAGCAAACGTCATTGGATTCCCGCGAAGTCATCCGAACTGATTGATGCGAGAAGACTGATTCCAGCTGGTTCTGACCACGACGAAGAGCCAAAGTAGCTTAAATGTAAATTGACCAAGGGTCTTCACATCGATCACAAGAAGTGGTGGGTGGCGAGAGAGAGAGAGAGAGAGAGAGGTGGAAAACGAATCAGTGTTGAGTAGTACCTGGCAACTGCTTAGGCTTCTTAAAGATACCGGCAGGAAGAAAACGATGGTGAGCGAAACCATCACCGGAAAAGATGAGACGCTGACAACCTCTCAGGACAGGAGACTAGAACTTTGGACAGAACACTTAAAACTATAGTGCAACTGACCCTCAGAAACGCTTCAGTTGCCCAACATCCAGCCTGAACCTAAATGAAACCTAGATGTTGGTCCTCCAACTCTCTTTGAGAAGGCTGCTTTGAACGCGAAACGATGCAAAGTAGCAGGATCTGACAGTTTGCAAGGATGGAGGTAGGAAATTGCTGAAAAGTCTGACGGAAGTACTAGGCGGTGTATGAGAATCAAATGTAGCACCGTCAGATTGGTCTACTTCTCTGATCATCCCAGACCATAAGAGAGAGGTCTTGTGACAACCATAGAAGAATTAGTTTGACTAATATTGTGTCCAAGATCCTAGGGTCTATAGTTACCCAAAGCCTAACTGGAGTTCGAGAACAGCAAACTTGAAAAAAACAGCCAGGTTTCAGACCTGGTCGGGGCTGTATCGATCATATTTTCGCCCTCAGACAGATTTTAGGCATACTTACCAGAGGCTGACATGCCGTATTTCCTGACCTGAAGGCAGCATTCAGACTCTGTCGACTGTGAGGTCTTGTGATAGTGTCTAACTGAAGGGAGCACCAAGCAAGTAGATAACGCCAATCACGGCTATGTGCTCGGACTCACACAGCCGACGGAGAGTTGTAAAGTGAGTAGACGACAGTTAATGGTTTCCGTCAGGAATGTTTACTGTCATCGTTTTATTCTCATCATAGACGTATTAATGAACATAACCTTATGTACGTCTGACTTCACAGGAATTGACCTACTCCCTGGTGGTCATCTGATTGAATTGGAGTATGTAGATGATATCGTCATGCTAGGTGAAGATACTGACAAATGCAGAGCTTTGTGAACGCGTTGAGCAGAAATCTGCGTTTGTTTGACATACGTTTCACAACTGTCAAATGTAAAATGAAGCTCAAGGACTGCCTGTAACTACTCCCCGTTCAATGATAGGGAGTGAAGAACAGGCTGGCTGCTAACGAAACCTCAGTTTGGATACAGAAGGCCCGTTCGACGTTCGCCAACTTGCATCACTTGTGGTACCGACTTGCGAGATATCCGACTACCTACCAAAGGACAAGTATACTACACTGCAGTCTATTCTGTCCTGTTGTATGGCTGAGACAAGGCCGTTAAAATTAAACAACATGAAGGGTTTTAATCATAGCATCGAGCGTGGTAAAACCACCTTGTGAGCAGTGTCGATGTCAGGCAAAGGGTACTAGGCAAGACAGGCAGTTCAATTGATGAGGTTTTGAACCTTAATCAACTAAGATGGCTTGGACATGCACTGCGCATGCCGAATCACTGTCTATCTCGACGTGCCAGGCTAGGTTAAGTTGGATTATGTTGGAAGAACCAGTTGGTGAAGTCTCTGATTGTTGAACTGAGTCATGTGGGGGAGATGTATACTATGTGGTTGTGGTCCGTGAGACGATCGGAATCAGTGGTTGAGGACTCTTGGTGACATGGATAAACATCGGTCACAATGGCGTACATGTATTCACTCCCTGACATCTAAAGCTTGAATATGTGCACCAACATTTATCTTCAGACTGTTTATCCTCTTCCACAACTTTATCTACTTTGATGTCTGTCTTATTCTATCGACCTGTTCTTTTTGAAGTGTGACAAGTTGATCTGATGCACCTCTGTGCAATGTTCTACGTCGATTTTGTCAGTCAGTCACGTAAGTATCTATACGGTAATAAATAGTGCAGATCACTTGTTACAAGTTGTACTGGGCCACACAGTGTAAGGACTAATGATACTACCTGATACCCAAACTGAAGTAGGTGGAGCATGTTTAGAACATAGGACTTATTGCTTGAAAGTCTAACTAAAACGGACCAGACATATCCTCAACAAATACCTATGACAAGTACATATGTGATTAGATTGTACTGCGCAAATGAGATTCACAGCAATTCAGAAAGCATATGTCAATTCATGAAGCAAGCAATGAGCCAAACCTAATACTTAACGTCTAATAACAGGCTGTCCATATCTTGGTAAATGAAATCTGGTTCAATCCCGGGACCTACCATAAGAAAGTTGAGTGTTTCGACCAACAAACAACATCTCTGCAAACACACTGCGCCGTCCAAACAAATTACTTCTTAGTTTGTTGAGATTGAGGAATACAACGGTCCTACTAACTTCAAAGACCTAATCATTCAGTAGTTCGAAAAGCTCATGACCCATTTACCGAATACACTTCTCTTGGTGTCACTTCCCTCATTCTAAATGCTAAGCAAGTAGTTTCTTATTACTAGCTTTATAAACAATGACTTAACTTAAATTGAGTCTTTTTACAGTTTCACTGCTAGACTAATCTGATACTAGGTTTGCATAGCTCGACACAATGTAGACCGAAATGTCCTGAAATGTTTAAGACTGGTATGCGAAAGTGAATAAAATCATGTTTGGAATGGTTCAGGTTGTTTGTGGGAAGGTTATGATTTTCCATCGGTCAAACTAAACCTTTCGTAAGCCCTGTAGCCAGTTTCTTCTAATCCTACCAAAAACACACTGTGAAGATTTATGGGACTTAAATTAAAATCATAAGAGATGAGTGTGATTGACTTACAAATAAAAAGATTGAACGCTTTTATTTGTTGTCAATCACGGAAAGAACAGTAAAGATTATAGCTATTGTCACAAAACACAAAATAAGACTTTTTTGATCATTAAAGTTGCGATTACTTTCCTCTTTTCAAAAGTGATTTCAGAGATACTAGCGCTTATTTGAGGAGGTAGTTTATGGTTCTTTCATTATGTAAGTTGCTGTTTCACGAACGAAAATGTTGACCTATATCATAAATTTTTTGAACAGTATTGTTTAACTCTACTACAGAAGGTTTAGCGCGGTAACTATTTAGTACACAACAAGATACATGACATAAACATGCGTAGATTTACAATCATATCTTAAGAAACAGGTTAGGCGGAGATTAGCGTCCAGACTTCGCAGACTACCGAAAACAATACCAATTACATAGTTAGTTTTGAGAGATTACCGTGGTGACACTTGTTTTTACTTCAGTGAACACAGTTTCTCATAACTACTAGGTTCAGGTATAATTGCTAGGCACTAGCAAAGGAAAAAGAAACGCGGAAAGGGAGTCAACAACCTTTTGCAAATCCAGGGAGTAGGTAATGAGCTGTACATATTTTGTGAGGACTAATTATGCTGCCTGGCTGCCAAAACCTCGGTAAGTGGGACGGTGTTCAAACCCGTGACCTAGTGGTTGAAAGTCAACTCCCTGAACAGTTGACCCACAGCTCCAGGCACTAGCAAAAGCACTCGATAAAAAATACATTGACTACTAGAACTGAGTTGTGCTGAAGTTGTCTTCATTTATTGTAGTTGGTTCCGTCGTACCTCCGGAACAAGACACGAAATAAAAAACAAACTCGAAATTTCGCGAAACCTCATGATCACCTTTAAATTCTTAGAGAAATATGGATTCGCCTATTCATCAACAAAAGGTAAAAAGCATCTGATGCAAACAGCTCTTTTGGAAGTTGAAAGTAGGCTCGGTAAGAAAAAAGGAAACATTCTTTCCAACAGGTGCTAATACAGACATGAAGTCCTGAAAGTGACGTGCTGTAGCCAATAGTTGTGTACTGACACTGATAAAACCAACGTAGAACCTCGCATACAGGTGCCTTGCTTCAAGTTGTCACACAGCTGTGTATATAAACGGACTGGGACATACAGTGAACAATGTGAATGCTGTGGACAATCTCTTGGTTTAGATTCTCAAAGTAAGACACCACCACCCAATATAAAATGCTACCATTAATGAACAGCATGGGTCCACAGTTACATTAAATTTGTCTGGGATCCTAAATTATAAGACTAAAAGTTAACATAATCAGTTCGGGAAAACTGATATGTAGAATAAGGAATCCTAAGAAACCTTTATCGTAGCCAGCCTAACTGTTCCGCTTTTAGGTTCATCTAAAATGTTACTGAAGCAGAAAAATGTATGGTAAATCCGCTACTCCTTGAGAGGAATGTCTATGAAAGCGTGGTGCGAATGTGTAACTAAGACCATTCAATGTAGCAAAGGTTTATTTACCGACCAGTGAACATATTCCAATACTTAGTCGCTAGAACCTCAGTGGAAAGGGCTACTTCGAGAAAGTAGGTCTACCAGTTCCAGATTGACTTCAGACTAACAAGATATAGCCTTCGAATGACATTAACTAATCTGAGGTCTGTAAGCACCATAGTGAAGACAACGTAAGCTGTTGGCAAATAAGTGATAAATTGCGTCAGAAAACAACATGCAGGAAATGACATAATCTTTCTATTGCAGGTCTTTCTTGGTAGTTCCTCTGACTTAAAACTGCTCAACAGAAACAGTATAGAAAGGTTATCAATCCCGTAGTATTACTTGTTCGGTAACCAAGGTTTACAAATATGCTAGTACACGTTACTTGCATGTACATATGTTGGCAACTAATATGTTTCCGATATACTTAGACTAAACCGTAAGCCATAAGAAATATACGCGCATGTATAACAAGTATTACCTCACATAATACGCTTACCTACAAATATGCATTGATTTAACACCGGCAATACAATTCACTTGGCCATTCAAAACCTCACCATTGCCAGACAGTATTAACAATTCATTGTTAACTGTACGTGAAGAACTGCAACCACACATAATACTAACAATATATGATATTTGAAAACCTAGATAAAAACAACTTTTCAACTGTTTTATTTCTTTTATAGGTTATCCTAGGGGAAATTTTGACTTGAGTAAGCAAAGAAGCTTACATAAACTAAGGCTAAACTAACATAAACCACACACTATAAAGTACTGTCTTAGTATGGAGTAGTAGACAAGCGCTGGTTTCGATTTACTACATGCTAAAAATATGTTATATACACCGCCATTCACACAGCAGCAAGCAATCAAATCAGAAGAAATTATTCCATGTGAGAACTTTTTTTAAACATCAAAACTGCTTGACAAATTAATCTAAATTAGCCGAGATTTCTGGCACGACGAATGCCTTCCCCTGTTTCTGGAACTCAGCTCTAACCAAAAATGTAATCAGTATAAAACGTTTACCTCAAGTGGTGAGTAAACTCATCATCCACAATATCGTCGTCCCAGTTATCTTCCCAAACTGTAGCTTCTTCAAAAGCACGAACACCAGTGCATGCTGAGAAAATTAAGACATACTCTAAGAATTACCATGTGCTGGGAACTCTTCAAAGTCGTCATCTTCCTCTAACATTGCTACATCTACCTTTTCAGAAGGCTTTTGATTCTTTTTATCAGCAGCATCCTCTTTAGACTTCCCCTTGACTTCGTTGACTGTCATTAGGTACCGAAATATTTCAGAACAACCACCAGACTTCACTACAAGGTCACATGATAGGCATTCCGTATTTCAGTCAAACTTCAAACTTCTTGTTGTAGAATTAGCGAACTGCTGTCCCTTGGGTTCTACGTCTGTCTTATTGGAATACTTTATGAGTTTGGAATGGTCACAATTATCTTTCTGGCTCTGAAAAACCTGAAAGGATGGAGATAAGACTAATTAATTAATCTGGTAACCAGGTAAGATGACTGTAGGCTGTGTTAGTCCTTTCAGTATTCGCTTCCATGAAGATCCATTTTTCCTCTGAATGTGTTCCTCAAAAGATCTACTACCAGCAGTTCCAAACGATCCAAATGGTTGTTGACGGAATAGCTTTCACTAAACTGGCTTCTGCGTCTACAATCCGTGGATCACTATTCCTTGTGGTTGTTAACCTGTTGTACAGGTGAAGGAAAACGAAAAAGTGGCGGTTAAAATGTGAAACTTCAATTAGTTCTGAGCAGATCCCAGACACACGTTAAGTGGATATCCAGTAGGCGTTTATAGGATTCAGACGAATTAGCTTGCATCACATCTTCAGGAAGACAGTTCCAGGGTTCAACAACTCTTAAGGAATAGCAGTTGTGTCTGACATCTAACCTGCTATGCTCCAGGTTTGGTTTCTGTGTGTGTTTTCTAAGATTAGTGCTACAGCTAAGATTTGATAAGTGACTGAGTGGGTGGCCAGGCGTGCTCATAATGTTGTAAGTCATTATCAAGTTACCTCTTAGCCCTCTGAATTCCGGAGGAAACAGATCCAGCGCGACCAGCCGTTCTTCATATGTTTTGGGCCCAAGTCCTTGAGCAGATTTTGCTGAACGCCTCCGGCCGCGTTCTAAGCTTAGTTTGTACTTCTGGAGATAAGGGGGGAAGACAATAGTTCCAAACTCCAGGTGAGGCCATATGAAGCTGTTGAAAATTTGGTGGAAGTACTTATGATCGAGTAGTCCGAAAATTCGTCTGAAAGTTACTAACCCGAATTCCCACGAAGTGCGTCTCTGTCACAGTTGGCATAAGATTTTAAGTCTTAGGGGACTAACACTCCCAAATCCTTCCAAGCCAGGGACGCTCAAGTTCCATGCCGTTGAGGCTGTATACATGAGATGTATCATGTTTAACGTGTATCGCCTTGCATTTCTCGGGATTAAATGCAAACCCGTTGTTGACTGCCCAGTTGTGAAGTCGAGTCAAGTCCTCCTGTAGAGAAACACTGTCTTCTCCCCTTTTAATTTCTCTCCAGAGTTTCATGTCATCGGCAAAAAGGAAGGATTGCGGAAGAAACCTGTCCGGACAAATCGTCTGTGTGTATTAGAAAGAGGAGAGGCCCTAGTACTGAACCTTCGGGAACACCGCTACGACATTTCGTTTCTTCAGATATAGAGAAACTCACTCGTACTCTAAATGAACGGTCCCGCAGATATGAAGACAACCAGTCAATGAGTGGAGGTCGAATCCCTATTAATTTCAACTTATCGATAAGGCAGTCGTGATTCACACTATCACACGCTCTAGCAAAGTCTAGGCAGATAACATCAATTCGTCCCCAACGGTCAACAGTGCTAGTCCACCTATCTACTGCAGTGAACAACTTGGTAATGCAAGGGTACCCTTTTCGAATCCATATTGTTGGGGCGCAAACAAATTTGTCTTACTAAGGCAAGCCCTCAGCCCATTGTATACTAACGATTCTGCTACTTTGGAAGGAATGGATAGGAGTGTCACCGGTCTGTATTTCTTTGGATTGCTTCGCTGACCCCCTTTGAAGATTGGCGCCATGTTGCCCAGCTTCCAAGAATCAGGTACTATCCCCTGACTCGAAGAATCCTTAAATAACCTACTTAAAGGTTCGGACAAGATTGAAGCTCTCCCCCGCAATACCAAGGGATGAATTTTACCTGGTCCCGGAGAGGTGTCTTCGGTGAGCCGTAGCAGTTTGCGCTGTACTAGCTCAACGCTTAGGCCGACGATCGAGAGTCCTACTTCGTTAGTAGGATATTCGTAAACTCCTTAGTAGATGGACGATGACGAAAAGATTTGCAGGTACTAGTCGACCAAGAGCCCAGTTGCTTTATTGTCACCATTAGTCAGTCCATTCGCACCTAGTAGTAGACGGACTCCAGCTTTAGTTTGTCGGAATGAAGCAGGGTAGCCGAAGAGACCTCCCGGCTTAGAAACAAACATGTTTACTAGCCCGGCTTGATGCCGCCGCGGATTAGCTGTCAGTGCCTCCGTACATATGTTTCTTATCTGTTTGGATTGTCTGTAAGTATATTCGTGCCAATCATTTTGTGTTCAGTTCAGTGGCATCCCTTTAATCCATATAGTTCGGGAGTGCAGCTCTTTAATACCTTGATTACAAGAAGCACTTCGGTCTTGAAAGTTCCTTTAACGAGTTTTAGTCAGTGATCCCATCATCGACAAAACCATACCCCAATGGAGGAGTCCGACGGTTCCAAACCGTTGTCGATGGAACAAAAGAAACATTCTCTTGACTGGCTTTCGTGTCTAGAATCAGCCGGCCACCAATTCTTGTGTGAGGGCCTACGTATGGAGACAAAGAGGAGAAAAATACATGAAAAAACGACCGGGCTACCAGTTTGGAAATTCACTCTGCGACCCTATGTAAACTATTATTTGAAACTCAAGGGGCACTCACTGTATGGACCAGATAATGAATTGGGGGGATTGCAAGCCTTAACAACTGCTAAGGATTAAGCGTTTCGCCTGATTTCTCACCTATTGTGTTTACTTTCATACTTGCGGGTGTTCCTGTTTTCATTCTTATTAGAAGCTAGCCACACCAAACGGTGATGCGGATGACCTGAGTTATTTGAAGTTTACACACCATAACTAAGTCATCCATCAATCGATTATGTTCCGTGGGGTGTAGACACAGCGATCCGAAGTGTTCCTCATATGACTTGAACCTTAATCCACGAACGGATTTAGTGCAGCACCCTTGCATGGGTTCCGAATGGTTACAACCATTTTAAAGTGCAAGAATAAAGACGAGGGCACTTAATTCTTACTGAGGCCGCATGAAACTGCTGGACATTTGGTGGGAAAGCATATGATCAAGGTGTCCAGAGACTCAAAGCAGAGGGTCCTCTGTTAATCCAAAGTGGCGCGTGAGAGGATTTTTAAGTGGTGAACTAAAGATTGAACCATGACGTTTGACCACTAAATATTATTTCAAACCTTCCCTGAGCCTTTTCCACTTAATAACCCACATCGACGGAGTTGTCGGTCTAAACGGTCCGATCTCCAATAACCGAAATGTCTACTCGTCAAGCATTTAAGAGAGGAGGAACCGAGTCATGCATGAAAACCTCAATTCTAAACACAAAGATTACCGCGACATGGTCACAAGTGGTTAGTTAGGGTGAGTAGTTTAGGTCTGCCACATCCCCGCAGTAGTGCGTGAAAAACGGGTGCAGGACTGTTAGTCAATACGGTGACCGATAACTTTTAAGAAACGTTACATTCTAAGAAGTGCATATCAAGCCATCAACTCACCCACTGTAATCAGCGGTAGTGAGCTCATGACAGTTTACAATCAGGCACCAACGGCTAGTACCCACTTCCTAATGTAATTTAGCATAATTTCATCGACGAGGCAATTCACACTACCGTAAATTACCCTCACTGACGCCGCAACCCGCCTTCACCCGACGGAGTGATTTATATTTCCACGTATGCCTGCGCTTCGGAGCACATTCGCATTCTGTCTGGAATATACGGGATCCTTCCACCATATTTACTTGCCATGAATTTGACTATCCTGATACGTGCATTGTGTGGGATGACAAATACCTACACCTACAGTTAGCCCGGCTTCTCTGACCCATTTCAAGCACTCATAGGAATCGTGTGGCCCTAATATTCTCTCCCGAGGTTAAGGCCACCAGGGTAGCAGACCATTAAGCTACCAATACAAAAACGATTTGCAAGCAAAAGTCAAAATGGCATTGGTTACTAATGCCTCGCTACCGGGATAAACGAAAATTTTAAGTTCTTTCCCTTCTTTTTGTAGGGCTTTCAGCTTGGTCACTGCCCACCTTCTCCGATAAAGAAATACATATTTTATCCTCACATTAGTAATTCAACATGGGAGAATCAAGCTTACGGGTTTTGTTGAAAAAGAACGTATACTCACATATTTGTTCCATGCCTTATGAACTTTTGTAGGGACAACTTCGTTTCACTCACGAGTTACCGACACAACCTTTATTGGACTTCAAGTGTAGGCAGTCTTTGTTCCACCCATCTACTCAATCTTATCGCCTTATTATTGCCCAATATCTCTTCGGAGAGCCTTTCCAACTAGGTTTGAGTCGTTGGTATGTCTTTTAGATGCGTCCAAATTTGTTGGCTCTAACGTATTATGAAAGATTATACTACTTTCTGTACCGTCAACCTTTTTATACGGTGCTCGCAGCCCTTGACGACTATCTGACCTCTTCGATAAGTTTCACCCCCAATGGTTGGCTGTTTATTGGCCGCCTGCTTTTTGTGAAGACAAATTTCATTCGGACGGGAACACCTTCATCTCTCTCAAAAACGTAGTTTTGGCCCAGGTTGCCTGGCGAGGAAAATGTACTGGGCTAGTTCATTGGTGAAACGAATGAATTCTGACTGGACTTGTTTGACCTCTGACTTGCCTGGGCTTACCTCAGATCACAAGGACGGGTGTCTGAGTACGGGTACTAGCCTAGATGACTCCGTTATATTCCCCCAAAGTCACATCTCCTGGCTTTATTTTCAAAAGACATTTAACAGCCCACGACGATACTTGTACCATCACCCAATATCAGACCCACCATAATCCTACTGCTGGTGACACCGGACGAAAGTATCCAAGATATCATTCAGTCTATATCTGGCTCCCGAGTGTCCTTCAGACATTTCTGAGGAACCTGTCAAGTGAAGTTTATCTGATTGTTTGGGTTAAAAGTTTGTTGGTATGCCTCCCCCGGCCCGTCGATCCTTTTCTGAAAGGTGTTTAGCTTT